GATGAAAGAAGTGGTTGTCCAGTACTTACAAAAGGCTGCTAAATCATGCCTCTGTTCAAAGACCTTTGTGGAAATACCTGCGGAAACGAAGGCTAAAGACAAATTCCAGATAAGCCATTTTAATTTGCAGCTGCAAAAACAAAAGCCTCTTGCACCATCAAGTCTTAGGGTGCATTTGCAGACTGAAATTTTGAAGGGTAAATCTGATGTACATCCTGTTTACCTCCCCACCCACCCTATGCATCTACAACTTCATCCAGTGCTGCTCCTTGACTTCCTGCTGTTCACACACGATAGATGGCACTGGGTGCATATAGCATTATGGAAGAATTTGCAGTACATATTGTACCTGTATAACTTCTAAAGCAGAATGTGCTCCTTTGTTTTCTAAGAAGATACACAATTTCACAGGAGATACTTCTTGTTATCTGCAATTGCAAATTATTGTTATTTGTTTATTGCTCAGATCATAGTAGGCTTGGTATTTGTGCAGACACAAGAATGCATGTTGCAATCTTAAGCGCATTTTACTTAAGAATGTAATCCTGCTGCTGTTAGTGGGTTTTTATTGCACTATTTATTCTTGAATGGGTGATCACTCTTTACAAACTACTGAGGTCAGTGGAAATTTATGGGTTAAAGCACTTAAAGCTCAGTTGCATAAAGTAGAAGCAGCGACATGCCTCACTTTAACATATTTAACTAGATCAATGGTGCCCTCAAGTGGAGAAAAGCCATTTCAAGCACAGCTAGAATCTCTCCAAAAATTCAGACACCAAATCCACATCATACATTTTTAAGCACCGTTATACCATTTTAACAGTCATGGCTTCCCACAAAGAATCTTAGAAACTTTAATGGTGTTGAGAGTTGTTAGGGGACCCTTATTCCCTGCACAGAGCTACAATTCTTAGAGTGGTTTGACAATCAATCTGTGAGGGGAATAAGGGTCTCCTAACAACTCTAAGGGCTCTTAACAAACTATAGATCCCAGCCCCCCTCTTTGTCTTCATCTCTTCCTCTCCTTGTGACATCACAAGCAGTTTGCAGCCAATGGCAACAGCTGCAGAGACATCATAGTTATCTATTCAGACCTCATAATGGTAAGTGGACCTCAGCAGTGATTTAAATGAGTGTTGTGGTTGTTTGAAAAATAGCCCTCTATACAATGGGTGGGGAAACATCACAAACAGTTGTAGAGGGTGTTCTCCAGCACAAGATCTGCATTCTCTTGTAGGGAACCTTCCAGGAGTTGCATGCTAGTGTAGAGCAGGGTCAGAGGCATAGAGAAGTGGAACAGCAAGTGTGACTCTTATCTTCGTACCGTGGGCTCCATATGGCTGTGCAGAAGCCATAGTTTTCTATGCTCCCACCCATCTCTCTCAACCCAGTTAAGCAAGAAGCACCATCGCAGTTCACGGAAAACAGACAAAAGTACCTCAGAAGTGTGTGGAATAAGTCTGTTTAGGAAAATGGTATGAGGAACTGGAGAGCTGCGTTTGGCCCACATTGCAGAGGTTTCCTACTCCTGTCACACTGGGTTGCATCCTTGCTTCCCTTTGGGCTCCTATTCTGCCTCTCATGGGGTTCCACATGAAAACATCTACTGGTTGGTCCCCTCTTTGAGGCATGTCTAGTCTCTGCTCGAAGCAAAGCTGCAAGAAATGGTTTGCGCAGATTTGGCTTTTGTGTGTCACCAAGGGGTAAAGTTGGGTGTCTTCCAGTACATCAGATTTCACAGCAAGATGACAGGTCAGGGATGTTGGTCCTCGGCATTTGATTGGCATTAAACTGACAGGCATGATTCTGGCAAGCCAATAAAGGTTAATTATACAAAGCTGTGACTGTCAGGACAATTTATGTCCAAGTTGTTAACATTTCATTGGGTTTTGGCATCACAAGAGCATCCCTAAAATGCTGCTGCCCCCAAAATCTCTATTCTAATCTCTTTCCACTACTTGTAAAGAAAGATCAAATCCTGCTCTACAAGTTCAAGAACAGTTTCAATGAACTTGCAACCTATAGTAGACATTTTGTACATTATAACATGCTAATCTATCAGGCAAAAAAAGAAAGGGTTTGCTTAATTTGGTCACATACACACCTGACCCTAGTCTTATTAAGAAGTTGTTATTGTCAAAACATGTTTAGCATATAGCATGCATTACATTCCTTCTTCTGTTCTTTAGACCAACACTTGGGATGATCACCAGTATTCCCTTTTCGCAACACAGAAACTCACATTACAAAAGTTTGTTCCATATAGTAATTAACATGTGACCAACATGTAATTTCCATGCATGATGGTAATCTCTTCAGATGTGTTGGGTTGCATGTGTACATCAGGCATGAAAAAAAAATATTGAAGTGTGGGAATGTCCTCTTATTATTTTGGGACTGCAGAATCTTCTCATCAGCTCTGCTGAGAGACCAGCAGGAACATTTGGCCCTTCATCTCCAAATCTCTCCATCCTAGCCAGTCCCTACAAGGACTAATATCTGAGCTTACTTTTTTCCCTTCTCCCTCTTTTTTTCCTTTTGTCCCTTTTTCTCTTGTGTCCTGTCTCTCAGATTGTGAGCCAGAGGGCAGGGTTTGTGTTACAAATCATTACTATTTGTAAGCTGCTCCGGGGCCCTGTTTTGGGTTAAAAATGCTTTTAATCATCATCTTTAACTAAAGGATATCATCAGGTACCAGAGTCAGGAGAAAGAACATAAGGAGAGCCCTGCTGGATCAGAGTTAAAGTCCCCTTAGACTGCAGTTATAAACACTTGGGAGTCAATCTTGTGGAATTACTTCTGAGTAGATCACGCTGCTAGTCAAGCATCCTGTTTTCCCCAGTGCTAAGACAGATTCTAGGAACTCCTCAAACAGGGGTGGAAGGCAATTATTGCCCTGCAGCAACAGGTACTCAGTAGTCTTCTGACTATAGTGGTTCTGACCATAAACTTTCAATTTAGCCACATGACCCATTGGCCTACATTCTACTTTAAAAGCCACCTAAACCAGCGGCTATCATTCGCATCCTGTGGCAGTGAATTGAATTCCATAAATAAATTGTGTAAAGAAGTGCTTTGCTGTAATTCTTCCCACGCCAATCAGTTTCACCAGAAGACTCTTTAATTCTAACATTATGTGAGCAGCGGAATAAGAGCTCTTTCTATTTTGATTGCTCCAGGCAAGCCTTACTATTAGGCAGAGATGGCAGATGAGAAAAGGGGGGAGAAGTTGGTGTGATGTTGGAGGATAGAGCAATGTAGGCCATGCAGGCCTTGCACCCCCTAAGCTAGACTGCTGCCCTCAGGAACTTATGGCCCCATCACTGATGTTGAAATAAGATTCAACTGCCAGGATGATGAGCACCTGTATTTTCTAGGGGAGGGAGGTGGGGGCTGCACCATGTTGTCTTCCTCAGGCAGCAAAATGCTTTGGCACAACCTTACACCTTTTCCACGCTGTACATAATTTTATAAACCTCTTAGTAAAGCAGTAGCAAAACTGGTGACCTCCAGGTGTTTTTAGAACAACTCCAGCCAGAATGGCCAATGGTTATGGATGATAGGAGTGTCAGCATCGCCCTTGAGCCAGTGCCATCAACTGGACTCATACACTTCAGCCCCGACTGGGCTAGGCGAGCTGGGTAGCACTTCCAGAGACCACCTTCTGCACAGGAACAGGTCAAAGTGCTGTGGACTCACAGCTTAGAGTTGTGAGCACCGGATTCACTCCAACAAGAAGACAGTCGTCATACAGCAGCGTACAGCGGAGTATAGCAGAGCATAAACGACTCGGAGAGCAGCTCTGTAGAATATCTTCTTTTATTCTATCTACAACTATAATACACAACTATGTACAGAGCTAAATGAGGTCTAAGCGAAAATGCTGAACTGCACTGAGTGTCTGCAGCTGCTCTTAGCAGCAACCTTATCTATACACATGATCTCTCTCTAACACTCAGTCTCTCTCTCTTTGATGTGAGGCTGGAGCGGAATAAGTAGAGAGCAGAAACTGCCCCCTCCTCTCTGGAGAATCAGCAGAGAACATCAGCAGATTTTTGGATATGGGAGGGGTGAAATCTCGTCAAGGAGCATGGATGATTGATGGGAGCATGGATGATTATGGCTAACCGCTGCTCTCTCATCTTCTCCCGGCATTATTTAAATTTTTGTTTATTAAAAAGGTGTGCATTGAGCTTTCCTTGTGAGATATAATCTATCGCCTTGTGAGATATAATGTATAATTTCATAGGTCTGTATCTCTCTGGTTCAGAATCCGAACCCACATCTTCTTTTCCCTAAACCTCTGCCTGGTGTTTCATGCCACTAAAAAGGTAAAGGTAAAGAACCCCTGACAGTTAAGTCAAGTCATGAACGACTCTGGGGTTGTGGCGCTCATCTCGCTTTACTGGCTGACGGTGCCGGCATTTGACAGTTTTTCTGGGTCATGTGGCCAGCATGACGAAGCCACTTCTGGCGAACCAGAGGAGTGCACGGAAATGCCGTTTTCCTTCCTGCCGGAGCGGTACCTATTTATCTACTTGCACTTTGACGTGCTTTTGAACTGCTAGGTGGGCAGGAGCAGGGACCGAGCAACAGGAGCTCACCCCGTCACAGGGATTCGAACCACCGACCTTCCGATCGGCAAGCCCAAGAGGCTCAGTGGTTTAGACCACAGCGCCACCCACGTCCCCTTAGTCCTCAGCAAAGCCTCTCTGGGAACTTTTGATGCCATTTTAAAACTTTATTGCGTTTTATTAATTTAATCGCTTTTTCGAAATCCTGGAAATCTTGGAACTGAATGGAACTCGTACGGAAATGTTTTTAAAAAACGAACATTTCAAAACACGTCCAAGGTGTTTATTTAACAAGCCTTCACCCTGTAATCTCGCGAGCTGAGAGTTAAAAGGCAACGCGAAGTGCGACACATCATCGGCTGGGATCCCTGGCTCCGCCCATCACCTCCTCGAAGTTAAGCCCCGCCCTCCCGCGTCACCGCCTCTGACAGGGCAGCGAGAGCCGTTCCACAAGGTGGCCGTGAGAGAGAAGGGGGGGCTAGGTCACGTGACGGTTCCAATATGGCGGCGCCGTGCCGCTGTCCATCACCACCACCGCCAGCGTTACCTCTGAGGGAGCCGCGTCTCTTCCGGATCGTGGAGCCCAGCTGCGGCCGAGCCCCGTGAGCGCCGCTTCCCGCCCCGCTTGGGATAGACGGCGACGGGAGAGCCTTCAAGCCTCGCGGCGGCCATGCAGCCCCCGGCCCGCGAGGAAGACACCCGCACCAAGAGCATGTTCGTCTCCCGGGCCCTGGAGAAGATCCTCTCCGAGAAGGAGGCGAAGCGGCCCCCTCACGGGCAGCTGCGGAGGGCCTGCCAAGTGGCGCTCGGTGAGTGCAGAGGCCCCCGCAGGCGCCCGGCTACGAAGCTCGGGGCCCTCGCCTCACAGAGGCGCAGCTCAAGGGAGCCCTGTCAAAATCCCCGGGCGGCGGAGCCCAGGGCCGCTGGCGCTCCCAGCCCGGCCGCCTCGCCCGGAGCTTCGCTATCCTCCTGCGTAAATTCCGCCCCGCGCATAATGCCGCCGAGGGGGAAACTGCCGAAGGTCGCCGAGAGGGCTGCTTCGGAGTGTTTATATCCGACCGTCTCCCAGGCGGTTTAAAGCCCCGCGTCTTCTGCCCACATGGAGATGAGGTGGGGTGGGGGGACGACGACGACGACACCTGCCAGATATCTCTGAAACACAAATGCGAACCCCTCTTCTCGGATATAAAAGTTGGGTTCTTTCTCTACTCCCCCCGCCCCCGGTCAAATGAGCTGTTTTCTCTAAAATGTTTTGCCACGTGCATTTGGGAGCCTACCAGCTTCTCTCAAGCTTGAACCCTTGATCTTATTACATGCTTGCTAGTTCCAGTGAGTCCAGCGGAGTTGGCTCCCATTGAGCCTGCCCTCTGTGATTACACAGCTGTGTGAAAAGCAGTCAGATTCCTCTGATTGCAGCCTAGGATCTGGGTTAAAAATTCTCTTCCTTCCTTCCTGTTAGTGGGCGGGGGGGGGGTTCCCTGAATGAAGTGTGATCTGGGATCTTTCCCTGAATGAAGTGTGATCTGGGATCTAGGCTCTCTCTGTTTCTTCAGCTCCCCTCCTTTTAGGCTGTGATGGGGATCCAATGCTTATGGGACACTCCTGTCAGATCTCCTGGGGACTCCTATCTGTCTTCCCTAGCCGATGACTTTCTGTTTTTAAAGCCTCTCTAGATTTTTTACATGATGAAAGAAATTAGAAAAAGTATTTCTGGGAAGTGTCTAATGAATGACTTTCTACACACATGAGTGTAGTTGGTGATAGGACTTGGCATCAGATATGCTCAGTAGATTAATTTGCCACGTTGGATACTCCCCTGCTTGTGAACAGGTGACCACGCTCCAGATCTTCTAACAGGAAGTGTCATAATCAATTTTGTGGTCAAGTTTGGTTGTCAAGGGAAAGAGGGAGGTTCCTTTCATTCAGGAAGAGAGAACAAGGTTCACTTTGCTTATCTGATTGTAACATGCAGTACTAATTGCTGTGTATTTCTATGAGCAATTTGCAAGCCTTTTTACTTATCAGATGGGCAGATTGTGTGCATGTGAAACACTTTTCTATAATATTTTCTTGAATTGTTTATCATTGGTAAATAATGAAATTAGTTGTGAGACTTAAGTACAAAATAGATCAATACTGCCTTACCGAATAGTTTTTACAGGATGAAAGAAATTAGATAAATGTTTCTTAGACATATCTAATGAATGTGACCTTTCTTTAAAAGAAAAGTTAAGAAACATCAACTTGCATTACAAGCAGAGACAGTTTCATTTTGGCTCTATACTTTTTTTCTGTGCCAGTAAGTCCAAATGGGGGGAAAAACAGTTTGACAGTTGCCTTCTCTGTTAGTGTCTTAACTGCATGTTCTATGCAAATAGGACATTGGGACTTGTGTCTGTTTTTTCTTGGCAAAAATTTAGATGTTTTTAAATAGTCTGAGATGGAATTAAGACTATAATCCTATAACCCTTACCTAGGAATAAGTCCCAGGGACGCAGGTGGCGCTGTGGGTTAAACCACAAAGCCTGGGATTTGCCGATCAGAAGGTCAGCAGTTCGAATCCCCATGACAGGGTGAGCTCCCATTGCTCGGTCCCTGCTCCTGCCAACCTAGCAGTTCGAAAGCACGTCAAAGTGCAAGTAGATAAATAGGTACCGCTCTGGTGGGAAGGTAAACGGCATTTCCATGCACTGCTCTGGTTTACCAGAAGCGGCTTAGTTATGTTGGCCACATGACCCGGAAGCTGTACACTGGCTCCCTCAGCCAATAAAGCGAGATGAGCGCCGCATCCCCAGAGTTGGCCACGACTGGACCTAATACCTTTACCTTTAGGAGTAAGTCCCACTGAATTTGATGAGACTTATTTCTTGAGTAGACATAGGAATGGTCTTTGGCATATCACTGTCTGAATTTAAGTGGCCCATTTGTAAAATAAACATTATTTTGGTCTAATATTATGAGGATCAAGAAGTGTATTACAAAGCATTCTGTATGTTCAGTCCACCAGTGGTGAAGTACTTAACACTTCAGCCGTATGGAGATCTACTAAGAAATAATTATTTTTAGGTTTAGGGACTGACAACAAGGCAAGCAGATAAGAGATTGCAGCCTTAACCATTCTTACAGTACAACATGAATTCTAACAATACCACATGAAATACTTTCACAGCTCCCAGCTTTCAAAGAATAAAATGAATCTGATATTCAGCCAAAAACAAAAGCATCATCTGAAAAATAATTATATTATGATATAATATACAACATAATTCCTGTGTTCATTGCATTCATGCAACAATTCAGCTCATGTATAAATGTTAAGTATAATACTTTGTTTTGTTCTTTATGTGGTTGGTGGTCAGAAGGGAGACAATCAGTATTTCCATACTGTATAAGAGGTATCCAGATTATCAAAAGGAGAAAAATGGAAAGGGGAAATGAATATGATAATGGCAGGAATGTATGTACCACAGCACAGCATGCTTCTGTTGTTTACTATAGCCTCCTCAATGTTCCTTGTACATTTTTAATTGAAAGCCTCTGCTATACAGAGCTTATATTCATTGTGATGATATATAGACTGGGATATACCATACAGGAACGTTATAAACAAACTTAACTGACAGAGCCCTCTATTGACCTGATAGTAGAATTTTGTCTAAGAGGGGTGAAAATGAGACCTGACCTGAAAATGGATATGTAAGCCTAGGCAGATTTCACTGTGGGTAAGAGTTAGAACAAAATAAGGCATAAAATTGGCAAAATAGGTATCGTAAGAGGCAAGAAAGTTGCTGGGGCACAATTTAGTAGAACATTTTAAGATACTAGTGACAAGAGGCTTAAACTCTGTTTAGTGCAGGAAGGGAGAAAGATGTGGATTATAAAAGTTTAAGGGTATAAGAGTGACTGAATATAAATTCTGCATTGGGGTGTGGGCAAAAGATAGGTCAGTATCTACTGGTAGATTTGTGCACATTTTGCAGTAGCTTGGCAAGTGTTTCCAAGCTCTAATTGTTTAAAAATAGCAGCAACAGAATGACTTTTGCCACCTAAATTAAGATGAAATGAAGAAAGCTAACCAGGTGTGGACTTTGGTGCTAAAGTACTGTGGAGTCAGTTCCATTCTCTTACTGAAAACAGTGTTGTGGGCTCAGAATGCTCAGAGCATCATGTTCTTTAATTCTAACTCTATGCTTATTGCACAAGCTTCTGGTTGGTTCTAGTAAAAAAACAAAGTGGATCCAACAAGCCTGTCTGTCTACCCCCGTTCGACCTGATCAACTGGTTTGTCTGACCTGAAACATACATGTATTTGCCAGGAAATTAATAAGAAAACATCTGAAGGGTTTGCATGGTTGTGATACAGCAGTCCATTTTTATTTTTATTTTTTTACACTGATGAGGAGGTGACTAGATACGGGCAGGTGCCTTTTTGATAGGTATTTGCTTCAGGTTTATTGAATACATACAAAAATTAATTTATAGTGACTTAGAATTAAGCCAAAAGTAGAAGTATTTTGTACAGCCTGGAAGCCATCAAGGTCTTGGCAGAAAGCTACTGGGAGGGACAGAAAACTGACCACTGAATCATTTTAAATTAATATAAGTTTAAAGATACTCTAATTTCTAGCCTATTATATAAAGAAAGGGAGCATAACAACTTTATATGTTAATAACCTCTGCTCATTACACTGAAGAATAGTATGCTGATTGTCCAGAATATGTAGCAGGACAAGACTCATTTCCAGTAAATAATTATCACCAACATTTAAGAAGTCAGTCATAAAGTTTCCCACATCAGCTGCACTGTACACTTTATGCTGTAGGTTGATTTATTATTGATTTAATTTTGTACTGCTTAATATATAAATGATATACAAAAACTGAAGCAACAATATACAACTTAAACAAAATATTGCATAAGCACACAGTTACATATTTCAACATATTTTTCCTAAATATTTGTTTTTACTTACTGGAACCTTTACTGGAACCTTTAAAACGTCTTTTAAAATGTACCAAAAAATGCTAGCTAGTTCACAGTCAGTGAATGGCATTTTCATATAACATATAGCTTTCAGTCATAGCCACTTTAAACTTTTTATTTTATTATGTTAAAGGATATAGCTACTAGGGATTACCACTGAAATTGTTATAGGTTTTTCAAATAACAAATTGTGCAATTAACTCCTTACTTGGCTATGGGTGTTCCTTGAAAAGAATTGCTCTTTACAATTTGTTTTGACGGCATATGCTGTATTTAAAATTGCTTACCCCAAACACTGCCACGTAATGTTATCCTGTACTATGGCTATGGCAGATCACTCCTGGCTAAGGAATTAGTTGTAGCTCAGATTGCAATTTTCTTATATACAGTTCCGCTGATTCAGGGAAGGAAGATTTTAGGGAGTTTTGCTTAAGTTTGTTGTTGTAGTAACTTTTTCCTTCTTTGCAGTTCATCATTCTTTCCTCATGAAATACTTTTCTGTGTATTCATTCTTCTTACACTGGTATCGCTGGTTAAGTACTTAATTCGTTCCGGAGGTCCATTCTTAACCTGAAACTGTTCGTAACCTGAAGCACCACTTTAGCTAATGGGGCCTCCCGCTGCCACCGCACAATTTCTGTTCTCATCCTGAAGCAAAGTTCTTAACTTGAGGTACTATTTCTGGGTTAGTGGAGTCTGTAACCTGAAGCGTATGTAACCCGAGGTACCACTGTACACTGTAGAAGCTCCACAGTTTCCCAGTAGCAACTGGAATTGAATCAGGGGCAGGAAGGGATAAAAATGCTTGGTCCGAAGTAAATCCTGATTTAGAACTATTGGACCCAGGGCCACAAAAAAAGTTTGTGTCTTATTTTTAAAATTTGTCAGTTGCCTCACAGATCTTTATTTCATAAGGAACAGGAGGTTTTGCTCTCATTTAGAAGCAGTCATTATGTAGAACCTCTAATTTTGCCAATTAACAGTTGCTACTGGATATAATAATTATTTCTGCAAAGGCCTGTTTATTGTTGCCTGTAACCCAACCTAGTAAATTTACAAGTGTTTGACAATGTATAATTAGCTTCCTGTTCCTTTCCCTGTAACGGGGCTGGGGAATATCAGACCTGGGGGCCATTCAGCCCTTCAAGTCATATCCCTCACTAGTTCTGCTCTACACTCTGCCTGAGTGCTTTTCCTGGGTTGGATTGTGCCCTTGAGTAATGCTAATGCCCCTTGCTTCCCTCTATGGAGGATGAAGAGATGCAGGTCAGTGTGTAGAAACTGCTGAGTTTTGCATGTCTGGAATACCCTCCTGTACAGTCTCATCTGCTTCTCCACCTACTCTTGACTCTGCCCACCAGTAGCAGGTATTCCCCAGGAAGTTGTCAAGGAGGCCTCAGTCTGAAAAAAAGATTCCCAACTGCTTCCTATAGATCTCCACAGTTTTTCTTCCTTTTCGTCTCCCATCCTTTCTTTGCAAATATCACATGGTATTTAATAAAACGGCTGCATATAGAAGTGGGCTATAGCAATCTCTTCTTCATAGCCAAGTTGTATGTCTAAAAGGGGTTGTTTCTGATAACACTTAATTGTGAGCGTCTAATAATACCATGAGAAGTGGGCATTGAGCAGAATAGAAAACAGGTGGAAGAAAAATGTTTCTGGATTTTCTTTCTTCCCTTTCTTTTGTCGTAGGATTTCCTTCATTGGGGCTTTGATAAATTGGGGCATGTGTATGGGGTTTTGATCAGGAAAAAGGAGGGAAATAATTAAATCACGCCCAGCTGTTCCAAACAAATCGACCTCTCCACAAGTTAAAAGTTTGGAGAGCAGTCTGACCTGCTAAACTGGCCTGTCTGTTAGAGGAGGGATTTTGATATAATTTATAACTTTTTTCTTCTGGGAGTAGAAACTAGCAGGAGAAGACAAGGCGTTTGTAGTTTCTTGCCTGCATTAATATTTACTACCTTGCACAACTGGATGGAGTGTGAGCGTGTGTGAATAAAACTGTTGAAGCCTGGAGGAAACCAACATTTAGTAAAGGGAATCTTGTGCAATGCTTTCCCCATTATGGCAGATACGTTTTTTCCCAAGCTGCTGATATCTCAGGTTTCTTAGCTTCAGTTCTGACTTAAATGTTACTGTGTTATCTCTTGCAAAGTACTGTAGTTTGCTCAGAGATTTCATACTGGACTTTCAGTGTAGTCTTCCCCTGCCCCTCATCAAAATTATATTTTATTGATTTGTTAGCAAAAAAAAAAAGGTGCAAGCTTAACAAAAAGAAAGAAAACAAAGTCCATTTTTGTAAAGCATCGCAACCTGGAAGGACAAAAGTTCAAAGATACAGCACAGCTCCAAAGGGATAATAAAGTACTAATGCATACGATTCCCTTTGCATAACAATAAAGATATGTAAAAATAGAAGTATTCTCCGCCCGTGTCTTTTGTGATTATTGAGTATAAAGGGTCTATAAAGTCTTGGGTGAGCCAAACATTTAAATATACTGGTCAGCAATCATGTGCCTCCTCAGTACCTACAATTAATCACCCAGAGTTCAGTTCTGGAGGATGACAATTAGCACTACTATATCATTTTTGAGGTGAACAGCAGCAGAAAAATTCAGTAAAAGTTGATATAGCCAGCAGTACTACATGTTTAAGAAAACTTTTGCAAATAAAGTTTTGAAATTCCCAACAATTAAATAGTTTTTGGGTTGTGTTATCTGCATGTCTGGAACAGTATTTAAATTACAACATAAATTGGAAAGGAAAATTATTTTGGGTAAACATGGGCACTGAATCACAACAGTAGGGGGATATTTGCTAAGCTTTCGTTTAAGTGACACAAATGGTTTATAAAAAAATAAAATGTATTTGGAGCAGATACTATTCTAACCAATATTTTGTTTCAAGAGGAAAATACAAAACATTTAGTTTTTTAACTAACTGCAGTAACTGTCATTAGTTTTGCCATAAGGAATATAAGGGCAGTGTGGCAGGATAAGTGCTAGTAAACTTGGCTCTTTCCACATATTTTGGACTACAACTCCCATCATGCCTGAGCATTGGGCCATGCTGACTGGGGCTGATGGCTGTTATAGTCTGCAACATCTGGAGACCACCACATTGGTTATCCGCATTGGCAAAGTTAATGAGAGAAGTAAATTCAGATATCCGTTTAGTATAAATAGTACTTTGTTATTGATTCTCAAAAGTGCATCTGACAAAATTTGTGTTTTGAGATAGAATGGTAATACATATATCATTGCTGGTATCATCCACTTTTTTACCAAGTTATTGGCTTTTGTCTTATATTGGCATCTGTGTATAGTATAAGTCTGCAACATAAACCATTTGTTCTGTTTTTCTCCCCAGATGAAATAAAAGCAGAATTAGAAAAGCAAAGGTGAGTAAGTGCTGGTGACCACATGTATCATATAAAAACACTTAATATGCAGGTGTATGTATAATTTATCTAGCTGCTTCAGGTAACACATCACAGCAACACAATGAATGTTCCTCGAGTAGTAGAACATTTTCTTTTGGATGAACATGTTTCAGGCTCGCTTCTAGGCAGGAGTTGAGTGGCATGGACAAAAAAAAAGTGGCTTTGGATGTGGTAAGACCTTCTGAAGCTGCCCTCAGTACAGTTATTTGCAACTGTGTCTTTAGGAAAAAAATGGGGAATTTGGAAGAAAATGAACAAGTTTAGGTAATCCCTGTGGCTATGAGTGGCCTAAGTAGAATTAATTGTATTTCAGTTGCAAGTAACGACTTCCCAAAGATATTGTTTTACCACTTCCTTTCTTCTCAACTGGATTTTTCTTTCATTTCTTATGACATGGCAGTTCTCTGCTAACAGAACCTCCACTTCCTCTCTTTAGATCTCTTTTGCATATGTTCCATAATGTATGCGTGTAATTGGCTTGGTCAGAGATACCAATCTGCATGATTAATGAAACCCAGCTCTAATCTGTTGGTGTTTAGCTGTCTCTCTGATGTTATCGGATTAGAAAATTACTTTAGTTCTGTTTTCTGGATCTCTGTTTCTTCAGTAGCATGCTGTGCCTGGTGCAAACACAAGTTCATTATACTTTGGGAAGAATCCTAATGATTTTCTTCTATTGTTCTGTGTTGGTTTTCCAAGCCACTGTTGGTCATTTTCCACACTTGGATTTCTGTTGTGATGTAGGCTGGGGTGGGGGCTTCTGTTTATCTTACCCCAACACAATCTGGAAATTCAATGTTGAGTCATGTACTTGTCGCCAAAGGAAGTAGTTACAGTGGTACCTCGGTTTAAGAACAACCCTGTTTAAGAATGATTCCATTTACTAACCATGCAAAACTGGAAATAGTGTCCCAGTTTGAGAACTTTACCTTGGTCTAAGAATGAAATCTGAACGGTGGAAGGGCACTGGTGGCGGGAGGCCTCATTAGGGAAAGTGCACCTCGGTTTAAGAACAGTTTCGGTTTAAGAACGGACTTCCAGAAAGGATTAAGTTTGTAAACTGAGGTACCACTGTACTGTTTTGGAGGTAGCTTGACATGACTTTCATCATCTTTTATTCTGCAGAAAAACATTAATAAGCATTTTCACTATATTTCTCTAGGTAGATACGTGTGCTAACCATTCCCTCCTTATGTTTCAAAAGAAGCTTAGACACTGCATGCTATGTGGGAATATTCCAGTGCTTCTTAAACATACTGTGAGAAGTAGCTCTTAGCAAGTTTTGATGGTTGGCCTTGCAGTAGCAGGATACATTGACATTTTCTGCCTCTTGAAACTTAATAATCTTGAACCCAGTTGTTAAAAATACTTAAATATAAAGCTATCTTAACTTTTTATACACATTTTTTTATAAAAAAAAATTATACAAAAACATACATTCAAATATGTCATTCCTATGTAACATATGTCCTATTACAGCTTAAATTTCATTCTTTATAAGCTATATTTGATCTTGGTGCTGAAAAAGCATTAAATTATTGAATCTTTTAATTTTGCTCCATTTAGGTCATAAAAGGAGACCGTAATCTTTCAAATTGTTCTTGTTTTTATCTCCCTTCCTTCATTTTAACTTTTAAGCCAAAAGGGAATGAATCCATGAGAAAACAACTCATGCTCAAAAATTTCCACACTGGTATATTTAAAAAGTACCGTACTTAATTTTATTAGCTTCTACTTCTTGACACATCCATTCATGCAGTGCAATTGGATGTTGTTTTTCCAATTCTTTAGGCTGTGATCTTCAAGTACATGCATGCAAGAATGACTTCCTCAATAGTCTTTCATCAACCGAAAAATAAAGTGGTTTTGTACTTGAGGGAGGAGTTAAACCAAGTTGCTGTTAAGAGTGAGACTATAGAGAGAGCGTGTCTGCATGTAGATAATTGTGTGCTGATTTTTGACACACATGGACATTGGAGACTGTGGTCCTAGGTTTCAATACTTCACGTGCTTGCTGACAAACTTGCTGCCAGTTAGGTATGGTGGATATTAGCCCTTGCCATCTTGTTGTAAGAGGTGTGCAGCAAGGCCAACTACTCTGAGTTGGAAATAGTTATGTATATTTGGAGATAGGACCTGCATTGCTTTCTATGCCTTAGAAAGGAATGTATCAATGGCTTTTATGTTGTGTGTTCTATGTGGATAGGAAATTAATATGAAAGCCATTGCTCAGTTCATAACACTGAGTGATTTTGTTGTTGTTTTCAATTTTTCTAACTAGCCAAGGCAATGAAACTACTCCAAAAGCAAACTTCATTGAAGCCGATAAATATTTCCTCCCATTTGAGTTAGCCTGCCAGTCGAAGTCCCCACGGATTGTCAGCACCTCATTGGACTGCTTGCAGGTATCCTTTTTAAATTAAGTATTTATCAACCTTGGCTGTGTTTATTTTGACAGTGTCCTCTAAATTTTATGTTGAAGCAGATGCATGTATGTATATATTGTTAGGCTGCAGACAGAATTGAGAAGCTACTTTCTTTATTTTGTCTTCCTTTCCCTGCCTCCAAAGTTCTTTAAAACATCTGTTACAGGTTTTATTAGTAATTGTTCCACGCTCACCCCTCCCTCAGCTTTGACATATTTTAAGACATTCCTTACACTTACACACATACACACACCATCAGCCTCTTTGGAACCTGCTAATGAAGCTGTCCTGCATTTTGAATCCTCTAAATGACATGGAAAGTGTTTCATGTGTGAAAGTGATTATAATACATTTTTTTCTCTCTCTCTGTAGAAACTTATTGCATATGGACATATCACTGGCAATGCTCCAGACAGTGGAGCTCCTGGGAAACGCCTGATTGACCGCATTGTTGAAACAATCTGCAATTGCTTTCAGGGTCCTCAGACTGACGAGGGAGTGCAGTTACAAATTATAAAGGTATTTTATTTTGATTTATATTTTAGAAAGGCTGTTTGTTAATAAGACTTTTGCTTAGTCTATGCTTTCTAAATGGAGGAGGCTCTTCCTTTTATCTTCCAGTTAGAGAATCCCCAAATCTAATTTTAAAAGGCTGTACAATTTACCCCTTCCTGCACCATACTATGAAAATTAAATTAACTACCTCTTGGTAAATATGAACTCATATCTTATTTAAGTAGCCATTTCTTCCTAGACCACAGAGCTCTGTTAATGGATTTGAAATGTTTTTTCTGCCATATGCTGCCCATTTCTCCCTCTCCTTCACCCAACTTAGCTTTCTGCAAATTGCATGTTGTATATTAGCTAAAGATTATTTTCTGAAGCTCCAGTACCTTATTTCTCATTTGAGATCTAATTTTCTTAATAACTCGTGGCTATTGACTGACAGGGCTTAGTTTGTAAGTAAGTTTGTATTGCATTTGATTGTAGTAGTAGTGGCAGCAGCAGCAAATATTCATTCATTCATTCATTCATTCATTGTACCCCTCCCATCTGACTGGGTTAACTCAGCCACTATGGGGGGCTTCCAACAAAATATAGTGAAACACAGCAAAACATCAAAGATTAAAAGCTTCCCAAAACCGGACTGCCTTCAGATGTCTATGAAAAGTTATATGATTGTTTATCTCTTTGACATCTAATGGGAGGGCGTCGTACAGGGTGGGCACAACTACCGAGAAGGCCCTCTATGTGGTTCCCTGTAACTTCATGTCTTGCAGTGAGGGAACCACCAGAAGGTCCTTGGAACTGGGCTTCAGTGACCAGGCTGAATGATGGGAGTGCTGGTGCTCTTTCAGGTGTATAGGGCCTACAGCATAGGATACGGCATTTACATTTTGCAAACATTCTTTTTGCTGATTGTAGCAATGTAACAGGTCTCTCCAAAACTTATTGACAATAAAAGTTTTTACAGTAAAAAGTCAATTGATTTCAAATCCCTCTGTCTTTTAAATTGCCAGGATGATGTACTGCAGTAAAAATTAGTTTTAAACACTTAACACATGAGGCCTGAACTAGATATAACATGCAGTTGTGTGCATTTTTATGTGTGAGGAAAACACCTGGGAGCACTAAGAGGAAAAATGGCTAGAGCAGGAGCAAACAGCTCCCCCTCCTGTTCTATCACATTCATTCTTCTGCAGCTGCTTTTGATTTAAAAGAGAGAAACTCCTCATGAATGAGACATACACATGACTGTGTGTCACATGTTCTGGCATCTTGGATATTCCTTGGGCTCGTATGTAAACTTCCAGATTCTGTAACAACTATTAGCAAAGAGATTCTTACAGCACAAGGATATGCATGTCTATACAGTCACTTTTGAATGCAATGAGAATTACTCCCAGGTAAATCATGGAATTGTAGAGTTGGAAGGGATCTCACGCATCATCTAGTCCAACCCGCTGCAATGCAGGAATCTCAGCTAAAGCATCCATGACAGATGGCCATCCAGCCTCTGCTTTAAAACCTCCAAACTCTCTTCCTAACCTCCCAAGGGAGTCTGTTCCATTGTCAAACAGCTCTTACTGTCAGAAGGTTCTTCCTGATGTTGTCAGGTGTGTAAGGTGCCATCTTAGAATGCAGGGGAAAGCAGGTTTTAGGAGTTGTGCAGAGGAGACATTCTCAGACAATAAAAGCAAAACAGTGGGGTTCAGTTTTGAACAAAAAATATGGAAGTTGAACTACATGTCGGTAGTGTGTTTTGAAATCCACTTGGGGGCTTAAAGAAGCAGAACATTTGAAGAGGAAAATGTGAAGGTTGTGTCTTCTGCTTGTAAGCATCATGAACTCCAAAGCAAAGTAACAGTATGTCATCTTTGACAAAAATACAGCCTAAAATAGTTTTTGAGTAGAAACTTGGGCTATCCCTAGCAAGAGGTCATGCCTGCCCACAGTGTCCCCCTCTCCTGATCCTCATACTTTTAGAAAGGAGGATGTGGGGTTCATTTGTTGCCAAAAACATTGTGAATGTTTCCCTTAAACTTTGGTCAAAGACTGTTTTTTCTCAGTAGTGCTATAAATTGCCAGTACTGCTACTATAACACATTTTATTAATTTTAACTTATGGGACTACGGGAAGGCAAGAGCCATGCTGACCTTATGACTGATTGTTCGTTGTTCAGAGCACTATATTTAAATAAGTTTTGTTCCCATTTGCTTAGATGTCTTTATTGTAGTGTATGTTGTGTTTCCCCCTCCAGGCTCTTCTCACTGCTGTCACATCCCCGTATATTGAAATTCACGAAGGAACAATCCTTCAGACTGTTAGAACTTGTTACAACATTTATCTAGCCAGTAAAAATCTCATTAATCAAACAACTGCCAAGGCTACTCTCACTCAGATGCTGAATGTCATTTTCACCCGGATGGAAAACCAAGCTGTATGTAGTAAATGTTTATCAATCTGACTTTTATGTACATCATTTAATTGTTATATTACTGCTCCTTCTCCTCTGAGCTATTGTCATCTGATTCATATTTGTAAGCATGTTGCAGGCTTACAAGCTCCCTCTTTCCCACTTGCATGCCAGTTATCTCCTCTCTTTTCTGGTTTGTCTTAACCATAGTTCACCATGACGTCTCAATCAGGCAGACCATAGTTAGCATCAACCAGGAATTCCTGCTAAACCATGGTTTGCAAAACTCACTTCAAGCCATGATTTCACATCCATAATTTGGAGGCAATTCCTAATTTGTGCTAACCATACTAGACCTTGTTCAGACATCAAAGGAAAAAGCAAATCAGAAAGAAGAGGAAGGACTCTTTCTCAATTTTGATGTTACATTCTGGTCCTCCAAGCTGTGATTTAGAGTAGGGATGGAGAACCTGTGGTCCTCTAAATGTCGTTGGACTCCCAACACCCCAGCCAGTATGGCCAGTGGTCAGGGATGATGTCGTCCAACAACATTTGGAGAACTACTCTTTTCCCATCCTTGGCTTAGAGAATAAGACCTCTGCTGTGTTGTGAGCTCACAGGTGATCTTTTATCATGAACATTATATGTGCCCAACTACTTCTTTGTTGTACTGTGGTTTTGCTGTGCTGTGATTCCTCTCCAAATATAAGGAACTTTGCTAGCAAAGACAACTTGGATTCCTTAAAATCTGTTTTAATTAAATATTTATAGTCTGTACCTTGTAGACTTAAATTTTCTGTATGATGGAACTCCAAAGTCATCTTGGAAAATAACCCTTACTGTCTTACATAAATGTTAAAACTGAAGGCCCCTGAATTGAGCTGATGCAATAGGAAGGTGTGTGGTTTTTGAAGCATGCTGCATTATTTGGTTCTGCCCCCTATTGACTATTACTTTGTTATATACCTGATGAATACAGTATGTTTCTATCTTGGTTGTTTAGATACAAGAGGGAAGAGACCTGGAAAAATCAAATCAACAAAAACCCCAGTCTCCGATGATTCATAGTGCTTCAGGGTCTCCCAAATTTGGCCGATTGAAATACAGCCAGCATGGAAGCAGACCCTCGACTCCTGTCAAAACAGACTTGACTAATGGCGAGCCTGAAAGAAAAGAAAACGGAGACCAGAAACCAGAGGACAGTTTGACACCACCTGTATTCGGTAAGAAAACTTCCTGTATTGGGGCTGACTTAGGTTATCAGCCATAGTTTTATGAAGTCGTGCCCAAGTTTGTTATGTGCCAGTTTCAGCACAAAGATCCTGGTTTAGCTTAAGCTGGACCGTTGCGTTACATCCAGGGAACTCTGGCATAATATTAGGTAACGGATCAGGAAAATAAGTCAGGATCTGGCACTGAGCCTGGGTTCTCTGGTTCAGATGCAGCAGAGAGCTCCAGCTTAATGCAAGGCAGGGCTTTTCTGTTGAATCTGGGATGGGATGGGAAGATAGGGGAGCTATGGTTTGGCAGCATTCAAACAATCTTCCAAGGCTTTACAAAGTAAAGTGATTTGTCTACAAGGATAATGCTGATTTACACTTCCTCTTAAGATACTCTCATATAACTGAGAGCTGTTACAGCAGGGATGGGGAAGCTATGGGTCCTTCAGACGTTGTTGGATCCTAACATCTGTATTCTCTTACCATTGACCATTTGGGCTAGCGCTGATGGGATCATGAGTCTTGCCCCATTTTATGATATTCCCTTTTAAAATGGTTATGCAGTCACTTTCCTTTTATTGCCTGTATCACTTGCGTGGGTGGCGCTATGGGTTAAACCACAGAGCCTAGGACTTGCCGATCAGAAGGTCGGCGGTTTGAATCCCCCCAACGGTGTTAGCTCCTGTTGCTCGGTCCCTGCTCCTGCCAAGTTAGCAGTTCGAAAACACATCAAAATGCAAGTAGATAAATAGGTACCGCTCTGGCGAGAAGGTAAACGGCATTTCCGTGTGCTGCTCTGGTTCACCAGAAGCGGCTTAGTCATGCTGTCCACATGAGCCGGAAGCTGTCTGTGGACAAACACAGGTTCCCTTGGCCAGTAAAGCGAGATGAGCCCCGCAACCCCAGAGTCGTCCGCGACTGGACCTAACAGTCGGGGTCCCTTTACCTTTACACTTGCCAAAAAATGATTCAAATTGCCTCTGATCTCAAACTGTAGTACTTGTTGCTTCATCAAAGCTTTCAGCAGCAGGCTGGCTATTTCTCAAAGCCTTGCAGCTCCGAGCAGTGTAATTTATCTGTAGGTATCTCTATCAAATTGCAGCTTTTTGTGCCAAATGTTAGTCTAATGGAATTGGGCATCGTTAAAAAGTATGTCGGATAGGTGAATGGTTGACAAAAAACCATGCAAGGCATTTTTTTAAAAAAAAGAATCAATCACAATAAACAACTGCTAGATTTTCCAGCTTATTGGATGCCATGATTTGTCAAGATAGCTAAAAGCATTTGTGTAGCTATAGGGCAGGTGTGGCTGACTTGTGGCCATCCAGATGCTGAACCTCAAGTACTGTTCCTAAATAGGACTCTATTTGTTGAAGACTACTCTACAGATTGCAGCATCAGAAAAAAGAGAGAGAATAAATGTTAATTATGAGACCAAGCTAATTGTGTTAAGATAAAAACAATATTTTTACATATCGGTAATATTAATCCTGATAATCTCTCTATTAAAATGTAAAATCTTCTATTTTGATTCCTATTTCTTGTTGGCTGAAGTATAATAAGTAGCTTGTCACCTGCTAATAGATCTCACTTCCTAGCTCAAAATCTTGAACGTTATCTCCTTTTTTAGTGGATTCTAATTGCCAACATTTATTTTTAAAAGTGTATATAGCAGAAAGTATTGTGTTTGGCATCAAATATAAGTTATTTCAGATATCCATTTGACAGATATTCTAGGAAATGATTGACATATTGGCCCAATTTAATAATTGACTGCACCAAAACTGATATTTTTTTCTAGGATGACTGAAGTAAGTACTCTGAATCCCAAATATTTGTTCCCATGTGTCTTTCATTGGGAAGTAAAAATTCTACCGTGGTGGGACTTCTTTAATAGCCATTGTAGCCCTATTTTACTGATACAAACACAGTTTTAGCCTTTGAAACTGACACCAGGTGAGTCCAAGTGCCTTGGTGTTCCACAAAGCATTCTCTGACATAGCAATGTTACCATACTGTGCTACTTGATTCTTCAGCCTTGTGAACAGCTTGATCAAAATGGTTTTTCGGGTGACTTCCATAATAGCTAAGAACCACTGGAGCTTAGCCATCCTTAAAAGAGGAGCACAGAGCATAATCAATTTTCCCCTAAGATCTAGCTCAAAATATAACATGCTTATCTAGTGAACTGACTTCCTGCTATGTAGAGAGGCTCTGTCAAGGCCTGGCTCAGGTCTCAGTTTGGCCCATGAGGCAGTTTTCCCCACAGCCACCTGATGTCCTGTGTCCAGGTGAAGATGCATTTGCAAGGAACATTTGGAAGCCTTAAAATGCTTTTGATAGTTCCTTGGCAAGTCAGGCTTGCTGTCAGTGCCAATCAGTTAATTGGTGGTAACAACAGACCTGCTGGAATCGGCTGCTGTGTAGAGTTTCCCATTGGAAACTCTATAGTTCTGTCCATACGTTCCCATAGCAAGCTTGCTGTAAATGTCAAACAGCTTTAGGGCTCCTGTGTGAAATAAGTCTAAATATCTCTAATCAGCTTTTCCTAACCAGGGCTTGTGCTCTCTCTGTGTGTATGTGTGTACACACACACACACACACACACACACAACCTAATCTCTGATCTTATGTAAATTGTTGAAACCATCTTTTAAAAGAGAAGGCTAAATTGCAACATTTTTCAAATGACTTATTGATATATGTTTTATCAGAAGAAGAAACTGATGAAGGCAAAGAAATTGTTAAAGGAATCTTGGAGGATGTGGTGACATCTGCAGTTAGAGGTAAAATTTCTTTGGGGAAGTCTCTGTCTTTCTTCATCCCTTTACTAAGAGATTGACTCATTCTTAAAACCTTTCCTCCAAGACTACAAATCCCGAGAAAAGTATATTAGAGTTCTGTGCAGGAGTAGCGTTAGTGACTTGCCACCGATAGGATTCTATATCTACTAATCTCCCATATATAAGATAGGATAAGTACTATCTAATCATTTAGCAATACTTTTCCCCCTTTCTTTTAGCTGGTGTGAATGAGATTATATATCGAGGATGCTGTTTATAAAAAAAATACTGCATTTCCTCCCCTCCTGCAGCTTCTTTAGAAGAAGAAATGAAAAAGCCGTCTCTTCCTGAATCGGTTAGGATTTTATCTGACTTGGCAAGTGCAGTTCCTGCCTCTCCTGGTGGTATTAATGAAAACACACAAGCAAATGGAATTCCCGATGATAGACAGTCTGTCTCCTCCACGGATAATCTGGTAAGAGATTTAAGTGTACAGTAAACGTAATGCAAAGCTCCTAACATTCTGAGAGTATTTGGTAGGAGATCAGTTGGACCACAGGATACTCACATACCAAAATGTGTGAAAGGACATATCCCCACTACAGTGGTACCTCGGGTTAAGTACTTAATTCGTTCCGGAGGTCCGTACTTAACCTGAAACTGTTCTTAACCTGAAGCACCACTTTAGCTAATGGGGCCTCCTGCTGCCGCGCCACCGGAGCACAATTTCTGTTCTCATCCTGAAGCAAAGTTCTTAACCTGAAGCAATATTTCTGGGTTAGCGGAGTCTGTAACCTGAAGCGTATGTAACCTGAAGCATATGTAACCCGAGGTACCACTGTACTTTAATAGATTTTCCATAGAAATGTGATTTGGGTACATATCATCATTAAGTATAGTATGAAGCTTAATATAATATGACACTTATATGACAATCCTTATTCAGTCTTGTTCTTGAAAGCAAAGCCTTACTTTATAACAGGGCTGCAAAATAAAAAAAAGCTGCTTGAGACAAAGCAGGACCTTTAGTCAATCTACCTCAGTTTTATGTGCAGTGACAAATAGCAACTTTCCAGGCCTATCTGGAGAAGCCAGGGATTGAACATACGACCTTCTGCATGCAGACCATGTGTTCTACTGAGCTGTAGCCCTTCTGTAGTGGAATGGTAAAGGCTTAATTGTTTTCTACGTGCAGTTTATTTTGCAGGGGGCTGTTGTGCTGAATGTAACCAAATCTGACATTATACACAGTTTTCCTTCTATTCGAACAACTGCATTTGAATGTAACGCTAGACCTTGGTTGAATAATATGAGACTGAGCCTGCGTGAGCCATGGACTTATGCACCTCTTTCCTCTTTTGGCATGGCAATACGATCAGAAGCATCTGCTTCTTCTTTTTAGAAGAGTTAGTTAATAGTTGGGGGGAAACAGCTTCATAAACTATGGTTTGAAGGTGGCTGTGTTTCAAGAAACCATAATTAAGATTTATCAGTGTTTGTCTGAGTCCAGACATCATAATAAGCTGTGCTTAATTTGAAGTGCATGCCTCAGAACTCAAGACTTGCACCCATGCCAGAGGGGAGTGCACAAGCCCAAGGCTTACCCAGGCTTGATCCCATAATCATGGTGCAGCATTACATCTGAGCAAGACTTTTATTTCCTTTTTAAAATTGATCTCAACAAAACATAAGTGTAATTCAAATGCTACTTGTTCATATGTGTTTGTGGCTGAATCAAAACTAACTCTTTTGTTTCTTTGTCTAGGAAACTGATGTACCTGGACCTCAGGCAGCTGCCAGATTCTCCCATATCCTTCAGAAGGATGCCTTCCTTGTGTTTCGGTCATTGTGCAAGCTTTCGATGAAACCGCTTGGTGATGGGCCTCCAGATCCCAAGTAAAAAAGAAAATATTACATTTATTGATTTGTACACTATCCAGAATGAGACCTGAAGTAACACAGTTCAAAATGCATTCATAATTTAATTAGCTATGAAGCTGCATGTATGGTTGCTTTGGTGTATAGTATATTGTAGCATTACTTATCTTGGGTGTAAACCTTCCTCATTTATGAAACTGCTAAGTCATGTTTTTCTAAAGTGATCCATGATTGCTGGACCACGTCTGAATTCTGAGACATGCCCAAGGGAACAGCTGCATGCCTTGACTTCAAAGAGACACAAAACATATTATTCTCTCCTCTGCAGCAGGGGGATACTAACTTTGGTATAGGTTCACTACTTGATTTGTACATTTGCTGTCAAGTAAGATTTGTGTGTGTCTGAGAGAGAGAGTGAAATGTAAGTTGTAGAGATGCCAGAAGGCTTAGGGCTGTGATATGATTCCGGCTGACAGAAATTGCTGTATTTCTTCTGCTGGGAAATGAATGAAGGTTCAAAGGGATTCAGGATCTGTAAAGGGCATGATAAAGTTTGATGCCTTTAGTGGAACTAAGTGACCCTCAAGCATTGTTAGCATGCAATGCTGTCCAGGGTGTGTGAGTGTGTGTTTTATTACAAAGGAAAGGAAAGGTTAAAGGTTAGCTTCTTTGTTAAGTGTGGTGAAATCATCTTAAAACTACTCTCTCGTGAACATTGAAAGACAATCAAATGTTTTAGTACATCAGAAAAGCTCTATAGTCAATGTTGCATCCTCTACACACATACACCCGGCCCGATTCTATGCACTGCCACTAACATCACTCCTGACCCTTGGCTATGTTGGTTAGGTCTGACTGGAATTGGAGTCCGTGAGATCTGGAGGACATCATGTAGGGCAACCTTTACTCTTATAACATACGAAGAGCTTATAACAAGATATTGTTTTGACTCTGTTCTTCTGCTTACTATTTTTAGATCCCATGAACTACGCTCTAAAATAGTGTCTCTCCAGCTGTTGCTTTCGGTTTTGCAAAATGCTGGTCCGGTCTTCAGGACACATGAAATGTTTATAAATGCAATCAAGCAATACCTCTGTGTAGCATTATCTAAAAATGGAGTATCGTCCGTTCCTGACGTCTTTGAGCTCTCCCTTGCCATCTTCCTCACCCTTCTCTCAAACTTTAAGACCCATTTGAAAATGCAGATTGAGGTAAGAAGGTTTTGTTTTTTCTTCTTGCTTCAAATGCTTGATACTCTCCTTAAGTTCAGTTCAGTAGTAATATGAAACTGTCTCTGCATATGGATCATGAATCAACCCTGTATGTTCTGTATTTGAATGTGTGTGTGTGTGTGTGTGTGTTTGTGTGTTCAGAACTTTTAACGATATCCTTGAATGTACGCCTGGGTTACAGACCTTGCTCCTACTTTTCCTATTTGTATTCAACAGGTATTTTTCAAAGAGATCTTCCTGAACATTTTAGAAACCTCTTCTAGTTCCTTTGAGCACAAATGGATGGTAATTCAGACCTTGACTAGAATTTCTGCAGGTAATTTTATAACATCATCAAGAAATTTTCCTTTTCTGCTTGTTTAGAATATCAAGAATGAATAGAAGAAGTAAGTATAGGCATACTGTATAGAAGTAATAACAAAATAAATATATCTAGAGTGCCTTGAGGCAACACATCCACAAACACCATACACACTAAAAATATTAGTCTGGGCACTTTTTTGTTGGAATCGTTGGAATGTGACCTGAAGTATTTCCCAAACGTAGCTGCTAAGACACTATGAGGTTGGTGGAGCCCAGGAGAAACAAGAGGGAATGAGAAGTACAGTAGCCCTGTGAAAATGTCAGGTGGAGCAGGAGGGAATAAAAGCAGCTAATGTAGTGTCTTTCACTGTGCTAAGTGTTTTGCAGTATTTATCCCCGTAACTAGTGGGAAGTCTGCTAAAGACTGGTGGTGATTGGTTCAAGGTAATCAATCCACTGTGCTTTCTGGCTATGCAGGGACTCTCTCATGTCCAGTTTAGCCAAAGGGCAGACACTGGAGACGTTTGGAATATAGAGGCAAAGAAGTGGTGGAAAAAGGGGTCTTCAAGGGGTTTGGATGCCAACTGAGTATTTCCTGCCTTCCAGCAGTGGCTGGTGGGGTGGGGTGGAGCTTCCTTCCTGACTCCAAAATTGCTGGATGTGGCAGGCATGGGGCATTGTGTGACAAGGTCAGAGTTGCACCGATGCGCCATCGGAGCAAGCCTGGCTCTCCCACCAGTGCATATGCACAGCCCTAGTCTTGCTTTTTGCTACTAGTGCGGGCCTTTTTTGATGTGGGGGAAATAGTTCAGAAAATGTAATCCAGTTCTGATATAATAATGCAAACAATGGCTTGCATTATCCCTTCCTCACCCTTTTCCCCAGTTCGTTTCATAGGTATTAAATGGGGGGGGGGGGAATCCTGTCACAATAGTCTGTTGTCTGCATACATTCTTCCCAGACAACTCAATTTTCATAATCTAATTTTTGTTTTGTTTTGTTTTAGATGCTCAGTGTGTGGTGGACATATATGTGAACTATGACTGTGATTTGAATGCTGCTAATATTTTTGAACGGCTAGTAAATGACTTATCTAAAATTGCCCAGGGAAGGAGTGGACATGAGTTAGGCATGACACCGCTGCAGGTAAGACCCATCCGTGCAATTCCCACTGTGTTCAGTTAAGTATATTGGCAGCCTTGTATTAGTATCTTGTATGTATTCCATCCACTTGTCCATTTGCTCGCAAAGAGTTTAGGAGTGCACTTAGTTTCATGACAATCGAACATGGAGCCAAACTTGAGTAGAAGTGTAAAGCAATGCCCTTGAAGATAACTCAGAAACTGGTCCAAAATGCAGCAGCCAGATTACTGGTTGGGTTTCCATTTAGAGCTCACATAATCTCAATTTTTAAAAAGCTGCATCGGTTATCGCAAGCTTCCTCTCACTCGGCCCTCCAGATGTTTTTGGCCTACAACTCCCATGATCCCTAGCTAGCAGGGCCAGTGGTCAGGGATGATGGGAATTGTAGTCTCAAAACATCTGGAGGGCCGAGTTTGAGGAAGCCTGAGTTATTGGTTGGTTCCCAAACCAAATTCCAAGTCTTTGCAGTAGCATTTAAAGGCAAAAACAACTTAGGCCCCAAATAGCTGAAAGGCTATGGCTTTTTTTGTTTTTTGTTTTTAATATTCTGAGGTTCCAAAGATCTCGACCTGTTTACATCGTAATTGTTCTTTCTCCACATATTTTGCGCACAGGAACTAAGCCTACGGAAGAAAGGTCTTGAATGTTTGGTCTCTATATTAAAGTGCATGGTAGAATGGAGCAAAGACCTATATGTGAACCCCAACCATCAGGCCAGCGTTGGTGAGAAATCAATCCTTTTCTGTATCCAAAACCCTACTTAAAATAGCTGGAAGCCGGAGTGAAATGATTTGTGGCTTCGTACATGTTACCTAAAGCCGGCTTCTTATTTTAGACCTTGTATTATCAGAGAATTAGAATTTGCTGGTGCAAGTTTTGTGACTTTTTAATATCGGGGGATTGCCAGTGAATAATTAAGAACATAAGAAGAGCCCTCCTTGATCAGGCCAAAATCCAGCATCCCATTCCCACCAGCTGCTTATTGGAAGCCCACAAGCAGGCCCTGAACGCAATAGCACCCTCCCCACTTGCTCTCATGGATTATCAAGATGAAAGATCCCTTTGTGATTGAGCAACTGTGGCTCTTTATCTAGATCAGAGGTGGGAAACTGGCCTGCCCCCTGTGGGCCATTTTTGACAGATGGGCATGGCAACCCATGTCAATCATACAACTTCAGGTAGTATGAATCTCAGCCCCTGGCAACTGGTAGAGGTCTATATCTGATCCTAGTGGCGTGGGGCTACTGTGTTTTATCTCCAATCTTTGCACTGTGGTGCCTAGGATTGAAATCACTTATCTCCAGTCTTGGCACGTAATGCTTGGATTGGAGATCACAGGTGTCCATGCATGATGTCATATGACGTCAGCTGACTGACAGGTGGGCATGCTTTGCCCAGAATGGTCTCTGGGTCAGATTCAGAGTACCTCAATACTCCCTGCAGGAAGACAACTTCTGAACTGGTAGGAAACTTGGAAGATAGTGGCTGGGTGTATTGGCTTACCTCTTGAGCTGTGTCTAAGACCACAAGGCTGGTGTGAGTGTCCGTCCATTTGCTTTTACTTACGCATTATTTTGGAATATGTGTTTACGTCCCTTTTCTTACATGCAGGTCCAGACAAGCCTTCAGAACATGAAATGGGGGAAGTCAAATGTTTAGATATTGGGGGAAGAAGAAGTAGTGCAAGCTCCTTAGATTCAACAGTCTCCTCTGGAGTTGGAAGTGTTGGCACCCAGACTGCTGTCCCTGATGATCCTGAACAATTTGAGGTGATCAAGCAACAAAAAGAGATAATTGAGCACGGGATTGAACTGTGAGTTGAACCCATTGCTAAAATAGCTTTAAAATGGCTTTTCTAATTGAACTTTTTAACTTTTTACTGCTTTATTTGCTGTGCATATTAAAAGTAAGCTGGTACCAAGCAATCGACAAGAGTTGAACTTCAGATTGGTGCCAAATAATTTATTGCATTGAGTGTTTGGCATTTGTGTTCATTCAGTAAATTTCCCATTTTTCAGAATACGTAAGAATGCAAATGTGAATTTTAATCCGTTTTAGTATTTTAACTTCTTGTATCTTTTAATGTACTGTAATTTTTTTCCAGATTTTATGATTTTATATTTGAAAAAACCCTGGAGCGGCTTACAAAATGAAGCAGTGCATACATTTTAGGAAATACGTAAATGTTCAACAAAGATTGTTAAACATTTCTGTTTAGTTGATTTAACACTTCTGTGCCTACTGAGCCAATTCCATCCAACTGAGCAATATGTTAAAATCAGTAACTCCTTCCCAATTGTTTTGTCCATTCTTACAACTTGTAGAACTCCCTTTAAAAGGAACACCTGCTTTCTGGTTTTTTGTGGCTACATTAGCCATTAATATCCCTTAAAATTATACAGTGCTGTCAGTATATTTCTGTATGAAGTTCTGGGATTTCCAGTTCAGGTTTAACTCTGGTTTGTAGTTCATAAGTTTTTAACTGTACATTTTAGAAAGGGGCCTGCTAGGGCTGCAAGGGAAGTCAAAATATAATAAAACTAATAACAATTATGCTAAACCTAATTGTTTTCTGACATTTTCTGTCAGTGTTTGAGAGTCCAGGAGACTGTTTTTCTGCATCAGATTGATATATCCTTTTCCTCCTTGTCCTGTCTCTAAACTATAGGTTTAATAAAAAGTCCAAGAGAGGACTGCAGTATTTGCAGGAACAGGGAATGCTTGGAGTAACAGCAGAAGACATAGCACAGTTTCTGCACCAAGAAGAGCGCCTGAGTTCTGTAAGGCTGAATATTACATTGTTCAAAAATTACACGCTTTTGTTAATGCTATACACATACATGCTTTTCTCAGCTGTTTCCGTGTGGGGATGTGAGTGTGTAAATATCACACTAATGAGGCTTTTGGCGGCGTTTCGGGACCAGGCATTGATAAGCAGATTGACAGCTAATGCTACTTAATAGAGTGACAAATGTCCTTAATCACTTCATTATAATTAATTAAATTTGTATATGCCTTTCATTCAGAGATCACAGGGCAGTTCACAACATAAAGTGAACGTGATGGTGAAACATGATGATTTTGTAATGTAATATATTTGGATTGTAAGAGGGGAAATTATCAAAGTCGCCACCTTTACAATATTTCATACATTTCTCTTTCTTTCTTTGCTTTGTTTTCTGTTAGAGCCAGGTGGGAGACTTTCTGGGGGACAGTAACAAGTTTAACAAGGAGGTGATGTACGCCTACGTAGACCTACTTGATTTCTGCGGAAAAGACTTTGTCTCTGCTTTACGCATATTTCTGGAAGGATTTCGGTTACCTGGTGAAGCTCAGAAGATTGATAGACTAATGGAAAAGTTTGCTGCTAGATATATTGAATGCAACCAAGGGTAACTTGAAAGATATTGGCAAATCATAATAGAAATGAGTGCATTTTTGGAAGCAGCGGTTGGGAGAAGATATAGTTTAGTAAGACGAGCCAGGTAGCCTTACTCATCCAGCTCATCAAGCAAAAGCAATTTGTAGAATACCATGCATAGAATACCATATTATTAAAAAATAGGATATGGCTGACATATTATAAAAGCAAAACCTTTCTGTTGCCAGACCATAGAATCCTAAGAAAATTAGGGAAGTGTATCTGTACCTAAGGGAGAACTGATTCATAAGCTGATGTTGCTATTCTGGGGTTAGTGGCCGTATATTCCAGGCATTGCATCAGGGCTTGGGGGACTCCTAACTTTTAGCATCCTCAACACCTTGTTTTTATTATATATGAGAATTTCCCCCCTCCCCAATCAATTAGAACTTGGCAGCAACTTTGAAAGAAACCAACCGGAAGCCGGATTTGATGAATACTTCAGACAGGACCACCTTACACAGAATAAGTTCACTTCTTCCTGACATAGCTTAAGTCACGTATCCAGTAGGAATGTTTAAGGCTCTTTATTATTTACACACATACACTTGCATCATGAACATTATGTTTCAGTTCCAGTAAAAAATGGTATTAAAAACAGTAGAAAAATATAGTAGATTTAAAGCATTTTCTCCGATTCCCACACTCTTACTGGGAATTTGTGCAATAAGATAATTGAATATCATAAAAACAAAGCATTTTTTTCTCCATCCTCAAAACTCTAGGCCTAAAAATAAATTTAAAACTAATTGTTTCTTTTCTGCCTGCCTCGCCTCAAGGTACTCATTTTTTTCCTGACTGACATTATTTCCAGTGTTTCAGAACAATCAAGGTCAGTGATTAGGCCTCAGACAGGGCAAGGGTGCACAGAGAATGCTGAAACACAAAATTCAGAGACAGACAAACCATGTTCCTTGCTCTCATTTCTGTCAGGTCAGGACAATGACCATTTTTTCTGATGGAAAACTGGTAAGGGGTACCGCACCTGAATTATCTTCTTTTTTTAAAAAAGCCATTCATACAATCAGTAATTGCCTTAATGGCACTACATCTGGTTTGACCCTTGATCACTGGGGAGGCAGTGGATTTGGAAGAGCTCAGGAAGAATCTGGCTGCTGGTTCCCAGTGCTAGATATTCTGCAAGCATAGCTATTTTCTGGATGAACATAGTGATAATTGTCCTACTTGGCAGTTCCCTGTTGATATTTTGCCAAATTGTTATGGACTCCAGAGCAGTCTATAGTCACAGCTCAGTGAACAGCGTCTACATTTCAGTAGGAAATGCTATAATAGAGTTTCTAATGGTGTTTTGAAAATGCACACATGAAGAGATGATAATAACAATACCCTAGGATTCTAAAAACCTGATTTTCTTTCTTTTCCAGTCAAATTCTGTTTGCTAGTGCCGACACAGCTTACGTTCTAGCATATTCTATTATAATGTTGACAACAGACTTGCACAGTCCCCAGGTATGTGTGTATCTATATAATGATACAGAATGGTTGCAAATGGGCTTCTACGTAACTCAAAACTTCTTTACCAGCTTTTGACTGTTTTGCCATAACAGGTGAAGAATAAGATGACAAAAGAGCAATATATAAAAATGAATCGTGGAATCAATGACAGCAAAGACCTTCCAGAAGAGTATTTATCTACTATCTATGATGAAATAGAAGGGAAGAAAATTGCAATGAAGGACGCGAAAGAATATGCAATCACACCAAAATCTACTAAGCCAAGTATGATGTTTTAACCCTGAACCCTCAATAATCCTAGGCTTTTGGTTTAGTATGTTTTCATTGTTCAACTTGCTAACTTCCTATTGTTGGCGCAGAAGATACTTAGAATAACCAAGGCGGTATGGTGGACAGAGGATATGGCCTAAGGAAGTCTGGTTTCAGATCCTTGCTCTGTCATCACTCGGCTCACTTTGGGCCAGTGTATCTTTTAGCCACAGCTGCCTCAGAAAGTTGTTGTGAGGGTGAAATAGTCTTAACTCATATGCTGCCAGTCTGGGCTTCTTGGAGGAGGAGCTGGTTCCAGATGTTGTGGAAACAAGAGGGAAATAGTCTGTTGCTGGTCTGGCTGACCTTGCATTGGAGCAGGTGCTTTAGACTTTGCAGGCTTCCTTTCCTGCCCCAAATTCCCCTTCAAAAATTTTGGACTACAACTCCCATCATCCCACCATGCCTATTGACCATCCTGACTGGGGCTGGTTGCAGTTGTTGTTCCAAACATCTGGAGGACACCAGGCTTGTTCCAGGCCTATGATTCTGTGTTCGCTGAATGTTCAGCAGCACACCTCTGTTTACCTGGTGGAGTTAGGTGGGAGATTGTTTCAAGCTGACATATAAAGTCCTTTTACTTCATGCTGTCTGTAGAAGATTGAAATGAGATAAACAGCATGCTCCTGTACTTATCTACTCAGTAGTAAGTCCCACTGAGTCCAAGAAGACTTGCTGCCAGGTGCATGTATGTAGGATTGCAGCCTAAAAGTCAAACCACTGCCACAGGAAAGAGAAAGTACAGGAATATAGCTGCTTAAAACAGATGATCTCTTCTTAATGCAAAGCTCAGTTGAGGAGGCTCAGATGAGGGGAATGAGATTCTTGTGGCTGCCTCAGAGGAAAGCTTCACTGGCATGTTAAGCCGCCCACCCTGCTGGGTGAAGTGATTCCTAAGGGCTGGGCTTAAGAAAACTGTAGTCACCGAGTGGTCATTCTTCCCACATCATCATCATCATTTTATTTGTATGCCGCCTTTCCACAGTTAAAACAATGCTCAAGGCGGCTAAAATATGAAAAGATTTACATAGTTACAAACATAGCAAAATAGTCATAAAAATAAATAAAACACATCAAAACTACATAACCAAACTGAACAATTTCCACATAAAAATTAAGATACAAAAAATAACAATAAAGGCAAAAACTCCCAACAAAACTTTCCACAAAATACCCCATCAAGTGTCTCCGTTCCCTTGGGGATGTCTTTTTCTGCACCCCCTCCTCCCATCACGACCCAGATAAAGCAGTAGTAATGGTAGTAACAGTAAAGCATATTACGTATGGCTGGGTCTAAGTGAACATTGGTAACAGTCCTCTGTTACCTCCTTCAAAAAGCTGTACTGGGAGCTGTGGCAGCAGAGCAACACTGACAGCAACCGTTGCTCACTCAAACACTGCAGGATTTCTTCACATTTACCTGAGGGAACAAAGCAATTTGTGGCAGTTCTTTTCCCCACTTCTGCAACAGGGTAAAAAAAGGTGAAAATGAAGCAGCACCAAAAGCCTTATTTTCTTGCTACACCTGCTTGGGGCCAGCCAGAGTAACACAACTTGAATAGTGGGTCATTTGCCACTTCTAAAATGGTAGATAAGGTTGAATCAGCACTGGTAAGCATCATGACTTCATCAAGGAGTAAGAGTATAATTGTTATAATGTTTAACTGAAACTGAGAGTTTCTGAAGGAATGATATGGTCTGAGTATGAAATGTATGATTTAGATTGGTCTTTTCTGGGAAGTGAAGCAGAAACATAATGAAAATGGATTTATTATATCCTTAGTATTTAATATGTTCAATTATGCATGGATTTCTTAAGTTGCACATAAATTTCTTGGTGGATATGGGAAGAAGGATTTGTTTTTTAAAGACTACATACTCTTGATTTGTCTGGAATGTGGCGTAGGTGTGCCAAAAGATATTTAATGCAGCTTTGTGGGGGGTTTGGGTTTTGTTTTTTTTAGATGTAGCCAGTGAGAAGCAGCGAAGGTTGTTGTACAACCTGGAGATGGAGCAAATGGCAAAGACAGCTAAAGCTCTAATGGAGGCAGTGAGCCATGCAAAGGCACCTTTTACTAGTGCAACTCACCTGGATCATGTCAGGCCCATGTTCAAAGTGAGTATGGAACTGAAGTTATGGAAACCAGAAGTCAGACTTCCTAAGCATCCTTCTGTCTTGGGACCATATTTGCACAGCATTCATTTAAGAAACAGCGGGTTTGCGGGGCTGTGCAGTGATAGACTTAACATGTGTGAAATAACAGAGGGGAGAAGGTACAGTCAGAAGATAGTCAAGAATGTCGAAAATATTGTAATGTTCCTGGTCTATGTCACATGATGTACAACAGTTCCTTTTTTACTTGAGTTATGTCTACATTAAATAACTTTCTGGGGCAAAATATAGTTGGGTTAAAAAAGCCAAATTGACTAAAGCCTCCCCCTTCTTCCTCTCCCCATCCTTTTTTTAATAGCTTGTGTGGACTCCATTACTGGCTGCTTATAGCGTGGGTCTTCAGAACTGTGATGACACTGAAGTTGCATCATTATGCTTGGAAGGAATACGCTGTGCCATCCGAATAGCCTGCATTTTTGGCATGCAGGTTGGTATAGAGTAGGCTTGCTGTATGTAGTAAAGGTAAAGGGACCTCTGACCATTGGGTCCAGTCATGGCCGACTCTGGGGTTGCAGTGCTCATCTTGCTTTATTGGCCGAGGGAGCCGGCGTACAGCTTCTGGGTCATGTGGCCAGCATGACTAAGCCGCTTCTGGTGAACCAGAGCAGCGCACAGAAACACCATTTACCTTCCCGCCACAGTGGTACCTATTTATCTACTTGCACTTTGATGTGCTTTCGAACTGCTAGGTTGGCAGGAGCAGGGACCGAGCAATGGGAGCTCACCCCATCGCGGGGATTTGAACCACCGACCTTCTGATCGGCAAGTCCTAGGCTCTGTGGTTTAACCCACAGCGCCACCCGCGTCCCTGCTGTATGTAGTAGGGGTGTGCAAAAAGAGCTGTATGAATCCTCAACCCAGGAACCAAAGCCTTCTGTCAGATTTGGGGCTTGTTTGAGCCAAAGCAAGATCTCTCCAAAATGCACTGAACTAGAGATCTTCAGGGTGCTTCAGAGATTTTGATGTTTAGAAAACACTGCAGAATATCCACCCTATTCCCTTTTCACCTGCTTTAAAAGATTATTCCATCCACAGAACTCTTTCTTGTCTGGAGCCATATCCAAGTTAGTCACATGCCATCACTGAGTAACATGCCATCTTCACTCCATGTGCTTATTTCCTGAGATACATGTTTTTAGTGGGGGTGAGGAATGCAGCATGCCTGTCTTTTACCATGGTTTATTTCTGCTTCTGAATTTTCCTTCTTACATTTTAGCTTGAACGAGATGCTTATGTGCAGGCACTTGCCCGCTTTTCCTTGTTGACTGCCAGCTCCAGCATCACAGAAATGAAACAGAAAAACATAGATACAATTAAGACCCTCATTACAGTGGCCCACACTGATGGCAACTACCTTGGAAATTCCTGGCATGAGGTAAGAAAGCATGTGCGCCTTTGCTGTGTGCTGTCAATTTTGAAGAAGTGTTGCTGTATCTGACTGATCTGCTGATACAGGTTCTACGTATTCATGCATTTCCGTAGTCTCAGAATTGATGCAGAAAACCTCTCATTGCATTTATATGAGGAACCAATCCCAGTGGGGCTTGCATTTGGCACCAAATTTTAACAGTGCCAAATAAGAGTCCTGCTTTCCAAAGAGCAATTGGAATTGCATTCTGATATTCTAGATGGTTCCTTTGAAGCTGTGTCTTTCTCTGCCGCACACTTGACATAATGTATGACAACATGTATGGGGTGGGCGTGGCTTGGGGAAAACAGTCTCGCTGGGCCTAAGGAGAGCTAGACGTTCTCCACTGCTAAAGTACACAAAGCAATTCTGTGAACGTGCCCTTCTCATTGCCAAGCCTAGGAAAAGTGAATTTCAAGACAGCATCAACTTTTCTGGGATATGGGGGTTTGAGGTTCCTTGAGATAGGCTTGTCAAAAGAAACCAAACATTTATTTCTCCATAACTGCCTTCCACTTTTCAAAATGGCTTATCTGTTTCCTTAAAGTGCTAATTGGCTCTGTCTGCTAGACAGAGGACCCACAATGAAGTATCAAATCCTCTCTACCTGCCCAACTATATATTAGGTGGATTGTAATTCCATGGGTTTAACCTACCTGGTCCTGAAATAGCATTGCAAATTTAATCCTGCTGCCCCATGACTTTATTGGGCCAATGTGCCAAGAGCTATATTTTGGGGAAGAAGGGATTGTGGCTTTGGGGAAGAAGGGATTTCCAATTAAAATGATCGGGTAGGAAACTCCTTTGGCTGAGAACCCAAAGAGCTGCAGCCATCCATAGTAGACAGGAATTGGCTTATTGGACAATCTCGCCTGGATTGCATACATATGTCAGAACTGCAGTTTTTGAAGTGGAGCAGTGGAAGTGCATGCACAGCAGTTCCTTAGCATTAGAAGTGAATGGGATGTGTCTGACGATGTGGAGTGTGGCATTTGCATTGGAGGTATTTTCTTGGTTCTGCAATCTGTAGTTGCTGACTTCATTACTGAAATGCGCATTTGTTTTCATTAGATCTTGAAATGTATCAGCCAGCTGGAACTAGCACAGCTCATAGGGACTGGGGTTAAAACACGCTACCTGTCTGGATCTGGGCGCGAAAGAGAAGGGAGCCTCAAAGGCTTCACATCTGGAGGAGAAGAGTTCATGGGTCTTGGACTAGGTGAGAAGATTAGCCTTGACTCTGTCTGTTCTCATGCCTAAGGATCCAGGTTAATTAAATAAAGGCATTTGTCATCATAACAAATTACCTGTTTCTTGATTTCAGACTGCTTTAAACTTAAAGACCCCCTGTTTAAAGTAATTAATGACAGTGGCTTATTGAATTGCTGGTTTGGAAATAAGAAACAAAGGTAGATGATTAGTCATATATAGCTCATGCGGGGTGATATATATATTCATGTCATTTTGAGAACAGGAAATAAAGCTTTCCTTAACTATTGTATCACATACAATACAGTATTTTATAAGAGGACCACTTTGGTGGGTGAATTCTCAGACCGCTAGATGCTGTTATTCTTTGAGCCTGTTCCTTTGCTTTTATAGTCTATAATTCAGCTGGTATTGGTAATATATTTCATGTTAGATTTAACAATTATTGTTGGTTTCTTTCTAACTAGGTAACTTCGTTGGCGGAGGTGTTGATAGAAGGCAAATAGCCAGTATTCAGGAATCTGTGGGAGAAACCAGTTCGCAAAGTGTGGTGGTGGCAGTAGACAGGTATTACAGTGACCTTTAAAAAAAAAAGAAATATTGAAAGGCTTACTATCACTATTATCACAACAGGCTGTGGCACAGGTTTTTAGATAAACCATAATTTTAACTCAAGCTTATAAAATTAGCAGTTTCCTGGTCTCTGATGCAGAGTAGTTAAAGATATGAAAGAAAGGGATTGAATGGGGATCAGAAGTTGGGACTTGAGAGCAGAGAAATTGTCTTTGCTATTGTTGGATGCTCCTGGCCTGCCCCTCTTAAAAACAGCACGGCACATTTTTCCCTTCCATAATTAGTTTGGAGTTGCATGAAGTGAAGACTTTCCTATTGCAGTTATTGGTATGATTTTTATATACACACATATATACATTTACACATATACATATAGTTTTAAATTCTATCAATGTTTAATTGTTTTTAATTATTGTTTCTTTTATGCTTTTAACAGTTCCTATTTTTTCTGTATGCTGCCTTGAGCCCCATCAGGAAAAACAGTTTCTTCATTCTAGCATCACATAAATTTACGATAATATGTACAGTAATGGGCTTTCCCAAATGTTCTGCATCTTGAAAATTAACTCTATATCTCAATTTATCCCATAGAATATTTACAGGTTCAACCAGACTGGATGGAAATGCAATAGGTATGTATGTTGGGGGGGGGGGAAATATCCTAAGGCAAATAATAATTGCTTTGTACCATTTCAGGCTTATTGACATGTTTGGTCTCAAAATTTTCAGTGGACTTCGTTCGGTGGTTGTGTGCTGTTTCCATGGATGAGTTAGCTTCCCCTCACCATCCACGCATGTTCAGCTTGCAGAAGATTGTTGAGATCTCCTATTACAACATGAACAGAATTAGGCTGCAGTGGTCCAGGATATGGCACGTCATTGGAGATCATTTCAATAAGGTATTTCAGCATTTGAAACCTGTTTCCCTTTCTGGTTCAAACACCAAGGTTAGCATGCACACAACTGCTTCATTTCAAGACCCATCAAATTTACATGGCAATCTCTGATGGCATAAAATGAAATATAGACTTAGATTGAACAAGATGGACTTGGAATCCATTCTGCCCACACTACTAGGTAGAAAAATATTGCTGGCAGGTCCTATATAAAGCTTGACTGGCAAAACTGCAACTCTGCAAAGGCACACCCTTTGTTATTAGGAAGATCCAAGGGGCCTGGAGGTGACGTGCAGCACTTGGGCAAAACTACAGACCATTTTTAGCATAGACACCAATTTATGTTGGACATGACTTATTTCTTGGCCAGACCTCATGAGTCACACAGCCTTGGAATTTAGATGATCCCAAATATGAAATTGGAACAGTGTTAAGAAAATGTGTTAAGCCTATAAGAAGAAACAAGAAGTTTAAGAAGTTGAAAGCCCTTTAGGGTGTGGTTGGACTTCCTATTTTCAAGCATGGACAGTTAGCTTTCTCCCTTACTGCTCCTTGTCAGCGCAAACAGGCTTGGTGCGATACAGAGTCTGCATTTCGTTTTTCCTTCTTTTTAAAATATATAGCCTTTTATATTACCACGTGTCTTTCCTTAATGACTGGCTTGTCATAATTGTGCTCAAAGTTTCTGGATTTATGTCTTGATCATAAACAAAATTACAGGGAAACAAACACTATTCCGATTGATGATATTTACTGCCAAGCTCATTTTGATACTCTGCAAAGATTTGGGACTGATGTATTTTGAGAATACCTTGATCGGGGTGGGAGTGGGGGGCCTGTTTCTGCCCACGGCCAATCTTTAGGGGGCACATGCCAGCTATGGGCAGAGGCAAAAGGGGCTGGGGCAGTGGGCATGAGTTACACCTTTTCGTAGTGGGTTGCATTCCATCCTGGCAAAAGTACTCAAGGAGGGTCTAGAGCAGGGCCACTGAGTAGGGATGGTCTGTGAAGGAGAGGTTGCCTGGGAAGTGCGGCATAGCTTAGGAAGAGTTCCAGTGGCTGAATAGAGAGACCCAGAGGGCCTGAGGTTCCCCAGTCCTGCCCCAGGCTGTTTCTGACTGTCTTGCTAGTGGCATCATGCCAGTCGTTGTTCTATGGACCAATCAGGTTGCAGGGCTGTATTTGTATACAGTGGTACCCCGGGTTACATTTGCTTCAGGTTACATACGTTTCAGGTTACAGACTCCTGAAATAGTACCTCGGGTTAAGAACTTTGCTTCAGGATGAGAACAGAAATCGTGCAGCGGTGGCAGCAAGAGGCTCCATTAGCTAAAGTGGTGCTTCAGGTTAAGAACAGTTTCAGATTAAGAACAGACCTCCAGAATGATTTAAGTACTTAACCTGAGGTACCACTGTAGTCCAATTTTCACTGGATATGCACTTCTTCTGAGAGAATGCCCATTTCTCTTTTTAATAGGTTGGTTGCAATCCTAATGAAGACGTGGCCATCTTTGCGGTTGATTCATTGAGACAGCTGTCAATGAAGTTCCTTGAGAAGGGAGAGTTAGCCAACTTTCGATTTCAGAAAGACTTTCTGAGGCCATTTGAGCATATCATGAAGAAAAACAGGTTCGTCCTAATAACTTGAAATGTAAATGTGTTCTTTTATGCCAATGCAGATTCCTCTGGCCTCATCATACATGATACCACAAATAAGTCAGTAATTATTTTTTTATTCAGGTCTCCTACAATTCGAGATATGGTAATACGCTGCATTGCTCAGATGGTAAATTCTCAAGCTGCTAATATTCGCTCAGGGTGGAAAAATATCTTCGCAGTATTTCATCAAGCGGCGTCTGATCATGATGGGAATATTGTGGAGCTGGCATTCCAGTCAACGGGACATATAGTTAGTAAGTAAATTTCAGCAAGACTAATGTGCCAAATGATGGTGGTAGAGACCAACCTCAAAATTTTGAAACAATGACTTGTAGTATTCCTATTTCTCACATGTACTTCAAATAATATTTCTCCCTCTCTTTACCTTCTAGAAAATGCTGGGTGGGGGGTGCTCCTTGATTTTGCTGTTAAGGAAAACACATTTTAAGAAGGGATTGAAAAGTTCTTTATGAGAACAAAGAATCCAGCAGCCCACAACTTTGAAATTTCTGCAGCTGTAGGCTCACTGAAAGCATTGTATGATGTAGTTGTGTCAAACAAGTTCACTTTCAGAAACTGCCCACACTGTGTGACACCAGCTCTGGTACAGCGAGGCTTGCTATAAATCTCCGCTTACCCTTAGGTGAAATCCCTGCCTTGCCCACAGATTTGTATGGGTTCCTGTGCTCTGCTGGATGGCTTTCCTCCCTTTTAAGACTTGATTGGATTAGCAGTGGAAGGTTGCTGACAAAAGAAATCCGCTGCAATTGCAATAAATTTCAACACACCTTCTTACCTCGCTGGACCACCATAAATAGCTGCTGGACTTTGTGATGGGCTATAACTCATGCAAGTTGTGCAGGCCTGGTGCGATGGGTCACCTCCTAGAATTGCAACCATCTTGCAATCAGCATTTATTATATAGAAGGGCAAATGCTTGTATCGCAATGTAACTCCAAGCCCTGTTGACCTGGTCTGCTTATGTACTTGTATACCAATTGTATTCTAAAGCAGAGCAGAAATACAAAAGTAGTGATTTGTTTTTATTTCACATTTCCCTCCACAGCCAATATTTTTCAACAGCATTTTCCTGCAGCAATAGATTCATTCCAGGATGCCGTAAAATGTTTATCAGAGTTTGCCTGTAATGCTGCCTTTCCAGACACCAGTATGGAAGCAATTAGACTTATTCGTTACTGTGCAAAATACGTTTCAGAAAGACCTCAGGTACTTTCCTCCCCTCATTTGTATTTCTGTGCTTTTTCAGAGGCCCAAAAACATTTTCAGTAGGAACTCACTCCCAGGCATGTCTGCCTTCCTCATTCCCTAAAGACCATTAGGCAACAAGGCAAGGCGACCCTATTCCAGCAAGCCTTTTGGATATGCTGACTGCTTTTTTATGACCACTGTTTGATTCTTTTTTACCGTTTTGTGCTATTGGATTTTATTGATTTTACAAACTGTTTCAATTTTGTAGTTGTTGTTTTTTAAAAGAAACATGAAAGACCAATTTGTATCAAATGATTTTATAAATGATTTTAGTAATAACAAACATATTATACCACAGACCTGCTTTAAATTAAGCCTGCACTAGTTATGATTGGGTAGCAGCTTCCTAAATCATACTCAGAATAACATTATGATTGACATCAGCCTATTGATTTTAACAGACCTACTCTGAGAATGATTTTGTTGGATGGCACCCATTATATTCCAGCAACTCTCTCTATCAAATCTTAGTTCCTTCCTCCTCCCACATCTCAAATTAAATATGAATGGGGAATCTACCATTTTTGCCTAGTGGCTTGGGCAGAAAAATGTCCCACTAGGAGGGATATTTTTTTTTTGTGAGGTTACGGAGCGATTTGCTTGTGCGCGAAACATTTTTAAAGTGTGTTTTGTCTTGCTATTTTTCTTTGCATTTCTCCGTTCTTTAACAAGACCTGATTGAGTGGCTTAAGTGTTTGTACTGAGCTACCAGCTCTTGTCTATTCACAGGTTTTGAGAGAGTACACAAGTGACGACATGAATGTGGCCCCTGGGGACAGAGTTTGGGTTAGAGGCTGGTTCCCCATTTTATTTGAACTTTCTTGTATCATCAATCGGTGCAAGCTAGATGTGCGGACGAGGTAATGAAACATCTTTTTTTTTGTTGTTGTTCTGCCCAGTTATTAATGTTTTTCCCTGTTAACTTGTATTGTCTTATTACTGCTTTCCCTTCCATGTTGTAGAGGCCTAACGGTTATGTTTGAAATCATGAAGAGCTATGGCCATACCTTTGAACAACACTGGTGGCAAGATCTGTTTCGAATTGTGTTTAGGATATTTGATAACATGAAGCTTCCAGAGCAGCAGACAGAGGTACTGGAAGCCATTTTATAGAAGCAAACAATATTAAAAACAGAAATTGAAGTCAAAGTTTGATCTAGTGGGATGTTGTTATTCCTTTTTTTGGGGGGGGGGGGGGTTGGAATTGTAGAGCCTGAGGCTTTTCTACCTGAGGTAGCATGCTACAAGGGCAAAGGTTTATGTTCCATGTTGTCCTTGTGCCTTGCCCAAGTTGAGCAAGAACATTGGGCCACTCTGTGCTTCAGTAGGCAGTCTAGTTCTTGCTACGTACAGTATATGGTGCTTCTTGGGTTAGCATAAACAAAAAATGGCAAGTTACTATCCTTAGGAGCTTGCAGTCTTACATTTTTACAATGGGAAAGAGGGAACACATGGAGGCAGCCTTTAAATTTATAAGCTTTATTGTGCTTTTCAATATTCAATCAGAACTTTTCCCAGTTAGCAGTATTTTCCAAAAAAAATACAAGGCCTGCTTTTTCTCTTGACAGAAATCTGAATGGATGACTACTACATGTAATCATGCACTTTATGCAATCTGTGATGTATTCACTCAGTTCTATGAAGCTTTGAATGAGATTCTTCTTGCTGACATATTTGCACAGTTACACTGGTGTGTAAAACAAGGTAGCTTATTTACATACATGTCACTTTATTCTCTGGGTGGATGAATTGGTCACATTCTCTCAATTTCTAATTTTTCAAATCTTCTAAATTCAGTTTGTCCCACTTAAGCATCAGCTTGCAGTTTTTACCTAGTAAAATTCATTTTTGTTTTTTAAAAATAATTTTTATTAATTTTACATATAATCGCAATACGTAACATCGTGTCCTCTTATTAAGTCTCTTGGCTCAACCGAGCCTAAACGACTTCCCTCCCTCCCTCCTAATGGTTTACAAAATTAAATTTTACTTTTTTGCATTTCACTTCCTTTCCTATTCTTATTATATCATTACTTAAGATATTAAATTACTCAACCTGAATAGGTACCGTATTTTTCGCTCTATAGGAAGCACTTTTCCCCCTCCAAAAATGAAGGGGAAATGTGTGTGCGTCCTATGGAGCGAATGCAGGCTCCTTGGCTTCAGCGATAGCAACGCGAAGCCTCCAAAGCGCAGAGGGAGAGCTCCCCCCCGCACTCCGGAGGCTTCGCGTTGCTTTCGCTGAAGCCGCCTGAAGCCCCCGGGGCGCAGGGAACTCCCGCTGTGCTCCAGGGGCTTTAGGCAGCTATCCGCTGTCCCTGCTCCTGCCAACCTAGCAGTCGAAAGCATGTCAAAGTGCAAGTAGATAAATAGGTACCGCTCCGGTGGGAAGGTAAACGGCGTTTCCGTGCGCTGCTCTGGTTCGCCAGAAGCGGCTTAGTCATGCTGGCCACATGACTTGGAAGCTGTACGCCGGCTCCCTTGGCCAATAAAGCGAGATGAGCGCCACAACCCCAGAGTCAGCCACAACTGGACCTAATGGTCAGGGGTGCCTTTACCTTTTTACCAGGCATTAAAACTGTGGTTTAAAATAGCCTTCAAGCTTTGGTTTTTAAGAGTCATGATTAATGTTAACCATGGTTTTACATCACTGCATATAGGAGGGAATCATGGGTGGGGAGGAAATATTCTGGGGAGGGGAAGATAAGAAAAGAATACAATATACGTATAATGTTACATTTGCTCCATCTCATTGTCTTATTTTGCAGTGCTGCCTTGACTTACTACTTCCCAGTAAGAATAAGCGCTAAACGACTGCAAGTCATTCTTGTTAGGTGGTTTATAAATACCATTGATCTCTGACACTGTGTGTCTATAGTCACTGTGAATGTTCTTTAATTTTGCGTAGATGAGAATTGTTTTTTTTTTTTTAAGCTGGTTCTTCATTTTCTGCAGATAATGAACAGCTGGCTCGATCGGGTACCAACTGCCTAGAAAGCCTGGTAATATTAAATGGGCAGAAATTCAGTCACGAAGTCTGGGACCAAACTTGCAATTGTATGCTAGAGATCTTCAAAACTACAATTCCTCATGTGTGAGTATAATTCTAAATGCAGAATATTTAAAGTGGTTTCAAATTAGGTTATGTTCCTGATCAGTTTTTTTCTTCCTTGAAGCTTGCTGACATGGAGACCAGCAGGAATGGAAGATGATTCATCTGAAAAGCACTTGGTAAGTGCTCTGATTACTCATTCCTTAGCTGAAAAAAATGTGCGCAAAATGATGTATGTGACGGCTTCATGTTTATAGACATTTAATGTGGAAACAGGAGTTATCTGCAAGAACATTCATTAGACTCAAATTTATTAACAAATAAAAATATTAGTAGCAGCAATGTGTATCTTTGGGTGTGTTTTAAACTATTATTATTAATAATAATAATATATTATTTATTATTGAATTGCTCCTGTTTACTTCTAGGATATGGATCTAGATCGCCAATCATTAAGCAGCATAGATAAAAATGCTTCAGAAAGGGGGCAGAGCCAGTTTTCAAATCCTACAGATGAAAGCTGGAAAGGTGGCCCTTATTCAAGTAAGTCTGCACTTCAATCTCCTCTTCATCTATCTATCATCTGTCTTTGAGGGCTATCCACTCCTCACCCAAGTCCCCTTGCAAGCAACACCACCCCATTGTGCTGAAGGGCTGTTGAGATTTTCCTTTCTGCTTTCAGCACCATCTGCATACAGGCATTATTAGTTCTTAGCCTCCACTACAGTGTTGCTGCCAACTTGTGTACAAATTTGTTTCCAGATTTGTAGCATTGTGCAAGAGCCTTGGAAATGGCACCCCACATCCATTGACAGCCTATTGCTGGTTGTTTTTTTTTAAGAGCTTGGGTCGATGGGATTCATAGATTCTTGACATTTTCTTAACAGGATTCATATGCCAAATAATCATCTATAACCTCTGAGAGGTTTACAGTCCCATTTTCCAGGTCAAATTATGCTGGTTGGTTAACCTCAATTTAAGGAGCATTCATGTAGCAGTGACACAAAAGTCTGCTATCTTACTTACACAGGAAAATGTATTCTGTTGTTGATGTTATTTATTGAATTTATATACTGCCCTATACAGTGGTGCCTCGCAAGACGAAATTAATCCGTTCCGCGAGTCTCTTCGTCTTGCGGTTTTTTCGTCTTGCGAAGCACGGCTATTAGCGGCTTAGCGGCTATTAACAGCTTAGCGGCTTTAAGAAAAAGGAAACAAACACGCAAGAACTCGCAAGACGTTTCGTCTTGCGAAGCAAGCCCATAGGGAAATTCGTCTTACGGAACGACTCAAAAAACGGAAAACCCTTTCATCTAGCGAGTTTTTCGTCTTGCGAGGCATTCGTCTTGCGGGGCACCACTGTACCCGGAAGTCTCAGGGCAGTCCTAAAGTATTATTTTATCAATGGCATGGTGCTAGTCTAGGGATGATGGTAATCTTCACTGGCACCACGGTAGCTCATGAAATCCATGGTTCCCTGTTGCTAGAGAATATTGCACAGAATATTGCTTGGAAAGGAATCTTGTTGGATGATGGGGACCAGGGGAAAATGACATCAGGGTACCTATATTTGGCTACACCAGTTTTTAGTGCATACAGCCAAATTACTTTGAAACTAAGACCTATCATATTGATATTCTCTTAGACCAGAAACTCTTTGCCAGCCTCCTTATTAAGTGTGTTGTGCAGCTCGAATTGATACAGACCATTGATAACATAGTATTTTACCCAGCAACGAGCAAGAAGGAAGATGCTGAGCATATGGCTGCCGCTCAGGTAAGAAACCTCACATTCTTCTCCAGAGTCACATCTTGACTTTCCCATTTGTTTAACATTTATCAGCTAGTATGGAAGACAGGGAGTGAACTGTGCCCTGACAGTCTTTTGCCCTGTATGCGAGGTCCCGCTATAACAGTGCCTTAAATTTAGCTGAAGAGGCTTAGCATTCTGCTCTGTCTGACAAGAGCATGAAGTGAGCAAACAAACTGTTGCTGCTGAACAATTGTAGATAGGTCAAAGTCATCAGTGAAAATGAAGGATACCCCTGAAACTGATACCACCCTGTTTTTCTCCAGAAGACCCGATGTGCCGACTGACTGGGACAAATGTTGCTGTGAACCAGAGAGAAATTTAGATTACATTTCCAGTAACAGAACTACATTTATTTCCTAATTGCATCCAGGAGCAACTGGCACATATTCTACCTGTGCATCTGTGATTTTGTTGGTTTTGCCTCCCACAAACTGGGAGGCATCATCAATTCATGGTGATTCTGCATAGAATAATGACACTTCTTTTACCAATACCAGAAACTGTGGCATGTGCCCTCTGCTTTGGCGGGGGGGTGGGGCGGGATAGCAACTGATGCATCCAGGTGCACTGGACTGATATCAAAATTGGTCTATTGCGCTTGGAAATTGTGATATACTCTGATTAAAAAAAAAAAGTATGATTACACCTATTCCTTCAGTCAATGTTTCTTGTAACTTGATTTTCCATTTTAGAGGGACACACTAGAAACAGACATCCACATTGATACTGAAGACCAAGGAATGTACAAATACATGTCTTCCCAACACCTGTTCAAGTTGCTGGACTGTTTGCAGGAGTCCCATTCATTTTCAAAAGCTTTTAACTCAAATTACGAACAAAGAACTGTCCTGTGGAGAGCAGGTAAGCACCAAGTGTGTGGTGCACAAAGGGTTTTTTAAAAAATATGCTCAAAGCAGTGTAAGCAAAAAATTGCAGGTCTAGTACATGAATCCAGTTCAGGGAACTGGTGGCTCCCCAGATGTTGCTAGACTTCAACCCCCATCATCCATGCCATTTGGTCATGCTATCTGGAGCTTATGGTAGCTGCAGTCCAGCAATATTTAGAGGGCCACAGATTCACCATACCTGATCTAATAACATGGAATTTTATTATTTTGATTTTGAGGTTAGAAACATAACTTGGAATATTATAATCCAATTAAGAAATGTACCTTGCTAGTGATCTTATATCAAGATGGGGAATCAACAACTTCCATCAGCCCCGAGCAGCATACCAGTGGTAAAGGAGTGATGGAAGTTGTAGCCTAATAACTTCTGGAAGGCAACAGGTTTCCCATCCCTGCCTCGTATGAAGATCACAGTATGCAATAGCTGTTCATATCCGTTCATCATGTAGGAGTTCCATAAATTTGATTCCAGAAGATAGGCTCAGATTCAGTGAAATGAAGCCAAAGCTAATGGCATTTATTTTGTCCTTATGGTACAGAGGGAGCATGTCATATTTTGGGTTGTTGTAAACCTTATACCTATAGAAGGGTTAAGTATCCCTTCCCCTTTTCTATTCTAATCACTTACTCCTAAAATTGTATTTTTTCCCCCAGTTTTAAAAGTGATTGGGTGGTAACTATGGGCATTTAGGTGTAATGTGGAGTCAGGCTCCAAGTGAGGCATTAAGAAGTCTCAGGGTTTAAGTGATGCTGCACATTTCCTTTCTCCAAATGGCTCTGCCTTCAATAGTGTTTACCTGCATGTGGTTTCAAAGGCATACATGTCTTGCCAAATGTGTGTTTGGGACCTCACAGTTTAGAAAAGTTGTATGTATGCATATCTGTTGGAGTTTGAGCAGACATGCAGATATACTTATCTAGCTATATCGCTGTCCTTGATTTCTAGGGTTCAAGGGTAAATCCAAGCCTAATCTTTTAAAACAAGAAACCAGCAGTTTGGCTTGCTGTCTGAGAATCCTCTTCCGAATGTACGTTGATGAAAATCGCAGAGACTCCTGGGAAGCTATACAAGAGAGACTCCTGAAGTAAGCATTATTTCTACCCTTTAAAGATGTTACTAGGCTGCCCAGTCAATTGACTGCTTTTGGCTGCAGGATTCCAGTTTCTGTATGGAATGCCTCCCCCTAATCTTCCTATTAATTTCAGTCAAGGTAATAAAAAGTGATGGGTGTTCAAATCTGGGCCTTCCATTAAGGCCATCCTGGAATGTGTCTGTGAAAGTAACCTGATACCTGGAGTGGGCCATTCATCCCTTCCACACCATTTGATAAAAGAGATTTTGACTCTGGCTTCAGTGTGCTTTTTGCAAAGTGTTGCTTCTAGTTAGTTAGGTGAAATTGTTCAGAGAGTGAAAAGATAATCCTATTCATAAATGACATTGGACAGCCTGTGTGGATACCAGATAAAGAAAATCACCCATTTGTACATTGAACTGCAATACTTCCAAGCCCACTTGCAGCTTCAGCCGGGTGATTTTAAATAGAAAACACAAAGGTCAAATAATGAAATAAAAAGACATTGAGAGGAATTCAGTATAGCACTGTGATAATGGTCCAATTAGTAGAAGCGTTTCTGCTTGCAGATGGAACAATTCCCCATTTCCTCTTCTGCCACTCTGTTCTAGGGGTTCTCCAAGTCAGTTTCAGGGGTTAGGTGTATGTGCAGTGGCAGCAGAGGAGGGAAAAGCCCCGTCTTGCGTTAGTTGAATCCTGCCCACTGAATGTTTTGTCACTTTCCTCTTCCCATTTGAAGTGAAACCTATCAAGATTCCACGTTTACTGCTAGGCTTGAGGGTAGACCGCAACACCTGTTGATCCATTTGCTTACGATTCCTTTTTCTATGCATTGAGTGGGTACATAATCTTTCTCTAGTGTGTGCAGTGAGGCATTGGCCTATTTTATCACCGTGAACTCAGAAAGCCACCGAGAGGCCTGGACCAATCTCCTGTTGTTACTTCTAACAAAAACACTAAAAGTCAGTGATGAAAAGGTAAGAAAAGATTATCACCTTGGTTTCATGCACATTATTTTCACACTTTAACATGAAACTGTATCCCTTTTCTCTCTCACACACACATTGTATGAAAGGGCATCACAATTAAATTGTGGCTTCAGGGATGTGCCTCTGGCCACACACCCCAAGGTCATGTGGTGGTGGTGCTAGCCCTTCTCCAACTCAGGCATGGATATCTGTAAAAGGAGAGGCTGTGTCTGTTTTGGAACTCTGCGATTGGGGTTGCAGAATGCATGGGGCTGGTGGGAGCTGGAATTCAACCACATCAGGTAGGACCACAGGTTAGCCACCCATGGTTTAGATGGACTTTCTCAGTGTTATGTGCTTAGTGCATTGCAGCCTAAAACTTGAAGATTTCTTTAAAATTATTAATATTGCTACATGTTGACATAGAATGAGAAAAGCAGGGTTTCCCAAATTTGGGTCTCCAGCTGCTTTTGGACTACAATTCCCATCATCCCTGACCAATGTTCTTGGTAGGTAGGGATAATGGGAGTTGTAGTCCAAAAACAGTTAGAGACTCAAGTTTAGGAAACACTGCTCACTGGCCACCTCTATAATAAATTGATCCCTGGGGGAATTTCTGGTTGCTGGAGGGCCAGCCTTACCATTAGGCAGAGTGGAGATAGCCACCTCAGGCAGCTGATTTCTAAAGCTATGAAGGGATAGCAGAATAGGTAACTGTTTAATATATACTATTTTAAATCCCAGGGAGCAGGGGAAAGTTGCTTATGGGATAACTTGACTGGCCTTAAGTTAAGACAAACCTTAACTTGAAGGGCAGTGGCATTTTCTGCTTTGACTCAGTCAAGAAAAGTGCTTGGACTGGCTGTTCTGGTTAGGTAAGAAACTGGCGGCCTCAAGAGGCATGCAGTTTCCAAACCTAGATGTTGCTTACCCCATAGTCCAGGCATCCTCAAACTTGGCCCTCCAGATGTTTTGGGACTACAACGCCCATCATCCGTAGTTAACAGGAGCAGTGGTCAGGGATGATGGGAATTGTAGTCCCAAAACATCTGGAGGGCTGAGTTTGGGGATGCCTGCCATAGTCTGACTGTGAGAACTCGGTTCCTTCTATTATTATTATTATTATTATTATTTGCTTTTTAAAAAAACAATCTTACTCCCCCCCCTTTTTTTGTCTTCCAAGTTCAAAGCACATGCTTCAACATATTACCCCTACTTGTGTGAGATAATGCAGTTTGACCTTATCCCAGAGCTCCGAGCGGTACTGCGGAAGTTTTTCCTGCGCATAGGTGTAGTATTCAAAATCTGGATTCCTGAAGGACAGTTGCGGACGACGGGGACCCACTCGCTTGCATGGTAGCTCCATCACTGCTCTTTCCCAAAGCTTGAGTTGTGCTAAGTTCAAAGAATGGATGCAGAGAGAGGGAGATTGTACTCAAAGAAGATGAAACAACCACTGGAACAGATCAAAATAATAGCATTTCTAAAGGAAAACTGTCTCCTTTTAAAAATAAAAAAAATCTGGCTTCCCTATAAGAATAGCTGTTGAGCATTTTGCAATTTAATGCAGTAAATGTCAAGTCACTCTTATCACAAAGCTTGTGTCTTCAAATCTGTTGTTTGCAATGGCTCCTTCTTAATGCCTTTCAGCTAATTGCCCATAATCTGTTGGAAATGATGAATGAATGGAAAATGAGATACCGAATATATACATATAGGCCTGTAATGTTAGCAAATGTATTAATAAATATTTAAGAGAGGGCATAAATTCATCCGAAAATCATGCTGGGATATCTGGTCTCCCACGCCCCCATTTGGGTGGATTCAACCTCTGTGTGAATACAGGGTGCTTTTTTGTTTTAATGATTTGGTGCTGTCTATTCTGCAAAGTCATAGCAAGATGGCAGTTGGGCGGTAGTATAACCAACAACCTAGCAAGAATCCAAAGAGATAATGATCTTCATCACTCTCCCTGCCAACTTACATGTTGCAGAATGTGTGTGGTAAATCATTCCCAGAACTGCGGCATATCGTGTTGGCCTGGACCTTCATTGTTTTTCATCATAAGTAAATACCCTTGATACTAGATCTGTATCAAGAAAATAATTTGCAGTATACAGTATTGCAAAGGAAATACTACCCCCCCCACAAAATGTAGCAGAAAACCATTACACATGAGCCTCTTAATCCCATTACTAAATCTCTCATGCCTTGAATGCACCACGAAGCTTGATATCTTTGAAAATTCTTCTGATTCTTGACTCATATGGAGGAAATGGCAAAATGAAACTTTCGAATTAATATTTGAATTGCACATTGAATGAATTAAAATGTATAGCAGTTGGTCAAGCCCTTCCCCTTTTGAATAATATATAGATTAACATTTTGGTAGAAGCAGTCTATCTTTAATGTGCATTAAGATATTTCTATTTTTATTGCAGAATTGTGAGTTGCGGTTGTTTTTAATGGCTTGGTTAGTACTTTATTGTCAATAGTTGTATGAGGGCGAAGAGTCTGGTTCCTATTGGGACCACTTGATTTATTAATATAAGTGCACATGTACTTGTGACGAAATCCTGGTTGTTAGGGGCAATAGGAAGCAAACTTGCAGTTTTATCAGTGCAGTTCTATTGGCTCTACTGACTTTGGGTCGGGGGGGGTAGAGTTGTTTTGTTTATTTGTAAGACCATGTCTTAGTATTCTTGGCCTAGTAGAAGAAATAGTTTTGTAAGGTATAGCAGGCTAGAACCTGTTTAGTTGTATTTCAACTCTCCGATATGAGTGTAAGATTTGCATAAGAGGGCAGGAAGGGAATTGTTTCCGTCCAAATGTGTATATATATTAAAAAATGCAAGCGCAAGAGTATTATTAAGCATATTTTGTACTTACCCATATCTGCAAATAAGAATGGTAAAAGTATTAACTTAATTGGGGGTGGGGAAATGGTAGCTGGTTGGCTGCAATCCTAAGCAAGCGTTCCTGAAGTTCCATTGAAAATGATAATGCCCGAGTTGAAATGTGATTGGGGTTCAGTGTGTTTGGAACTTTTTGCTTTGTAAATTGAGTTTGGCTGTTTAGCTCAACCAAAGTTGTTGCGGTTTTTGGAGAACCAGAATTGACGGCTGGATTTGTTTTATTAAATACTGGTGCTCTCTTTCTCTATCTCAAGTTAATTTCGTTTTATATTTGTGTTTGGTCATTAATATAAGTAAGAACAGTTTCTGACGTTTAATTTCTCTACCAAAGAATTTTTTTGCATAAGAGCTGCAGCATTTGTCTCATATGAAGTACGTTGACAGAAATGTGAGTAATTTATTTTAAAAGATTGTGGTGGCATTTTGCCACAGTGAAAAAAACAATAGTCTGACTTTCTTCAAAACTGAAAGAAATTTCAACTTTTAAGTTTGCATCATAGATATGTATTTCACTGTGTACCAAGTCATTTATTGTTTATATATAAATACATAAATTTACATCCACATATTCTTTAATTGGACATATTCTTTAATTGAGCTGTTTATTTTTTCCACTGCTATGGTTCTGCTATTAATACATTGTATGAATGCAGCTTGGCCTCCACCCTGTTTTGTCAAGTGTTACCTGTTCAAAGTTGTAGCTGTTTGTCTTTTATTAAGAGAGCATGGCAACATTACAGCTGCTTCAGAATCTGAAAGAGAAGTGCAATACCCTTGGGACTGTAATAGTATCTTCCAGAACTTTGCAATGTAAAATAATATGAAGAAGCTTTATATGTGAGATCTTAGCTTATAGATAATATTCTGATCATACAACTTAGAACCTTTTAAAGCCTTAGTGTTAAATGACTTCGTTTCTTTCAGTAAGCTGTTAGCAGTCAACAGTTACATTTTCAAATTGCTGAACTTTAATTTAATGACACTTGGAGGGGCGGAGGCGGGGATCTAGATTACCATATGATCTGTGTGTGTGTGTAGAGAGAGAGAGAGACTCCATAATAGCCTTACTCCAGATGTTCCTGAAAGTGTGTGTGTACTAGATCTGTGGAGATTGATATCGTACATGTAATGTCTGGATGTGTTCTTGCAGTGGCTATGGGCTTCAGTGTACCTTTCCATTTTGTCAGCACCAAACTCCACAGACAATCGTAACAGTGATAGGAATTCTCTCCGGCTGCTTTCACAGCAATTCATTTGAGTGCAGATCATGGAGCAGATTCTGCAGACTAAACACAGTACCTCCTATAGACTTCCTTCGATCCACATGAAATTTGATTCAGCTGGTACAGGTCAGCAGCAGAATTCTGTGTCTTGGATCCAATGTAGGATTAGAGGTTTGTGTAAGGTCCTATGTACATATTTCTGCCCATCCGTTAACCATAACTTAGAGATCAGGAGTGACCCATGGACATATGCAAAACACAGGCCCCTTCCTCCCATTTCTAGTATGAATTCCTACCCTCTGTCCTTATCAGCATTAACCATGGTTTAGCTTTACCACTATACTGTCTGCACTCGTGGTTAACAGTCATCAGGTTTCCTCTTAAACCAGAGGTTGCAGACCTGCTTCTCAAACAGTTTTAAGATGTAAACTCTGGTTAGCATTAACCCTGGTTATTGCTGATGCAGACACATTGTTAAACTATGAATTGGGAAATGGGGCAGCAGGAATAGGAACTGGAGAAGGGAGATAAGAACACACAAAGCCTGCTCATATTCTTTTTAAACTGTGGCTGTCCAGCATTGTATCTACAGTAGCCCACAGAGCACTCTTACAATTGGAGACATTTAAACTGATGAAAGTAAGTTATGCCACAGTAAAATGTGTAGAATACAGTCTGACAAGATGTACAAATCTACATGTAGTCAATATTTGGAAGACGCACTCTACAGTAAACAGGTGAGGAAAAACGGTTAACATAGACAGATGTCCTGAAGGGTTCGAGGGTTGTCTTATGGAGCTTTATTATTATTATTTTTGCACCCATTTCTGAAAGTTAAGTTTATTTATTTAAATTCTAAACCAGAGATAGAACAAAAGTCCAGTACAGCTCCTGTATGTTAAAGGTCTGTAGTATAAATTCAAACTGAGGCTCAAATGTCTTAAGCCTGCATATTTGCACACAAGCTGGTTTATTTTTTGAGCAAAATTGATGGAATAAAGTTTGCTTAAATCTTTGTGTGTTGCATTTTATAAGGATAGTTTGCTTACCACTAGCACAATCGTGTTTGAAGATAACGCAAGCCAGTGTAAAATGGCCAGTGAAATTTGCCCCCAAATTTTATTTTAACATTTAATCAGATGATATGATCCTTGGCTTGAAACAATTTGTGAGAGGTGCAGTTCCTAAATGTCTTGACATTTTGTCCAGAATATCTCTTTGCAACTTTAAATAAAATATACTTTGTGCAAAATGTTTTACCTATATAAATGCCTAAAATTAGTTACAAGCTACTTTTTTTCTTAAGAGATCTTCTATTATGAAGTGCATTTAATATCATTAAGTTAATGAAAAGCATTCCTTGCCCGATGGATGTATACATTTTTGAGAGAATAGCAGAATAATTATATAATTATGAAAAGCTATGTAAAGTTTTTTACATAAAAATATTATGTATAATACTGTTGTATTCCATGCTTTAATCAGGTGGTAAATAAAAGTTTAAAAATGAACTTTCTTTTTCAAATGTAATGATTTCAAGCTTACATCAACTATTTGTATCCAGTCGGATGGGGTGATACTATAGAGGAAAACACAGGTATAACATGCCTGATACCGTCTGGTCCACTTCCCTTTGTAAAATTTTGAGTGAATGAGACCCACTCATTCCACAATAAACACCTTGTCTGGAACCAGCCAAAGTGTGTATCAATACCGGCAGATCGATGGAACAGCTTACTATGCGTCATCCAATCCAGTCAAGAATGATACGTTCATAGCAATGATTTCTATTCAAGGATCTTCCCTATGTGTGGTGTCAGTAGTTGCAACACAAGGATCTACTTATCCAGCACTTTGCAGTGTGTCAGACTCCCCTAATGTCCCCAGTGGTGGCTGGGGCTGGTGGGAGTTGGAGTTCAACAACATCTGGAAGACCCCACATTGGTTACACCTGCTGTAAAGGGATACCCCTGGTATAAACATGTACAATTACGTTTACATAATTTTATTGTAAACTGTTTTGCCCATGGACAAAAGTGCACCAGTTCTACCATCTTTTTCCTTTTCAAGAGAAAAAGTAGTTGTGATTTTCAGAACCATTCAGTCCCCTGCTGCTGCTCTTCCAAGGAAGATTGCAACCTCTGCTGCTGTAGTTTTTAAATACATATATATATATCAAATGAATGAATAAATAAATAAATATAAACCAGGGCCAATAGTTGCATGCAACTACATGTCATGTTCATCTGCCCTTCTTGTATGTATAACATTTGTAGCAACGTGCAGCAGGTAGCCGGAAGTTAAATATTTCAGTCCTTTTTCAAAGTGTCTGCTGACTACAGCACTGCAAAGTGACCATGTGACGCCTGCAGCATTGTTGAAGTTAAGCTGCTGTTTGTGCACATGAGCAGTATCTGGTCAGAACCCTGGTTGCCCCATCCATATAAAGCACTCAGAGCTTTCCAAGAGAATGGAATATAAGCATAGTGAATATTTTGCTTTGCTAGTACCCAGTAGCCACCCAGGGCCAGCATATGGTGTACAATTGTCCTATTTCTGAAAGCTTTATTGCAGCTTTCTGAAAGCTTCATTGTAAAGAAAAGCCCATCCTGGTCTGGTGTTTTCCTGCAGGTGTATACTGCTAATAATGATAATAATGCCTTAGTGGTGGATTTATTCTGCTTTATTAGTTACTCTGTGATGCTTCCCCAATACTACCACATTACTGCTGTCCAGAGGGGCTCCAGGGCAACTAACGTGGGACCAAAAAAATAAAATAAAAAATGCAACACATTTACAGTATGAAGTTACATTTATTTCAGCAGGATATGCAGGGACTAGAAACGAAGCAGTATGACTACCCCAAAACTTCTGCTGGCACAACAAGTATTGAAAGTGGGATTGCATATAACTGCCGCAATAGCATCATGAGCAGAAATCATGTGCATTGAATGGAGGGGTCCCTATGGAAAGGGTGGAAGGTGCTATACCAGTTACGCTCAGCAGCTGGCAGCAGTGATACACAGACACCAAAGCCTTTCTAGCACAGATGGAAACACGAGCTAGATGTCATGGTCAATCGCGTGCGCTCCCACGACAGCCTCCCACTTATCTCCTTTCCTCATCCACGTTCAAAAGCTCCTATTATGTGTGTGTCTGAAGCAGAGTTGCCAACTTTATTCTGGCAACGTACAGGGAGGGCGGTTGAGGGCATTTTTTTTTTAAAAAAAAGATCTGGTACTAAAGTGACTTAAAAGCAATCCACTACCATCTTTTGCAGCCTAACAGGAATCTGGAATCTGTCACACACATAACCCACCCCCACCCCCGCACATACATGAACTTGTAAATCTGTCTGTGCTTGGCTACGCAGAGCTTAAATACATGACCTTTTTCGCACATCCTTTCAAACACATGCAGTTGCGAGATGATCCCTAACTTGGCAGAGAGAAGACCTAAAATATAGGACAAAACTGTATCAATACAGGACGTCGCTTTTTATACTGAAATGCGAGACAATCCTGTATTATACAGGACAGGTGGCAACCCTGGCCGAAGGTACACAAATAATAATATTAGTTTATTTGTACTCCGACCACCTGACTGGGTTTTATATATAAAAACATTTAAAAGCTTCCCTATTCATGTACAGAGCAGGGGCAGAAGTTCAAAATGTGATGACGACATCATCATAAACCTTTCCAAGGTGTCCCCGTACGTCCCGCTCTGCCTTCCACCCACCCCTGGGTTAGCCTGGGTGGACCGATGCGCACCAGCAGACCGAAGCCAAAGGACAGCAGCAGCGCCGTCATCCATTTTCCGGGCGCGCCGCCGCCCTTCTGCTCTTACCCTCCCGGGCCAGGCTTGAGCCAAGCCGCGTTGCCTTGTGGGAAACCGCTGAGCAGGGCGAAGCCCATTGGCCCGCCCGGACTGGGCAGGCTCGCGCTCGGGATTGGCTGGGGCCTTTCGAGAAGGCGGCCGCTGATTGGTGCTCGGCGGGGGGGGAGAGGGGAAGAGGCCGCTCGGCGCCCTGCGTAATTCGGTCACTACGTCGCCGCCGCGCCCTCTCGCCGAGGTTTGAATGTGAAGCGGAGGAGTTGCTGTCGCCGCCGTCGCTGCTAGTCGTGCTCTCTCAAGGGGTCCGTCAGGTGAGGCCGGGCGCCTGAGCGGCGGGGGTCCGGAGCCCTGAGTCGGGCAGGGGGGGAGACGGCGGAGCCCCGAAGGGAGGCGGCCGCGGTCCGCCTTCCCCGGCCCTCGGGTGGCTCTCGGCTTGTGGGCCCAGCCGAGGGAGGGGGCGCACCTGAGCATGCTGCGTCTGCCTCGGCCCGCCCCTTCGGGGCTGCGCGCGCCCCCCGTTGGTCCTTGAGCCTAGCCCGTGACGAAAGCGCCCTGTTGATTGGCCACCGCGGCTGCCACTCCGGTGGGCGAAATAACGAGGTGGTGTGATCCGAATATACTTTCAATCACTGTCTCTCCGTTGCGATTTCCCCCTTCGTGGTATTAAGGCCAAGCCTCTCTCCTCGCGGACTCAGCCCGGAGGCCACGGGACTGCCACATGCTGCGGAGGGAGCGGGATTTGTAGCTCCTGGTTCCCTGGGTGTAATGAGCGGGTGCAAAGCAAGGCTTAGGCTGCAATCCTGTGCGTACTTTTCCTGGGCATGAGCCCCACTGAATAGAGCTGGGCTGACTTAAGAGTAAGCATGCATGTCAGTGACTACGCTGCTAGTAGCTCCAGAAAGATGTGATGGGTCTAGGCTTATGCGGAAATAGGGTGTTTCCTAACCTGACTTGGAAGAGACTTGCGGGTGTTCAGTGGCGAGGGAAAGCCACTCTGCACGTGTTCAGAGGTGATTCTTAGGTGCTTGCATGGAACGTTACATTTCAAAGGATTTCCATAAACGTTTGTGGTAATTTTGCATGGCATATTATTTCCACATTGCAAATTAGGAGTTGAGAAAAAATAATGGCCACTTCCTGAACTCACAGCACAGGTAATCGACATACCGGTAAATGGTATGAAATAGAATATGTTTTTATCTCCCAGTATTATTTAGGAGATGTGCAGTAGCATTTTGTAGCAGTGAAACTGGGTTAACAGCGGCTGGATCCTCCTCATACAACAATGGTTTCTTAAACAGTGGGTGGACCTTCTCCAGGAAAATGTTTGTAATTGTAGCTAGAAGTTTTCATCTGTCATGGTGGGTCTGGGGTGAAAACACACATCATGGCCTTCACAGTATCAAACAACCTGTGTGGAAACTAGGTCAAACGTGAGCCATGCAACTGCAACAAGTGGATGCTTTTGACACTTCCTCTATAGGAAAGGTAAACGGTGTTTCCATGTGCTGCTCTGGTTCGCCAGAAGCGGCTTAGTCATGCTGGCCACATGACCAGGAAGCTGTACGCCGGCTCCCTCGGTCAATAAAGCAAGATGAGCGCCGCAACCCCAGAGTTGGTCACGACTGGACCTAATGGTCAAGGGTCCCTTTACCTTTACTTACTATAGGCAGTATCTAATTATGACCAGTTGGACAGTACCTTAGTAGCTTTTTCAGCAAAATTTAACTGTTACAGTGAGTGGAGTCTAACAGCCCCTGCACCATATGGAAAATTCTATGTTTTTTACCACTAGTGTTCAAGCTTGTCAGTAAACCAAGAAGCGTGATCTGTGGAAGAGAAGCTGGAGGGTCACCCTTTGTTGCCTTATTAACCGCCTCATGCCTCTAACAGGCCATGTATTAAATTAGCCATGTCCATCATTTCTTGCATTATCCATCAGATCCATACATTCACACATGATGTGCCCTCCTCTTTGCTCAACTGTTTATCCTTGGTCCCATGGCTCTCAGTAGATCAGTGATCAGGCTAGAATTCAGGAGGAGAGTTCAATGTTCCAACTGGGGCTGTCAGTTTCAGAAGAGGAATGAGAGTATAGTGACCTTTCTCTTGCCCAGTTGCGCAGGAGAGGAAATTCTTGTTGTTTCCAGAAGCCTCTCAGTATTATAATCAGTTGTCAATAATTGTCTGTGTGTACATGTGTGTGAATGATCACTTTGGTTCCTGATTTTGTGTGATGGTCAAGTATGTTGTATGTAACTTATCTAAAACTAAAGAAGAGGAGGAGTTTGGATTTGATATCCCGCTTTATCATTACCCTAAGGAGTCTCAAAGCAGCTAACATTCTCCTTTTCCTTCCTCCCCCACAACAAACACTTTGTGAGGTAAGTGGGGCTGAGAGACTTCAAAGAAGTGTGACTAGCCCAAAGTCACCCAGCAGCTGCATGTGGAGGAGTGGTGAAGCGAACCTGGTTCACCAGATTACAAGTCTACTGCTCTTAACCACTACTCCACACTGGCTCTCGAACTGCATGTGTGCACCTAGAGGTTTTCATACATGCCTGTAGGGTTTTTTCTTCTAGTGGTTGTTCCCAAGGGTTCCTTGACTTTCCAGAGAGATTTTTCAGAAGGCAATGGAACCAAGTATAACAGGTGGTTCAAAAACATGTAGCAATCTACAGAAACGTTGCTTATGACTCTTGTTCTTGTTTCTGATTTTTATAGAAATTTTTGTTAAATTTTTAGGTTCTGCAGTTATGGAACTGAGTGATGCCAATTTGCAGACTTTGACAGAATACTTAAAGAAGACACTTGATCCTGATCCTGCCATAAGGCGTCCTGGTAAACAGTTTAAAAATATGAAATTTGAGCCTCCATTGAATGGTGTCTAGTGATAGTTTGACCCAAAACATTATAAGATCTGTTTAGTCATTTTCTGGGTTTTTCAGAATCAATGGTGATGGCCCAGAACATGGTTTTTCAAACTGTTGGAACAACATTCATTAATGAAAAAGAAAACTGCTTGATTTTTTCAATATGTTCTTATCTGAAGGAGCAGGCTGACTGAAATCAGTATTTGTCAAAATGAGACCTCTTTTTACTTTCTGTCACTTTAAATGCAGATCAGTTGTGTGGGTGGGATGGCTGACCCCTGGAAACCTCATGTGACAGTTGGACATACATTCTTTTTAAAAAACGTTAGAAGGTCCATCTGTATGCTTTTTGAATTGCAGTCACGTTACTGATTATTAAATGCAAGTTGGCTTTAATCTTCCTGCGATCAAAACTGCATGACGGATCAGTGAATACTTTCTGAGTCATATTAACTGTCCATGGTTCCATTCTGAAATCTGCCTTTGAGGTGATTGGGCATGATGCAAAGAGAGTAGGTTGCATTGAAATCTGAAATCAGATTTGAAGTTGAAGTGAACTGTTTAAGCACTTCATGTCCCTTCAGCTTCATTAGGCATGCCGTACTTATCTTGATTGTACCCACAGTCTCACTCAGGATAGTAAATGTGAATTCAGGGGGTCCTGCTTAGGCAAAGTAATTGTGGAAATCTCAAGAAAAACCAAACTAATTTCAAAAAGACTAGAGGAGGGGCAAATGTGTATTTTGCACATCTCTATTTATTAGCTGTTCAGATAAATTAGTGATCTCTGCATGCTTATATTTGAGTAAGCCCCATTGAATATACTGGGATTTGCTTCTGAATAAATATCCGTTGAATTGCATTGAAGGTCAGGTCCACACTGTGCAGACCTCTTAGAAAGAGTCACTACTGGAGGTGCTGTTTTTGCCTAGTGGAATTGTTGACTCCCCCCTCCCGCTTTTAACAGCAGATCAGGCCAAATCTCACACAGCTTATGAAACTGCTCTCACAACAGGCTTGTCATGCATCATGGAGAGCTTCTGTACAAGAAACATTAAGTCTAAACATCTGTTGGCTGTGTGGAACTAGTTATGTGGTTCTTTGAATCCGAAACAATTTATTAACACTGCAAAAGATAAATAAGTAAATATGTATAATATTGGTGTTCAACTGTTAAATTTTACAAAATACGTAACTATTTCATTAAATTACTTCCCATCAGTTAAATTGGGTCTTCCAGTACTAATTCTTGCTGTGCAGTCTGCATTTCTGGAAAACTTTCAAAATACTATATGAGTCAAAGTTTTTCAGTAAAATGAAGAGGAGAGGCTTAATATTTTTTGTCTCTTTGTTATTCACAGTCATAACATTTAGGTTAAGATGACAGTCCAAACTGGGCTACCTTTTCAGAAATTGTGAAGATACAGAATTTAAGAGCAGCTTCCTGATCTGCATCAAAAATGATTTGCAGTTGCCATATTGCAGCTGTTTAATAATTGTGGGGTTGCAAGTACTGTCATAGAAATATGAGGCGATATCCAACTAAGTCATACTCTGTGTAAGTCAAGTAACAGTAACGGTATTGAACAAGCTGGTTGTGACTAAAGTAAATTGATTTCAGTGGATCTACCCTAAGTGTGGCTTACCATCCATTAATAGCCATTTCTTCACTGTATCATGCTAAACACTAGCTTGGTATTGTATTAAATGGTGTTAAATGTTTGGAGTTTAGACTGTGGAATAGCTAACCTTTTTGCTAAATTCATTATATTTAAATGTTTTATAGCGGAAAAATTCCTTGAGTCGGTTGAAGGAAACCAGAATTACCCACTGCTACTTTTAACTCTACTGGAGAAGTCCCAAGATAATGTCATCAAAGTCTGTGCCTCTGTCACATTCAAGAATTACATTAAAAGGAACTGGAGAATTGTAGGTATTTTATTTATTACAATTGTACTATGATAGTGTGTTTCCTTGTAAAGTAAGTGGTTATGAATAAAGTAATGGGAACACTCGTGAACTAAGATGCTGCAGGATGATTATAGACATCAGATTTGGTATTGTGGTAAGCTACTGAAGGGAATACCAGGGACGTGGGTGGTGCTGTGGTCTAAACCACAGAGCCTAGGGCTTGCCGATCAGAAGGTTTGTGGTTCGAATCCCCACGACGGGGTGAGCTCCAGTTGTTCGGTCCCAGCTCCTGCCCACCTAGCAGTTTGAAAGCACATCAAGTGCAAGTAGATAAATTGCCAGAAGCGGCTTAGTCATGCTGGCCACATGACCCGGAAGCTGTACGCCGGCTCCCTCGCCTATAGAGCGAGATGAGCGCCGCAACCCCAGAGTCTGCCACGACTGGACCTAATGGTCAGGGGTACCTTTACCTTTTACCCATAAGGCTACCTTTAGAAACAGGTATCTATTCTTCCAGAACAACATACTATTAGTACACTTATTTACTGAAGGGAATAGTGATTTTGTATCTGAAATCCCAGGTTAACAGTTTCTTTGGTTGCTTTGCTAGTTGCAAGGATCCACACATTTGGACTTGCTTTACTAGCCAATCCTTTATTGGTGTCCTTCATTGTCTCCTCCCTTCCCCAAGTTCTGTGGCACCTACAAATAACTTGAGAAAGGTACGGATGATGGTGCTTGAATTTGGCTTTTGCAGAAAACATTACAAATGCCTTGTTGTTACTATCTTCTGCAAATGAGCTGTGGAAAGAAAAATGAGAAGTAGAGTAAAAAAGAATAATTTTTTCTCTCTCACAGTCAGGATTTTTGAGACAGTACAGTGATCTTGATAGATGAGAAATAGTTCTTACTGGTGAACTGTTGAATGAATTTATTATACTTCCTACCATGTTACCCTTTTCTGATTTGGTTACTTTCATTAGAATTGGTGTTTTAATTTTTATAACTTTGAACTGTATCTGCTTCAGATCTTCCAACTATTGATACTAATTCATTGCAACAGGAAATTAGGACACTTAATCACAACTGAATCAAATGGTCCACTTTGAGGTTAATATTTATTATTTTGAGGATGTTCCAGAATCTGCTTTAAGGGCTTGTACTTGGTTACTCTTCAGGTGCTTTCTCAGCAATGGGTTTAAAACGTTGAAAAATAACGTCATATAAATAGTTAAATCATAAATTTGGAGAAGTATCATTTTTACAGCTGCAGTTATTGGCACAGAATCAGGAATTGGGAAGGTAGCTCCTTTCTCATGGAGCATTTGAACCTGTGAAGATGATAACTGAAGCAGCGGGGGTGGAGTGGGGAGGCTGTTTCGGGAAGCTTTTAATGTTTGATGTATTATAGTATTTTAATATTCTTTTGGAAGCCGCCCAGAGTGGCCGGGGAAGCCCAGCCAGATGGGCGGGGTATAAATAATAAATTATTATTATTATTATTACTATAAGCCGGCAGTGGATGCTGCACCATGGCAACCCCTGCAGTTGCTGTTTAGTTTGATGATGGAGAACACTGATGCAGTGACCAGATTATTTCAGATGGAAGTGGAAACAGAGCACGAAATGGAACTCTGCTTCCTGGTGTCAGCAAATTCCACCCATCTCGCCTGATGCATCCACATGCCAGTATGTAGTGTTTACAGCTGAGCTGTTGTGATGCAACTGGTTGTGGTCTATTGTCTGTCTGATTGGCGGTATGCACAGGAAAATATTTCCTGGGCCCAACATATTTCAGAATAAATGTGTAGCGTTTGCTTTTTCCTGAAAGCTTACAACTCAGCCAATGCACTTGCTGCAAAAATGCAAGTATCTCGAGATGTTATGATACTAGCTCAACTAACATTTTGTTCCTAGATTGAAGATGAACCAAACAAAATATGTGAAGCCGACAGGATAGCCATCAAAGCCAACATAGTACATCTAATGCTTAGCAGTCCAGAACAAATTCAAAAACAGGTGAGGTGACAGTGAAGTAAAAAAACAGAATTCTGCTTATTTCAACAGGGAATTGTTTTGTGCTGGGAAACTGATTGTGTTAATATATGAATTTTTGTTTTAAAGTGAGAAGCAATAGATACATCTAAGGGCGGATGAGTTGCTTTGTTTCTGGTTTGTGTCAATTTCACGCATGTTGGTTCACAAATCTGTCTATAACCTGAAAAAAAAATCAGTATGAAAATTGGTTTTTAAATATCTTACCCTAAAATAAGTGATTTTTGTGCATTTTGGTATGTTGTTTTGAGTTGAGAATTGTATTACAAAATTCAGGGAAGTGTGAAATCTGAAGGATAAGTTTGCTCCGATTTGTATTGGTATTATTAATATGTATTCCTACTATTCATATTATATGTATCTTATACGTAAAGAAGGGAAGCTGCTATTAAGTTTTTTAATGGAAATAAGATGAAACCTGCATTAACATTTCAGAAGTGTTGGGTTTTTCCCTTCTCAGTTGTAGCAAACGTAGCTGATATGGTGAAGATAAAACATGTGATTACAGATGTGCCATTGAAGCCATGGGTGGGAATCCTATGAGAACATTTGGACAGATTTTAAAACCCACGAAATAGTTAGGCAGTGTGTGAAACTACCCCAGTATGCCAGCTGAATTTCCCATATGCAGTGTCTTGTTCTAGTTTGATATCCAGGGTGAGTGGGGAAAACTAAATAGTCCCACTAGTGCAATAATTTCTGCTTGAGCACTGAAACTTCTCTCTCCTTGCCCCCCATGCACCTCCCCAGTTTGCTGTAGATGGTCAAGGGAACCCCCATAAAAGATTTGAAGGGTTGGGAGGGTCAGGGAGAAGAGAAGGAGAAGAAATTCATTTTAACAGCCAAAAGTCCTTGCCCTAGTGGATCTATTTAGTTGGATAGAGTAAAAGTGGCATATTCTTAAGGCAAAATGAGCCAGGACACCGAATGTGAGTCTGCCACTGAAAATGGTAGCTGTACATGCAATTCGCCCTCCATAGTATCTTGTACCACTGTCATGATTTCACATGGTCCACTGTCCCATCATGCTGCCACTGACAGTAGGGTGGGGAAGGGGGAAAAGTTGTGGTATCATGAATAAGATCTGCTAGATACTGCAAAGAGGATCAGGGAGGTACACATGCACCTGCTTTTGTCACTGGCAGTTGCATACTTAACATGTAGAAAGCCTGTCTTGAGTTAACTGTAAGGTGGTTGTTTATCTTCATGCAAATATCTACATAATGTTTCTGTCTCTCTCTGTCCTAGTTAAGTGATGCTATCAGCATAATTGGTAGAGAAGACTTCCCTCAGAAATGGCCTGATCTGCTAACGGAGATGGTGAATCGCTTTCAGAGTGGAGACTTCCATGTTATTAATGGAGTTCTTCGTACAGCACATTCTTTATTCAAAAGGTAGTGGGTGAAGGCCATGAATTTCCAAGTTCTGTTTTGAAAGTAAAAGCACTCTGTTCTAGCAATAATGCCTTTCAACTGCTAACTTCTTTCTTTTGCTTGGCTCAAGTTTTCAAATTCATAGAAAATGATCACGCAAATTAAATAGCTCTGATTTCCTTCATTTGTCAGGTATCGTCATGAGTTTAAATCAAATGAACTGTGGACAGAGATCAAACTTGTTCTTGATGCTTTCGCACTTCCCTTGACAAATCTCTTTAAGGTACAGTGTTGTATTTGAAATATGGAATTGATTTATATACCTTCTGTTGTGGGAGTCACAAAGCCACGGTAAAGGCTTGTAATATTGCAGGGTGCCCCCTGACCTTGGCTGACCAGCACTCTGAGCTTTACAATGTATTGGAATGTATTGGAGCTGTGTTTCCTCTGGGCAGTGATTAACCTTATATGGTTTGTGGGTGGGTAAAAGCCTTGACCGGATGAGGTAACGTGAGACACTGGCAAACAGCCATGTGGTTGGAGAGAGACAAAGAAGGGATAATAAAAGTAACTGCAGGAGGAGAGGGAGGAAAAGGGAGCTGCTCCTACCATCATGAAAATATTGCTGGCTCTCTGTGTCATAATTAAATGCTAAACTTCGCCACTTTGTCACGGCTGGCTCCGACAAGTGGTGCCCCGTGTGAGGCAGAATAAAAGAATACGTCTGAGGACTAAGAAGAGGCAACTTAAAGAAAACAGTCTGAGGCAGACTGAGGCTTTTAAAAGGAAACCGTGTGAGGTTTATCGATCCTAGCAAAGGATATCATCGGCTCACTACGCCCGGCCAGGGTTTCAAGCGCTATTCATCTTAAAAAGATCCCGGTGAGTCCGATCCCTTTTCATCTTATTTTATATATTGATTTTAGAAAAATGGGCAGCTCTTTGTCTGCTCCCCAACAGAAATTTTTAAAAGACTTAAAATTTCTCCTCTCCTCCAACAAATTGGAAGTTCCGGATGGTGATTTAATCCAGCTCATTCTGGCTATTGGAGAGCATTCCCCCTGGTTTCCTGCAGATGGGACTTGGGAATTAAAACTTTGGGACAAGATTGGGGAACATTTTCATGGGCACCCCAGCATAAGTGTTCGGATTTTAAATGCATGGTGCAAGGTTCGTTACGCCATGGACTCTTTATCACCAAAAAATATCTCCATGGCTGCATTGCCAACACAACCTTCAGCTTCTTTAATTCAGCCTGCTGTGTTAGAGACTGTTCCAATACTCGTTTTGCCAGCAGATCCAGACCCCAAACCTCCAGACTACAGTTCCTCACCTGAGGACCCAATCCTGCAAAAATACAGTGGTCTGGCTGGCAATGATCCTAATCTTTCAGTGGCAGAACCAGCTACTCCTTTTCAACGTGCAGTCCTTGGCTGTTCCTTAATTCAGGATACTATGGCATTCCCTGTTATTGTGCCCCCTGCTGGTGCCCCGGCAGGCACCCAAGCCCAACACCAACCTTTTGACTTTAAGATCTTGAAAGAGCTGCAACAGTCAGTAAAGGCCAATGGACTCCAAGCCCCATATATGCAGGCGCTTTTAGAAGCCACATTAGCCCAGCTCTTGGTTCCAGAGGACATAAAGCTTTTGGCCCATACAGTGTTGCCCCCATCAGCTGGTGTTTTGTTTGCCCACGAATGGGAAACTGCCTGCCGTGCTTATGCTCCAGCCTTGTTACAACAAGTCAGAGGAAATAATCCAAATGTTACCCTCGCAGACGTCTTAGATGCCATGTTGGGGCGTGGTCCCTTCGCTCAAGCTTCAGTGCAAGCCACACTGCTGCAAATCTTATTGAGGGACACTGCTCTTGCTGCTAAACAAGCAATGAGAAAAATCCCAGAACCCACCAGTATTCAATCAAGGTGGGGTTCAATCAGGCAAGAGGCAAGAGAATCATATTCTTCCTTTATGGACAGGCTGCTTACAGCAGTGAGTCGCCAAATTGAAAATCCTGAAGCCAAACAAATAATTATCAAACAATTGGCCTTTGAAAATGCCAATGAGGATTGTAAACTTGCATTGCGACCGATAATACACAATCCTGCCACAGACACAGCAGCCATGCTTCGCATTTGTCAGTCTGTCGGTGCAGCCACCCACAAGGCTTATCTGCTGGCAGCAGCGCTAAATGAAAACCAGCCTGTAGCCACCGATACAACTTGTTTCCAGTGTGGCAAACCAGGATCACTGATACCCCAGGGGGGGTAGAACAGTGGCCTCTACCAAAAGAAAAATCCGCAGCAGCGGCACCAGCTATCTCTGACCAGCTTATTTCTGAACAATTGACTTTCGGCCACATTGAACCATCTTCATCCCACTGGCTCCAGCAGACAGGGAACAGTTTGCTTTTACATTGCCAGTGTATAACAATTCGCAGCCCACCCAGCGATATCAGTGGATTTTCCTGCCTCAAGGCATGCGGAACTCCACTACACTTTGTCAACATTTTGTGGGTGAAGCATTGAAACCTTTCCACATGCGCCACCTAGAGGTGCTGCACACAAACTGCATCTGGCAGTGTTTGCCTTCCTAACCATTTGCCTTGCCATCCTTTGCTGCACCTTTATACAAGGAAGAGAAGCAGACGACCAGTCCAATTGAAACCACCATAATTCACCTCATCGGCTGGGAAGCAGCTGTCGTCAGCTTCCTACTCTGGCTGGCAGTATCCACGGCTCAGCCACTTTCGAACTAGAAGAACAGCGTTGTCGAATAAGACTTTTAGGGGAGAAAATTATCATAAGATATGGAGGGATAATATTTTTGTACAAGATATGATTATGTTTGCCAGTTTATTGCATGCTTCTAAATGTTGGGTGTGTATGCCAGTCATTCAGGCAAATGCTTCATGGTGTGCCTGTCAATGGATCTTTTCAATTTACTAATATTATATCCCCTAAGCAAACCTTTTGGCCTCCAGTACAATTGACCCTCCATGAGCCTGCCCCCATTTATTTTCAAATTAAGGAGGGGAAAGAATCATGGGGCATATATCCAAACTGTCAATATACATTGAATTTCACTTTTAATAGCTCTTGTTCTCTTACAGGAATATACAGTGACCAATCTCAGTGCTATAGAAGTGACACCAGTGCATGGCTATTAAACTAAAAGGAAGCCTACCATGCAGCTTGGAATCAGAATTCTTATATTCTTGGCTTCCGGATTTTAGTGATCATTATAGTAGTTATTGATTTTAGTGATCATTATAGTAGTTATTTGTGTTATTTTGTGTTGCTGTATCCAATGTATTCTTTCTATAATCTCTATATGTACTGCATGGTTCTCCAGTCCGCGGCCCGCTTCCGGTGTCAAAGAGTTGCTTATCGCGCTCGATATATCGCGTATTGACTCTGATATAAAGTAAAGAAAGAGGGAATGTGGGAGTCACAAAGCCACGGTAAAGGCTTGTAATATTGCAGGGTGCCCCCTGACCTTGGCTGACCAGCACTCTGAGCTTTACAATGTATTGGAATGTATTGGAGCTGTGTTTCCTCTGGGCAGTGATTAACCTTATATGGTTTGTGGGTGGGTAAAAGCCTTGACCGGATGAGGTAACGTGAGACACTGGCAAACAGCCATGTGGTTGGAGAGAGACAAAGAAGGGATAATAAAAGTAACTGCAGGAGGAGAGGGAGGAAAAGGGAGCTGCTCCTACCATCATGAAAATATTGCTGGCTCTCTGTGTCATAATTAAATGCTAAACTTCGCCACTTTGTCACGGCTGGCTCCGACATTCTGTGTAATGTATTTTTTTAACTTCACAGCCAACATAAAGCATTTTATGTTGACTATTATGGAGTTCCTACTTTTGTCCTAGCTGCTGCGATAGTCAGATATATAAGGTGAAGAAGATAAAGTTTGAACTATAATCTTCCATGCTTACTCTGTCTGTTCTTAAAGAGGATGTGTTAGCACCCTATAATATGCTGTTTATTAATAACTGCAATAATTGATGCTAAATTAAGATGTTTTTATTAAAACAATGCTACTGGTGTTCAGACCTCTGTTTTTTAGGCTGTGCCTTTTTGTTTTGTTGCTTTTATATTTTATTGATGTTTTAGCTTATCTGGTTTTGTACATATATTGTGCTTTTAATAGAAAAGAGAAATTACATTTAGTTGAATTTGGATGAGAGGCATGAATTTGTGGCATCAGTGAGCTTTCACAGAAGTGGAACAGCATTGGCAAGTGTCTGAATAGATTTTGTTGGTGATTGCTATTAAAATTGCTCTTTTCCAGGCCACAATTGAGCTTTGTAGTACTCATGCAAATGATGTCAGTGCTTTGAAAGTACTCTTCTCATCTCTGATTCTGATTGCTAAGCTGTTCTACAGTTTAAATTTTCAGGTAAGCCATCTTTTACATGCTCTTCTAGTGGATAGTTCTGATCCTGCAAGCAACTTTCTGTATAGGAGCAATTTCACTGATGGATAACTGCGTGATTAAAAACCTCGGTGCTGCTAGCCAAAATTCTTGATGGGTTTTGGAGATGCTAGAGTGTTTAAAAACGCAAGTATCTGGCCAAATGTCAGTGCTCCATAAGTGTGCTAGGATAAGTTGTTTGTTAGAGCTTTAACAAATCTAAAGTAATGTGCATGTAACCTTTTAGTATAAGAAGCTTGGCTTTTCAGATTTGGATTCAGCGCTGATTATTTTTGGTAAGACTGGATTTGATCAAAGGTTGTGTCAGGAGACAAAAGAACAGAGGGAACGATAGCTGTTGACAGACAGAACCTCTCAAATTTAGGGGTAATAAACCTACTTAAGTTTAATTAAGTCAAAGGAAAGGTGGGGGGTGCTTGTTTTTTACTCTTCATAGGCATAATGGTAGGCCAGTAAATAAAGAAGCAGGGCTTACATGCATCTGTTACTAAGACTAATGTGGTCCACAATGACCCTTAATTCTGGGAACCCTGGGTGAGCAAAACGGATCTGACACAATAGGCTGCAGTTCCATTGCCTTGAAGCACTGTCAAGCCGTAAAGCAAGCTGGTTGTTACACAGCTCCTGCTATGCTGATTGAAAACTGAGGAGAAGGTTGATGAGCTACACACGTTAAAAGCTACAGAGAAATTGACTTGGTTTGTGTCTCTTGGGCTTTGGATTTCCTTTAGCAGTTGAAAATTATGTTTCATACCTTCTCTTGTTTTTTAAAAAAAAGTAATGTGGTGATTCTGTATTTCTTTGAGCAGGTTGCATGCCAATATAGACAGGAAAGTATGCTTCTTAAATAAGCAATTACCTAATAGAAAAATAACTACGGATGTGGATCTACTTCTCTATTTTGTAGGATCTTCCTGAATTTTTTGAAGATAACATGGAAACCTGGATGATGAATTTCCATAATCTTCTAACTTTGGATAACAAACTCTTACAGACAGATGTAAGTAGCAACATAAAAGTGGGATAGAGAAGCTGTTGCTCTCCAGATGTTGCTAGACTAAAACTCATCATCCCTGATTGTTGGTCATGCTGGCTGAATTTGATGGAGTCAACAAAATTTGGAGGGTCACAGTTTCCTCTTCTCTGGCATAAAACCTTTTGGAAAATTTCTGTGTAATGGGAAAGGGAATTCAACACTCCACTTGAGCTGCCAAAAAGAAGCTTTCCTGGGTTCTGAACAGGACACTGAAATTGCAGTAGCTCAAGTAATTCTGATTTTTGTCATTCTCTTGGAGGGAAATTGTGCAGCCAGTATAGGAAAAATTAAAGGTAGATGGTAATTTTCTCAAATAAAAAATTGTGTCCCTTTGTATAACATATCATAGCACTGGGTACCACTATGTTGATAGTGGTAATTCTCTTGTCATGGTCATATGTGATGACTGGGCAATGAGAAATTGGCTTTGGAAGAGGGAAATGCTACCAAGCCTGCCCTCGGATGAGCATCTAGTTAATCTGACCTCACTTTCTGTTAGTGTTTGGGAACATTTCTCCAGCCAGACTAGGATTTTGGCTTTGGGCAACACAAACTACTTTTTCAAGACATGGGGAATTGCTTGGCTGATTTTGGAACCCAGTTGGGACTTTTACCCTAGATGATGCCCTTAGGCATGTGTTATTGTCCCGTTTTCATCCCCTGAGCCTCCTGACCATCCTGCTCTCCTCCTGCCCTCCAAATCCCCTCCTTTCATTTACTTTACTTGCTGCTTTGGCAGATGTCAGGGGTACTAGGAGACTACATTTTCCAAATACGTTGGTGGTGCTTCTTTTTTATGGCCAGGATGAAGAGGAAGCTGGTCTGCTAGAGCTTTTGAAATCCCAAATTTGTGACAATGCAGCTTTGTACGCCCAAAAATATGATGAAGAATTTCAGCCTTACCTGCCCCGTTTTGTCACAGCAATCTGGAATTTATTAGTCACAACAGGGCAAGAAGTTAAATATGATTTGGTAAGTGACTCTTTTCCATCCAGCTTGAAATAAATGAACCTTTTTAAGGTCTTCTTCAGATTATGCTCATTTCGTGTCTTTCCCCCCGCAGTTGGTAAGTAATGCAATCCAGTTTCTAGCTTCGGTTTGTGAGAGGCCCCATTATAAGCACCTGTTTGAAGACCAGAATACACTGACAAGTATTTGTGAAAAAGTCATTGTTCCCAACATGGAATTTAGAGGTAAATATTTCTTTTCTTAAAAATCTTGATTAAAATTTTCCAGGAAAGCAAAAATTGAGTTTTTAACAATGAGGGCTTTAGAACTGGCACAGTAGCCAAGTAATGGACTGTATTTGTGGCCATTTGCGTTCAAGAGGTTTGCAGCATGGTTTTGCGAGGCATTTTCTGTTCTGCACTCTCAGAACTGCACTTCCCTTAAATATATATGTAATATGTATGTCCGTCAGAGTTGGGGAACTTCTGTCACTCCAGCTGTTGTTGGACTGCAACTCCCACTATTTCTGACCATTGGTCACGCTGGGCGGGGCTGATGGGAGTTGGGATTCCAGCAGTATCCAGAGGGGTACAGGTATCCCATCCCATCATGAGTGACTGAAGTAACTCACCAGTTTGGAAGAGTTGAGTTCCTCTTCCACCAGTGTTTCTAGCTCAGTTTAATCTGAGTGTAGTACACTGCTTTTACATTAATTGGATTTTCCGCTGTCTCTGTCATGAAGTGGTTCATACGTAATGCCAAAGAAAGTTTTTGTACTGAAATGAATCTTTCAGTATCTCAAACTGATTTCCTGTCTTAGTTTGCTGGGCCAAGTACAAGCTATAATTTTGGCAGTTCAGATGAAATGGTAAATCGTAGTTTGCCTCAGATGATGAAAGAAGTCAGGGAATCATCATGTCTAAGAAGAGGCTGCTTCAAAGCTTGTTGTTAAAGATTTGGCTTTATGTCTGAAGCAACCCAACGGTGAAAATCCCCAGCTACTCCAAGCTATCCTCAATATTTTGTCATACAGAGATATACATTGGTTGTGATCAGGATCTAAAGAGCATCTCATGCCAATGGAATCTTTTACTTTTTGCCTTTGAAGACTAATGCTATACCATAAGCTGCTGCTTCTGGAAATCTCTCTGTTTCAAAACTAATTTGCTGTGCAGTATGGTGCAGGGTTGCTATTTAAAGGAGGAGTAAACACCATGCATGGTGTTATGAAAATAGTTCCACAATGCAATTTGGACCCTGGCCTGAGTATTCTAGATGAGAACTTTATTTACTACTCTCATTTAAAATACTGATGGTTCACGAACTCCCATTGCCTTGATCATGGTACCTTCATAAAATAGAGCCCAATAATAGGTGATTTAAATTTATTTACAAGCATATGCTATATTAAAATAAATGTAGTTTGTATATCATGGCTGATCCTTTACATGTTTGTGGACTGCTTTTCTGCAGCTGCTGATGAAGAAGCCTTTGAAGATAATTCTGAAGAATATATCAGAAGAGATTTGGAAGGATCTGGTAAGCAGTTCTATACTGGGTGTATAATGGCATTTGAGAACTGATGCAGTTTTCAGAAGTGTTGACATGTACATGCATTAATTGTCTTCCCTTGAATAGGCATGCAGTTCTTCCCTTTGGGATTCAAATACGTAATGGTGTGGGTTTTTGCGCTTTTCCTGTGATTCCATGGATGAGCACATTTGTTGGCTATTGGGGGTGGGGGTTCATCTGACAAGCCTTAAGGCAATTTTGCTTGCTTTAAGGGTTACTTGTTTTTGTCTTGCTTTTTAGAAGTTGCTGGTGTATTACTGCAACACTAGGAGGACTAGCACTACATCAGATTAAATGGTTGTTGCACCTTATTTATCCAGTGCCTACAGCCTTCTCCTACTGAAAGCTCAGCCTCCACTCCTGAGTTACTCCAAACAGTTCTCTATGAAGTTCTTCTTTACCCCAGCCAGAATTTTCTTCTTGTAGCTTTTCACACCCTCTCTTCTAATATATAGTCTGTTTCTATGGAGTACCAAAGAAGCAGATGCATTTGGGTTGAGTGCTTCACATACTTTTTACTCAGCAGTCTCAGTTACATATGTGCACACTTGGAATTTAAAACCCATTGAACTCTGGGACTGAGAGTTTCTTCTGAGCCTTTGAGGGACACATGTTGCAGGGAGCAGTCATTTTTAGTGAACCATTTGTTCCCCTTGTGATCTTAAATTGCTGACTGTGTCAGGATAAGTTTTATAGGATCCTAAACTATCCTTTAAATAGTCCCAAAATTCTTCTGAATGTTATTTTACTTGTGTTTTGATGCTATGGCCCTGCAGTTTTTGCTTTCATTTATATTCATGAGAATCAATATTTTGGCAGATTTTGTAATTCTGCATTCCTTAATACCACTAGCATGATTTTTATGAATAATAATAGAGAAGCCTATTTTAGCAAATTGCTCTGTCCCTGAAGCACAGCAGGGCGAATCCAATTTAGCCGTTTTGCAAGCAGAGCTTCAAAATGAAGAAACATTGTTTTAATATAACCCATAATGCATCTTGTTTTTATCTCTGCCTTGCAGATATTGATACCAGACGTAGAGCAGCCTGTGATCTTGTAAGAGGGTTGTGCAAGTTTTTTGAAGGACCTGTTACTGGGATCTTTTCTGGTTACGTTAACTCTATGCTGCAAGAGTATGCAAAGAATCCATCTGTCAACTGGAAGCATAAAGATGCTGCTATTTACCTTGTAACATCTTTGGCATCGAAAGCTCAGACACAAAAGGTACTTGTTTGCATCACAGGGTACATAAGTTGAATACCCATCCAGACCCGTTTCCTTGGGGAGAAGAACCATTATTTAATAGTAAGCACTCCGTGGAAGAGCTTTCTTCACAGTAATGACATGTTTATGACCCACAGACTTTTAGATATATAAAATTGACTTTGGAATAGTTTATATAGAGTAGGTCAACCCATGAGCAAAATTTGGTATTTGCCCTGGGACCAACCACTGCAGTCACTGCTTCCAATTTTGTTGCATTCCCATGCATGCCTTCTTGGAAGTATGCTAATGTAAGTGTTCAAGGATTGGATTGCTATGGTTTAACAATCTCTTCTAGGCTTGGCAGAATGTTGGGGTGGGGACTTCAGCACTTGATGTAAATATAAGAGGTGGGACATATGGAAAAAAAAGTTTCAGAACAGTGGCCCAGCTTTATAATTTTTGGTGTTTTGGGGATAGCCATGTGCTGCTCTGTTATCTCGAATGGGAATTTCCATTTTACCAACAATTGAAATTAGAAGTACTGATTACATTACTTCACAGATTTAGAGCACCTCTACAATAAAAACCTAAATTGACTTAACAATCATGAGCATATGGAGAATTAGCTTTTTTCAGGACTATTATTATGTTTGCAATATAGGCTGTTTCTATCAAAGTTGTGTTTTTTACATTTTAGAAGACATGGCATAAAATGTATTGTGGTTAACCTACCTTTCACTTGCACCTTTCATAACTATATTAGATATCTGAAATAGGCTAACCTAGTATCCTATAAGTAGAATGTAAGAGTACTCATTCCTTCTCCCATTCACAATCCAATGCTTGAAGCCAAAGTATATACAATGAAATCTTACAGAAATTGCCAGATATCATTCACATGCAAACTTCATTAGTGTGTAAATGGGAGCTTCTATAAACCAGTCCAGCAATTAATATTGTTTATGTTTTTTTATCACACTTTTTTCATCCTAGCATGGAATAACACAAGCCAATGAACTTGTAAACCTGACGGAATTCTTTGTGAATCACATTCTACCAGACCTGAAGTCTCCTAATGGTATGCTTAGAATTCTATATTAAACATCTGTAACACCAATAAATGTAAACGAACATGGGAATAATTTTGGATCTGTGTTGTTGTGTCATGCAGGGAAGACATGGGCATAGATAACTAAAACAGTCATAAGATCTCTTTAATTTCTTACCAGGTTTTAGTGGATTGCCTTGTATATTGTATTTTTGTAGATGCACACCTGGTATTGGTGGGCAAACTGTCCAAGATCTTGGAAAGCCTCTGCCACTCAGAGTGGCCTGGGGTGCAGAACCCTTATCGGCTGAAGATTATCAAAGCAACCTTTCAGGGGCCACATGCAAGTGGTGGGCAGGGCCAACGACAAAAGTGGGCAGAGCAATGAATGCAGATTTTGCCTTTATACAATAAACTAGTTTGTATGCATGTCTCACACTCCTCTCTGTCCTCTGTGTAGGCAAGCAAGAGCCATTATCGGAGTTCATGGGCACATTCCAACCAGGGGGAGAGGGAAAAGTTGGGGAGGGGTGTGGCTTGTGTACAGTGCCAGGACCTGTCAAGGTGGACCAGTGTTCTGACATAGTAGAAGACGGCTTCCTGTGTTCTTCATGTGGGTCCAGAAATTGAGGATGGCTGGAGTTATTTTTTTGAAGTTGGGTGGGGTAATGGGTATGGGGACAGAACAAAGGAGAGCCAAGTGAAGAGCATTTTTGTGTGTGTGTCATTCTGCAATCTTGTCTCTCCTTAAGCTTGAGACTGTCAGTGGGAATCTTTATTCTGTTGATAAATTGTGGGAATATGCTGTGAAATTTGAGGGACTTTGAACTTCTATTATATATCTAATTTTGTCCATATGGTAACCGCATAAGTAACTAGTATTAACTTTTTGGCAGTGAATGAGTTTCCTGTGCTTAAGGCTGACGGTATCAAGTACATCATGATTTTCAGGAACCAAGTAAGTTGTATCATCATTCAGAGTTCTTAACATCCAGCTGAAATTGTTTGATAGACTATTTTTTGTGTGGGAAAAATACTGCAAATGGTGTACCTAGAACTGTACTAATTGTTTCACAATGTGGTATCAGTACTTCTGGAAAATAACATAAATTATTTTAGGGTACCCCACCCCCCATTTTAAAACCTCCAATTCTGAAAAAGTTACAGTATACAGATGACAAAACCCTTTCCCTGGAATCCAGTGAACAGATCATAATTGATTTGGGGAAGATTCTCTAATTTCATACTTTATGTTTCTTAGAACAGGTACAGAAAGTGCTCCTGTTTTCGTGTGTGTGATATCTTTTAAAGTCTTCAGCTATGCAATCTTCTAATATGCAAAATATTCCAAAGGTCCATGGGACAGCACCCTGGGGACCATAGGATTTCATGAGCCTCAGTTTCTGTGGCCTCCTGGAAACCTCTTTGTTGTGGCTGCAGCAGCCTCCAAGGCTGTCCCTCTACTATCAGTGATTTGGCAGTAAGGAGGTAAAAAGGGACATGTTAGGGGCACATGAAAGAGAGGCTTGGGGTCCATAGGCTCCAAAGATCTCTTGCTTCCCCAGCAAGGGAGGGGGAAATTGCTGGCTCTAGAGCTGCTGTGCTTGTTTTTCCTCCCCCACACCCAACACACACGGTGTCTGCAGTTGCTGCTGGCAGTTCTTCCCTCACAGATTCCCCCACCCACATTGAATTGCTGTGGCTAGGAACTCTTACTTGACCCATGACCTTGGTTTAATAGAATATGCACAGTAATTTTTAAAAAAGCTTAATACAGGTATGGCTGCACAATGTATATATACCTCATGCAGGAAAGTTACAGTGGTCTGCTTATATAACAATTGCAATGACCAAAACATTGTAATAACAGATGGAATGTTTCAGTCCATTGTTTCTGACCTAATTCTTCCAAAACTGCTTGGTACTTGCTTCTAAAGCATTTTTACTTGTGTCTATTTTGTAGGTACCCAAAGAACAACTATTGGTGTCTATTCCTCTCCTAATCAATCATCTTCAAGCAGAAAGCATTGTAGTTCATACTTACGCAGCCCATGCTCTTGAAAGGTTATTTACAATGAAAGGAGCTAACAACACTACACTGTAAGTTTATGTTTAGGTATATATATGTTACACTCATCTATTCATTGATTTCTTGCCGCTCTGGCTATATCCCTCACTGTATATGTAGAATCCTAAATTGATAAAACCACACATGTGTATTTATTATGCTAGTTCTTTCATTTTCTAAAACCAGAGTTTTTAGCTGATTTCCAAGTTGACTGTGCTCCAGAGGCACTTGAAAATGAGTTGGCCTTCTCCATCTCTCTGTCCCTTGCACTGTCATACTCTAGGATTTCATATGTTCTTGCATTCCCTCTGGTGTCCATTCAGGATTGGTAAGACTCTCCAAAGTAGAGGATCTTGATGAGTCATTGGAAAAACATTGGTGATAATCAAACACTCTTTTCCTCTACAGGATTACGGCTGCAGAGATGGCACCATATACAGAAATGCTGCTAACAAACCTTTTCAAAGCACTGACACTTCCAGGGTCATCAGAAAATGAGTATATTATGAAAGGTAAGAGGCTACATTTATTAGTCCAAATAGTTACCCTCAAATTTAAACCACTTTTTCTATCTTAGAGGTTCTCCCATTAGTATTTTTGAATGCAGTGCTACGTGCCTATATAAAACTTAATAAACAAGTTCTTATCTTGGATGCAACCTACAAGATCTAGTATTTTTATGCAAGGAAAAAAAGGTAATGTTAAGCTTAATGTTGCTGTTGTTTCTGCATTCAGTAATATAAATCTCTGAATTTCCAGCTATCATGAGAAGCTTTTCCCTACTTCAGGAAGCCATAATTCCCTACATCCCTTCTCTCATCACTCAACTCACACAGAAACTGCTTGCTGTCAGTAAGGTAAAAAAGAAGATACTATTGCTTTCTTCTGTTCCCCTTTTCTCGACCTGATTTAGAGGTTCACTTTTTGTCACTTGTGTTGATGTAATTCCTCGCCAATTTAAAAAATAAAGCTTGCTTGAATCCTTGTTAAGGAACCAAATTATGTGGGGGGGGGGGAGGTACTCACCATGATCCCAAGATCCACTGGGCACACAGTGGATCTGCGCACACAGTGCTGCTCTGGGCTTGTGTTTATGGACAAGAGCTATTGAATACAACTTTATTTTAACCTTAGGTTTTCTCTTACTTATATCACTGTATCCGCTTTTTAAAAGAATTCTATTGAATTTTTGTAGAGGCACATCAGGAGATTCCACTGAATACTACAGAACAAATGTACATATAAAAGCATAGCCAAAAAAAACCCCAAGTGTGTCTGCTGAATAAAATTAATAGTTAATAAACATCAAAATATTTTTTCACTGTGTTTTCATGTAATTTCCATGCAAGTTAAATGAGGATCTAGTAAGTTATAGTAAAAATTGTGATTGGAACTTGCATGGAAGCATTTAAGCTTGTCATGTGATTTTTCTTAATATATAGTTGTACGTCCACCTATAATTGTTGTAACTTTTAATCTATATGGTGAACAGTAACTTGGTAGTCAGAAGCGTGTTGATATTCATCTAAGGCGGCCTTGGGAATTCAAGAGGAGATTCTAGCCAGATACAAGCTAAATAAGGCCATTTTCAGATTTTGACCTGATTGGAGATTGGAGGAGGCTCATGTCAGAGGTTAACTGTTTGCTTTCCTATGGTGTGACTAGAATTATCATGTTTTAGGTAATGATAGTTGCACTGAAAGCAACTTCTGGCTTTTTAGTTTAAGTAAGAATCTTATCAGTGACTTTGTGGTGTTCACGTCTTCCTTTTTTCCTTTTTAGAATCCAAGCAAGCCTCACTTTAATCATTACATGTTTGAATCAATTTGCTTGTCAATAAGGATAACTTGCAAAGCAAACCCCACTGCTATTGGAAGCTTTGAAGATGCTTTGTTTATGGTGTTCACAGAGATTCTGCAGAATGACGTGCAAGGTAAAAATAAAACATGATCTGGCTTCTTTGAAATATGGTATAAGCAGTGTCTGCAGTTCAAGTAGCCATTATTTATTTATCTAATTGAAAATATACCTATTTACATCTTTTTATATTTGGCAGATGTACATATGACCACCCATATCTTCTTATCTTTATGTAAGCCAAAAGAAGAAAAATCTTAGTTTGTGTGGCTATATTCATTTATTTATGTTATTAGCCCACCCTTACTCCAATAACCTCAGGGTGCTATAAATGGTGGTTTCTCATTCTCTGAGGAGGTAGGTTAGACTGAGAGTTCACAACCAGCTCAAAATCACAAAATTCTCCTTTGGATTATACTGTAGGTATCAGTATTTGCACACATGAATACACTCTCCTGTCACTTATAAACTGTCTTCCCCTTTCAACAGAATTCATTCCATATGTGTTTCAAGTGATGTCTCTGCTTCTGGAAATGCATAAAAATGACATCCCATCGTCGTATATGGCCTTATTTCCACACCTGCTTCAGCCAGTCTTGTGGGAGAGGTCAGGAAACATCCCCCCTTTGGTGAGACTCCTTCAGGCCTACTTGGAGAGAGGTGCCAGCACGATAGCAAATGCCGCAGCTGACAAAATTGTATGTATACACTGATTGCATTGCTTGATTTCTAAAAGAGTGTGTGTGTGTGTGTGTGTGTGTGTGTTTCATAAAAAAGAGGTTGGAGACCCTCTCCTGTGTTAGTAGATATCAGAAAGAATGAATTATCTTTTACTCACCCTGGAAATCCAAGTTGTTATTTCAAGTTAGCTTGTGAAGTTACAAAACTTTATTAGACTCTAATGGCTATCACTAAGGGAAAAGTCTGCACCAGACTGCGATCCTAGAAGGCAGAATTCAAAGATGCTATGCATATGCTTCATTGTAGAAAACGACACATTTTGAATGTATTATCTTGAGCAAGTTTCTTTTCATGTTGGAATGGATTCAGATTTGCCCCTCCACAAATGGAAATGCTGCTTTCATTCAGAGAAGGAAATGAGATCCACCTGAGGCTCCCCTACAGCCCCCAGAGCCACTTTCATTATGTTTGGGAATTGAAGTCTTACTGACTTCAGATTTTTGCAGACTGAAGAGATTACTGGCTGGGTTTCCGTTTAGAATTCTCATAAAGATGCCAGCCCCCAAAAGCAGCCCTTCCAGTCTGTTGGAGAGTGCTGGTTTGCTCATGTCCTCTTATGCGCTTCCCATAGGGGTCTGGGTAGCCAATCAGGGAACAGAATGTGGAACTAGTTAGGTCTGATCCTGCAGGACTTAAATTCTTAATCTGCACTTGATGCTAGGCATTTGTCACTTACAGAGAATGAATGGCTATATATTTTCCCTGTTGTTTCCAAGCCATGCAAGCTAGTTACATAAGCCATAAAATTATTAGATGAGCTAGATACTTCTTTCCCATGAAAGCAATACTTTTCAGTAGTGCATTCAATCTATCCTAGCACTGCTGAATACCCAGCTATGATCTGAAATTCCTGAATAATCTTAACTCAGTTTTTTACCCCATTGCTAAGCAAGTTTAACTAGGCAGAGTTAAATCAGTTCCCAGACTCATTGGCTGTTCTACTCTGGTAGTCAGTTATATCATAATTCCATTCTGGGTAGATTTTGTAGCTGCCAGATCATTTTACTGTTAATAATTTGCTGGCATCTGTCTGTCTTGGGAGACAACAGAGGAGTGCACCTTTGGAGGTGAGGTCAAGCTGTTGGAACGTTGCAGTGCCTGCTGTGACTGTGGAGGCCGATGCAAAACTTTGTGTTTTCCTTAATTTACAGCCTGGACTTTTGGGTGTGTTCCAGAAACTTATTGCCTCTAAACTTAATGACCATCAAGGATTCTACCTTCTCAACAGTATTATAGAACATATGCCCCCGTGAGTATGAACATACCAAATTCAAGTAATTTTGCTGCTATTAGCTTGCATTATTGTAGATCTCCCATCGGATGTACTCAAAATATGCCAAAAGAAAGTTAAGAAATAGTACACTCAAAGGGCCTACTGGATTGATTAACCGGTTTCAACGTATTTTTGTCTTTCTAGTGAATCCATTGATCAGTACAGGAAACAAATATTCATCCTGTTATTCCAAAGACTTCAGAATTCCAAAACAACAAAATTTATCAAAAGTAAGCTATTTGTTTTATGGCTGATAGATTTGGGGAAGAACTCTGCCCTGAGGGGCTTAGTATGCTTTGGATCAGAACAATCATCACTTGTCTTTTGATTTGATTTCAAAGATGGCAATACAGTGGTACCTTGTGTTGCGTAACGTTCAGGTTACGGCCGTGGCAAACCCAGAAGTGGGTTTGCCGCTCGCACGTGCGCACGAGCGGTCCTCTGGTTATGAAATTTTCGGGATACAGCCGGGACTCCGGAACGGATCCCATTCATAACTGAAGGTACCACTGTAAAGGGCATATTGGTCAGAGTAACAGGATTTGGAGGCAAAGAGAGGAATATTCATTGAAGCTTGAACTTTGTGCCTACCTAGTATAAGAGCTGGGTTGGTGGGGATTTGTGATGGAGTTGGTCCCTCTGCATAACAGCTTTGCCAGGTGGGTCCTAGAGACCCTGTGAAACCAGCAAAGAAGTTTTGTCGACAGATAGCAGGAAAGATACAGATGCTTATTCACTGTGATTTTATAGAAGAGAGAGACACATATTAATACTGTTACACGTGCTCTTTTACAGCTTCTGATTCATTCTTCTTCTTTTAATAGGTTTCTTAGTCTTTATCAACTTGTATTGTGTAAGATATGGAGCAATAGCACTTCAAGAAATATTTGACAGTATACAGCCAAAGTTAGTATCTTTTTTTTTTTAGTTTTCTTTCTATTTCTTACTATTACAATTCTGTCCTGCCTTTCATCTCAGTTCTCCTGCTCCTCATTTTATTCTCACAACAACCCTGTGAAGTAGGTTAGGCTGGGAGGGGGTGAATGGCCCAAGGCCACCCAGTGAGCCTCATGGCCAAATGGGGATTTGAACCCTGGTATTCCAGGGGTCTAATCCAGCTCTGCAGCCACTGTACCACACTGACTGCACCAGGCTATACTAGGGATAACTGATAGCTGTATTTTCAGGTATCATTCTGTTTCCCAGGAAGAAGGCAGCGGAGCTGAAAGTGAATATGAAAATATATTATTTGTTTGTTTATTTATTAAATTCATATCCCACCATTCCTCCCAGCAAAGCCTATGGCAGCAAAACCAATTGATCCCCTCACTAGTGGCTAGACTTCATAATTAATTTGGTGTCATCTTGCAATAAAGGCCTGACAGTTATGTGCTTTAATTCAAGGTGGCAAACTGTAGAGGAAGAACCAGGAGCAAACACCCTTTTGAAAAGTTGTTTAGGCTGTGAACTGTCCTTAGATCTACGGGTATAGGGTGGCATACAAATTTAATTAATAATAATATAACTACTTTGGCTGCAAAGGAAGATTCTTTGTTTGCACTTGCAGCTTTAATTCAAGATGGCAAAGGAAGGCTCAGGAGCAAACTCTTAAGTATGCCCTCATAATTTGGTACTTTTTGGATTTGGCACCTTTTCTCTGTCACTGTTCAGTCAGAAATGTTGAGCCCTCTTAATGCTCTTCTCTCATGGTATACTGATTAACCCAGGAACTCATAACACGCCATTTCCTTGGTAATGCTCAGTGGTCTGCTTGATTTGTGTTCAGATTTCTGAGTCAATGGATCTCTAGCCTCTCTAATTATCTGTACTTGACCCAATAAATGCATTAGGTGGATACTGCAAGATTAAATGGGTTTCTTTTGGCACTTAACAGGATGTTTGGAATGGTTTTAGAGAAAATCATAATACCAGAAATACAGAAAGTATCTGGGCAAGTAGAAAAGAAAATCTGTGCCGTTGGTATCACAAAAATACTCACAGAATGCCCTCCTATGATGGACACAGAATACACAAAGCTGTGGTAAGTGCAGTTACTTCTTTGATAAAGTTTATTATTGAAAGGTAGAACTTCTAAGGATGAAGAAGAAATTCCTCTCTTAAAAAAAAAGATTTCTATCTTACCCAGGGAATATGCTAGTTTTTGCTTAAACAGTTGCAACAGAGATATTTGCCAAAGGAAGGAATCTCTCTGTTGGCCTCTCCCTCCATTGCTTCCATTCCTATTTCAAAAAAGATTTGAAAATGTGCTGGCCAAAATATGCTGTGCTGTTAGGGATAAGAGTTCCAACTTGGGGGTGAGAATTCAATCTTGCTGTGTCTGAAAGAATTTAGGGGATCAGTTTAGGGACAGTGTTTTCAGGATACAAATCTTGCAGAATATGTGTGTGTGAGGTCAGGAAGCACATGCAATTTAGCATAGTTCAGAGTAATGAAGTTTACTAATGATATGTAACCAGAATATGTTACTGCATTATGTGTTGTTAATATGGGCTTCTGGTCAGTATCAGTGGAGAAGACCTCAGCAGTTAAGCCCTCTGCTGGTTTTGTGTCCACCATTCACTGTCCCCACCTAGCACTTGAGAAGCAATAGGTTTGGTTGTATATTCCTCTTTTGAAAGTGGTTTTCCCATGCACCTCAGTCAGGGAGCAAAAGTATTAATAAGATATAAGTTCTCCTGTTCTAGATTAAGACAAATAACAACAACAATAAGAATAATAAAATCCACATTGCCAAGTCAGGAGCAGGAGTGACTAGAGCTTGAATGCTTGTGTGAGCAGAAGGTGAGCTGGAGTGCAGCTGTCAATAAGAAGTGTTCCCGGCAGGAACCGTTCCAAATAACTTGTTATTAGTTTTCCAATATTCCTCCAATAATAGCCAAATTATAACAATATCAATGAATTTGGCAGGAACAGTTCCAGGGGCATTTATACCAAGGCAGTGGTTATATTGTAGAGGAAATATGAATTATAAGGAAAACAAATAAATGTATGGAGCATAATGGAAACAAGAGCAAGTACATTGTTTTCCTTGGACACCGTCCAAAATAGAAGAACAGCCAGAGTATGGACAGGCTTTTTCCAGTTTTTCTGAATGCTTGTGCCATTCCATTGCCAGTTTCTGCTCTGGCTCTGATAACTAGATCCAGGTAGTCCTCTGCCTAAGGAATATTCTGCTGCTGAAAATTGGCTGTTTTCTGTGGTGGTTTGAAATGGTTTGCTGTAACATATTGTTTTTGTGCTACGCCTTTAAGATTTTAATTTTCGTAAGTTGCTTAGATTCTTTTGCAGTGAGCAACGAATAAGCCCGTTAAATAAAAGGTTTTCTCCATAGGACACCCCTTCTTCAGGCCCTCATTGGTCTCTTTGAGTTGCCTGAAGATGATACCCTTCCTGACGAAGAACACTTCATTGATATAGAAGACACGCCAGGGTACCAAACTGCATTCTCCCAGCTTGCCTTTGCTGGGAAAAAAGAACACGATCCAGTGGGCCAAATTGTGAACAATCCTAAAATCCATCTTGCACAGTCTCTTCACAAGTTATCAACTGCGTGTCCAGGCAGAGTAAGATTGCGTGGCTGTAATCTAGTGTGTGTGTGGTGATATGAATGTGGGGAATCGTTTCTCTCTCCTGAGTCTGTTCTCTTATCCTAGAAAACGCAGTGTGTCAAAATTGGAAGATTCCTTTTTTGACTGCTATCTTGAATGAACGTGCTCATAATTGCACTCTGTTGAAATCAGTTGTGCTGATTTTGTAGATGTGTTGGGGACTGGGGTGCCAGTCTTCTGCAAGAGCGATTTCTAAAGTGTGCTTCACTTTCAGATTATCTGGTTCTGATATGGCTTAATTTGTCAAACTCTAGTCAGCAACTGGATGGTTACTTGGTTGTGGCATTGCTCCAAGCACCAACTCACCAGGTAGAAGGTGAAGAGGTGTGTTCATAACTTTCCACCTAGCTTCATGCTGGTTGGACTAACTGGATAACCACATACATGATTCCATCTTTTTCCCTTTCCTTGCATCCAAAGTTAACCTCCCACAGTCCTGGCAGCATGGTACTGCCCCCGCCCCCGTGGTTTGAGGGACTAGGGAGTTTTACAAGTGCCCTTGGTCCTTATTGACCAAGCATTGTTTGCAGCGACGATACCAAAGTGTGTAGATGCAGGCAATAGCTTAAGTGCTGACTGCAAGACAAAGCTATAATATGAAAGTATACGCTGAGATGCACACAAGTCAATTAACGCTTTAGGATTTGGAGAAACTAAAATGTTAAAACACTACTGAATGCCTGCATCCTGGTATGTTAAAGTACTGTAATTTAGATGCAGATTAATAGTGCCACTCTATCTTGTGTTTAAAGGTTCCCTCGATGCTGAGTACTAGCCTGAATGCAGAAGCTTTGAAATTTCTTCAAGGATACTTACAGGCTGCAAGTGTAACATTGCTCTGACCTCTTTATTTTGAACGGGAGAATTTCAAAGTTGCATCAAGGAACGCTGATATTGACTGTTCTAAACAAAGCTCGGACAAGGTGAAATGAGTTGCTACTTCGAAAAACACATCACTGAATTACTGCTTGATACAGAAGCTGAATGATACTTTGTTCATGTGATCATAGGTAAAGAAGCAAGTGACTTTCCCATTCCCAGTTTGCTTTCAAAGGGAATAGTAATAGGAGTTTATCATTTGGGATTGATTGAAGTTCCACATCTGCAGTGTTTGGGTACCATTTTAAAATGTATAGAGTACTGGATGCAAACTCATGTTGTCACTTATTTTTTCCAGTTTATTGTCATTTGTATTTCTTTCGTGTCTCAAAAAATTTATCTGAATTGTGAATAAATAAGCTCTTGTTTAAAGTATTTGTCTAGCAATATATATCTTACTATGGTAGAATAAATTGTAGTTGTCTGCAAAGAAACTGTCACTTAGTCCCAGCAATACCCAGCACTTCTTAATTTGCTTTTCCACCTGAGCTTTACCTTAACACTATTCATGACAAACATTAAAATTGTATTTGGAGAGGCACCTTCATAGCATTCTGACTCTTTAGTGTCTCAGTCATACTTGAACATCCCACCCATCTTTCAGGAAATGCATTGCTATGAAATATAGTGGAAAATAAATGTCTCAGATTTAATCCATGCAGGTGCTTCTTGTTAAGCAGTTGTGGTCAGCTGCATTTGGGACTTGCTGGTATTCTTCAATTTCATATTTTAAACACTGAAATGCTGAGTCTTAATATTGGTTAGTGAAAGGTAACAAATTATTCTGGAGGAACTGCATCTTGCTGAAATTTTGTCTAGGGTTGTGTAATCACTGCTGTTAATATGTGGTATGAGTACCTAGGAGGCTTAAGGTTACAGATATTCAGAAATAAAGAAAATAAAAAGAGGCAATTTATTATCTCTTACTCTTATCTCAGATGTTTAACAAGACTGAAATGACCTCTACAAATTTAGTGCTATATAAATAGGAGTGATCTTCACAATTGTATACAGCTTGAACTCCCTTAAAAATAATTACTATGCAACTTGAATATTCTAACCACCAGGCCCAGAAAAGAGTCTTGAAGGCACATGATGCAGTTCTACTGCTGAAGGTCTGGGCCTCAGTACTGCATGAGTGTGTGACTACCTAAGAACCAAGTACAAACCATTTTCTGCAGCAAGAATAGGACACGAGCCAATTAAAAAGCAAGTTGACAGTCAAATGTATTCTGATTTCCTTTTTTAGTATGGACTCATGACCTGGGTGTGTGTGTGTGTGTGTGTGTGTGTGTGTGTGTGTAACTCCAGGAATCCTGATGCAACACAGACTGTAGCAATGGGCCTTTAAATAAGTTTTCATGTACCAATGTCTAAAGAACCTTCTATTTTAAACTTAGGATAAGTTTGTACAAAAGCATCTATTTACTGTATTTCAGTCACAATTTTCAAACACTTGTAGTTCCCAAGTGGCTCAAATAAGTAAGTAATGAGAAACCCTTGACATCAGGCTTACAGCATGAAAAAACAACAGACTAGGAAAGCATCGAGGAAGGAGATCAAGTTATTCAAGGTCAGAACAAAGTGATGAGGTTTAAGAGGGTGTTTATATCCAGTTCAGGCCAGGCTGATCTTCCTTTGCTAGTGATCATTCTTAATAAGCAATTGGTGGTTTTTGTTCCTTTGACTGATGGATGGGGCCAGAGTGTTCTTTCTCCTTGCATTTGCAGTCTTGGGGTGTAACAGTCAACTGGAGCTGAGTGTTCTTTCAGGCAGCAAGAAGAGAAGCGAGAGTTCCCTGCAGCTAACTCATCCTCTAGATGGTTCCTGGTTGGTGCCATCATTCATTGCCTTTTCCTTCATGCTACCACTAGAGGCAATGGGGTACAGCCTACCCTCTCTGTTCTGCTGATAGAAGCCTTTACTCATCACCCCAGGGATAACATTGGATGGAACCCCATGGTGCTGAAGAAAGCAAGCCAAGGAGAAAGTAGAACTGGGGCTCTGCTCTACCAGAAGGGGAAAGCAGGGCAGGCAGTGTTGGTTCTGGAGGGCAAGGTAGGAGGCGGTAGATGCAGACATGAGACTGATAGGAAGTCAGTCATTTGTTTTGTTGTACCATTTAACCTAGCAGCCCAAAGGGGGCAAAGAATTGAGTCAAAATGACAAGCAGGGATTTCCCAATTATTTGCCCCAAGCTCCGGTTCTAAGCAAAAACCGTCCACAAAGTTATCATGCTATAAGAGGCAGAGAGATCACCTTTTAGGTTTCATATGTAATATACACTTGCATGTAATGCTAACTCTGCCCATGTGCTGCTTTATTAGGGCTGTCACTAGATTAAATAAATGCTGGTTGATTAAACTTGCATAAGCATGAAATTAATAGTTTCTGGATCAGGCTACTGAGGAGGGCTTACTAATTTCAGTGGGGCTTTACAACCAAGCAATGTTGCAGAATTGCAGCTTATATGGAGATATTCCATGCGCTGATTGTCCTTTTTCCTCACCAAGCCAACTCCTCAATACAGAGCAGCAATGCCTCCAAGCACATGGGATACCTTTTGAACATCTGTCCCTGTTCCGCTGCCCAAGAACAAAGGATGGCAGGTACCAACCTTGAAATGTGGAGAGAGAAGGGGGAAAATAACTTTTCTACAGTGATAGGAAGAGGGAAAGCCTTCAGTTGATTAAACTGCAGCTCTACTTCAGGGACTCATCTTTCATAAGCAAAGTATATTACACATTTTTAAAAAATCTTCATTGTTTAGTTTTCAGGGCTGGCTCTACCATTAGGCTAAGGCACCTGCCTAAGGCAGCAGATGCTTTGATTTCATTTGTAGTGTAACAATTACCATGGAAAATATGGATTGAAATAATAAGAGTTTGGAGAAGATGCAGTTTTAAATGATTAAAATGGGACTCCAGTGAAGGGGTGGGGGGAAGTCCTGAGATTCGGAGGAATCATATGGATATGTAATTGATTTTTTTAATATAATTTTGTACTGTTAAAACTAAATAAAAAGATTTTTTTAAAAAGGGGGAGGCAGCAGATGCTGGGGATGGTGGCAACAGCAGTAACTCTTCCTTTTGAGCCTAGATAGGATCAGGCTGCACATGTAATTTATTCATGAATAAATGTACGCCTCAGTACTTTGGGGCAGCCAAATCTTTAGTCCTATGGGAAAAGAAGACAGGTGCAAAAGTAGTCTTGATGTTTGCTATACTTATTGATATGAAATTTTCCTTTTAAGCCAATTTTGTGAGTTTTTTTGGCCGGGAGGGGGGGTGCCATTTGCTACCCCACTTTAGGTAGGAAAACGTATCCATTCAGCCGTATTTTAGACTGTGAGCAGGGTTTTCTAGACTGGTGACTGGAAGCAGCCGCCAAGACCATATAACACTGGTCCTGAAAGACCTACATTAGCTCCCAGTATGTTTCCGAGCACAATTCAAAGTGTTGGTGCTGACCTTTAAAGCCCTAAATGGCCTGGGCCCGTATACCTGAAGAAGCGTCTACACCCCCATCGTTCAGCCCAGAGATCCAGCTCCAAGAGCCTTCTGGAGGTTCCCACACTGTGAGAAGTGAAGCTACAGGGAACCAGGCAGAGAGCCTTCTTGGTAGTGGCACCCATCCTGTGGAACGCCCCTCCCACCAAATGTTAAGAACATGAGTAATTATATAAGGTTAGGTTGCTGAAATGAAAACTAAGAAAGTGGACTGTGTGTGTGTGTGTGTGTGTGTGTGTGTAAGGACTTTTGAATTCTGGTTGGTTCTGGTACTAAAAACATCCCTAGGCTAGGCTCAGAGGCAACTCTCTTCTTTAATTCCAATGTGTGTCTTTTGTGCCTGGTTTTGACTGGTCGGGGTTCCAGGAGAAAAGCAGCAAAGTAGATTTGACAAGCCTGAAGTTCGCCCACTCCTGTACAGTGCTAAAAAGTCCGTTCTGCTTAAAGGAATGTCTGAAATAACACAGCTAGAATGCGTGGGGCAGGTTTTGCGGCAGTCTCTATCGCCAATCATGTTCTCAGCTAACACTATTAGGACATGCGGCAGCGCGCAGCCTGTAAGCTCTCGCCCACTCATTTGCCACATAAGCACTTTGCGGAAGCTCCTTGGGGGGCCGACTTGCTTTAAATAGAGCAGCATGCTTGGCTCAGCGGCTTCCTGTACTACTGCGTAAAAGACTACAATACCCAGCACCCACAGTTACTTTCTCAAGTTTTAGTCGGAGCTTGACGGAAAGGAGGCACTACAAACCCCTAGGAGTCAGAAAACACATGCAGCGAATGCTGTAATCTTCCAGTCCGTTCCATAGATAAGGCTGCAATTGCAAACTCTGTATTGCTTGAAAGAGTGGCGCGAGAGTTTTTGATCTAGCTTAATTAGAAAATTAATTAGAAAATTATCTCCCCCCACCCGGAATCTTGCGTTCCCAGAGCGAAAGCGATCTCTTACTGATCTGGAGGTCAAATCTGATGATTCAGGCCACAGTTTCAAAAAGGAGAGGATTTTATGGCGCTGCAATGTATTCACTTTTATGATTCAGGAAGAGTACGCGGAATGAAGCAACCTTTAAGCCTGAGATGGTAAAGCGCCGCCCCTCTAGGTATTCTTGGACTCCAGCTCCCATCAGCCCCAGCCAGCGTGGCCCAAAGATCAGGGATGAAAGGAGTTATGGGTCAACAACGTCGGGGAGAGGGGGGCACCGGGTCCCCACGCCTGCTTTATGCACAGAAGCACAATACGTATCTGCGGACCTGTTGGTTGGTGTCTTAAGAATTCAATAAAAGGAGGACGTCGGTGCTGCTTAGAGCAAAACTGGGATTACAGAGAAATAATTCCTATCTCAAATAATGGTTGTCTATTAAGGAGTCCTGCCATCCAGGTTCTTCATTCGTCCAAAACTTAACCGCGAAATAACAGATACCAAAATTTTACAATGCTGGACGGTCCCCTTTGTTTCCTTCTTCGTCCTAAATCTACTCCAGACTCCGAAAACAGTTCATTCAGGTCGTTGCACCCGCTATCTTTAAGACGAACGGAACACAGGGTGCAATTCTCCGTAAGCAAAGCCTCGTTGCCCTTCACTGGTCTTCTCAGCTGAGAAAGAAAAACAAGCATGTCCACCTGGGACCTCCCGCGAGGGCCAACCTGGGGGACCCGACAGGAATTGTTTCCTCCCAGCACACATGCCTCGCATTCCCCGCTGCGCAGGGCCCCACTACCTCCCTCCACGCGTCCTCAGGCGCGGCTGCCGCCGGGAGTCCCGGGGTTTCTGGTTGGAAAGCGCGTGGCGGCAGAGCTGTCACTTCCCCTGCGAGCGCAGCATGCTGGGAAATGTAGTCTCGCCGCCTTCGCAAAGGGGAAAGCGGGGGGGAGGGAGAGCTGGAGACTCCGACGGGCCACCTAAGTGACAGCCGCGGGGCATGCCGGGAGGAGTAGTCCCACCGGCCGGAGAAGCCGGCCCGCGCCCGGATTGGCGGCGCGCTCCGCGCTGGGCGGCGCTATAAATAGCTACGAGAGGCCTGGTTGGCTCCTCCTCCTCCCCCCCACACGCCGTCGCGTGGTGCCGTCACTTCCTTCCCGGCCGGAGCTGGCCCCGCTCATTCTCTTTAGTGTTTGCCCTGTGTCTGCCGCCGCCGCGACTCGCTCGCCTTCCCCCCCCTTTCCCCGGACCCCCCCCTCTTCGGCCTGCCAGCTGCCCATGGACTGAGCCGCCCCACGGCCCGCCCGCCAAGACGAGCCGGCCCGGGAGCCGCAGCCCAAAACAACCGCCAGGTGAGGGGCGGAGAAGCAGCGGGCGGGTGGGCAGCCGGGCAGGCAGGCAAGGCGGGCGTCCCTCCCAGCCGCCCCCCGCCCGCCACTCCTACCGCGGCGCTGGGGTATGTGGGAGGGGAGAGGCCTCGGCCGGGCCTGCGCTTGGGGTTGGGCCTGTGGACGGGACGCGGGAGACGAGGCTCAGGCCCCTCGGAGCGGGGGCCGGGGTGGGGGGCGCGGGTGGGCTGCTGGCAGGCGGGGGGCTCGAGGCTGCCAGGCTCTGCCTCCTGTTCTTTAGGGGAAGGGGTCCGTGGGGAGCTGGCTTGAAGACCCACCACTCCCCACTTCTTTCGACTCCGACCCGCCTTCCCTCCTGTCCGTCCCGGGCTCTTCCAGCCTGCTCGCTCTGCCTCCTTGCTCTGCTCGTGGGCTTCCCAGAGGCACCTGTGAGAGAGCAGGAGGCCGGGCTTGGGAGGCCTCCCCCTCACCCCGTGGCCTGATCCTGCAAGGGTCGCCTTACGTTTTCCTCCTGGCCGGCGCTCCTGTTAACAGGGATCTTCGCCGCGCACATAGCAAAGTTCGTAGCGGGCGAGCGTAGGAAGGGAAGGTTGCGTTCTGGCCATCCCGAATTACTTGTGCAAAAAAAGGGGGAACGGGGGAACTGGTGACAAATCTCTGCACAGTGGGCTGCAATAGTACATGTCTCTGCCCCAGCTCTTCATCTTGCTTTTCTTGATCTGGTGAGATTGTGCAGCCTGCTCAACGTTTCTTGATAGTCATGTGCATTGTGTTCTTAATGTGTACATGCCTTGCCAAGTTCCCTGATGTTCTCGTCTTGTACCTGTGCGAGGCAGGTGGTAATGCTTCTCCATCCTGAGTTGTGTCAGTTGCAGGGCATGTGCTTTCTCATTTCCCTAGTCAAGAAAATAATGCTGGAGTGTAGAGCCTGTAATTTAAATCCTGTAGTGTCTACTGGATCACACTTTAGTTGCTTCAGGCTTCTCCCAAGACTTGCTTTCTCCAAGATAGCCTTGCAATATTGCTGTCAAGTTTTAGTTTAATTGGGGGGGAAAGTCCTTTGTGTTCTTGCTTACAAACATAATGCTTTCATCTCCTAATGGAAGTAATGAATGGCTTAATGGCTCTAATGGTTTAATCTTTTTCCACTATATATGCCCGCAAACTTAATTGGTCTCCTGTCGTTTAACTTTAGCAATATGAGCAAGCTTTTGATGTGTACTCTTTTCCGCTTCAGCCTGGAACCAGAACCACTTCTGAAACTTAAATAGTTTTGTATTTGCATATGTTGCTTCATCTTTGGTGATATGAATTTTTCATTTTATTTCAAAGCATTTATATACCACTTACTACTTCAGTGTGCAGCAGTGTGCAGTCTAAAAAACAAAACAATATATATTTAATACATTATAACAAAAACAGAGCACATTACAGTAGCCACGTGAATCACAGTAGCTAACCCTGTCCAGGAAAGAGCATAGTTGGCATATCAGCCTAACACTGTGCCCCAATTTGATGAGTGCTTCTAGTGGTTTCATATATTTCCATTCCTACTCCCATGAAAGGAGCAGTTTCATCATTTTGGGGGTGTTCCTGGATTCAGTACTGTCACTGGAGGCTCAGGAGGCCTCAGTAGCTGGTTTTGCCTTTTCGCAACTCTGGCAGATTCACTTTAGGACAGAGAAGATTTGACCACAGTATTCCATGCTCTGATAACTTCCAGAATTGATTATTTCAACATGCTTTACATGGGGCTTCCCTTGAAGATGACTCGGAAACTTCAGTTGGTCCAAAGTGCAGCAGCTGGAGTTTCCATTTAGATCTCCTGTAACCCCTCTCTTAAAACAGCTGCACTGGTTACTAGTTCATTTCCCAGCACAATTCAAAGTTCTCTCATTAGTGTTTAAAGCCCTATTCAACTTTATTTGGGCCCCAAATATCTGAAAGACCACCTCCTTCCCTACAGACCCTCTTGCATGCTGAAACCAGCAGAAGGGGCACTCTTGGAAGTTCCTGCAGGTGACAGCCGGAGAGGGCATTCCCTGTGTTGGCCTCTAAACCCTGGAATTCCCTCCCCACAGAGTTATGTCTGGCACCTCCATTATGCACCTTCCAAAATGCTGTATAATGGAGGTGTGGATCTTTAGGACCCACCTTATTTTTTATTATTGCAACTTTAAACTGTTTTTAATATTGTGCTTTAATGTTCTAACCTGCCCTGGAACCTTAGAGTGAAGGGTGGGTAATAAAAAAATATTAATAATGCTAAACGGGGGCAGATGCATAATCTCCTAATCCAGTTCTCTGAATCAGTCCTGGTGAGTAGGAATTATAGCGAACAATACTTTGTCACAGCCACATTGTCACACTTTACGCTTGAGAACTTGAAAATATTTTAATACTGTGGGTTTCATGGAATCGTAAAGCTAAATCCTGTAGAAGTTAACTGGTAGTCAAGAGACCTTTTTGATATATTTAAACGATCTGTCTGGTTGTTTTAAGTCATGTTCTAAATAGCACTGTATGGTGACCCTACAAACCAAACACTTGATCAAATAGATATTCAACACTGCACCAGAATGTTTAACATTTTTTATTAAATTCAGCTTTGCTAGACTGTATTCTGTGCTATATATTATCAGACAAGCATACCCGACTAGTAAAATGCTCTCTCAGATTAAAGCTTCAATCTTAATAACTCTTACTAGGAAATGTCATATAGAACTTAGTGATACTTAATGCATGATAGGACTGTGAAAGGAGAAGGAAGTGATCTCTAAGTGAATTTACGCTTTTGTGACACTAGTAAAGTCATGTTCCAAAGACTTACTTGGAGATGATTAATCAAGGGATGTATATCCCTTGATTACACAACATCTGACAAACAACTGCTAAGGGTGTGAACTGAATCTGTTGAAAAACATTGTTTAGGAGTAAATACAGATCTGTCTGTGATGGCTTATTTATACATGTTGTGTGAAGCTGCAGTCAACAAGTAATAAATGCAAATGTGTGAACTTGTTTGTAAAACCTAGGCTAACATTGGCTTTAGGCATATGCAAAAGTGTCTGAAGTGCAGTGTGAAGAATTTGTCCCTACCAGTTGCTCTGCTGCTTAGCAAAACTCTTAAGTAAACTGAAAGCGATTGCAGGAACAAACTGAAGTGGGGCCATAGAGGATATTCCTTTGACACTTCCTTGAGTAGTATACCATGGGATGATCCATAACATCAAAATTATGATGGTGGAGGTATGGCCTTGTGCAGTGTTTTTCGATCTTGGATCCCTAGATGCTGTTGGACTACAGTTCCTGTCATCCCTGACCTTTGACCATGTTTGCTGGGGATGATGGGTATTGTAGTTGAACAATATATGTGAACAATACCTGGGCCCAAAGGTTAAACAGTAGTCTAGTGTATGAATACTGCCCCTTGTGCAGACCTGTTGGATGAGAGGAAAGAGAGGGGCTGAAATGGAATTGAGAGCAGAGCTAGAGACTTTCTGTGGACCAAGCTTGCTCACCCACCACTGCTCCTGCTGCTGCTTCCTCCCCGAGTCCTAGAATTTAACTTGAAGTTTAGCCTACAACATGGTGCTTCCTTCTGTTGTTTGCCTTTCTGTTTGCCTTTCCTTCTTCTCCATATTATTATCTTAAAAGTTGATAGTGCTGCTAGTGTGGCCTACCATAGAGCGTCGCAACTTACCAGTTGTTGCGCATCTGCCGTACATGACCGACCTTATTGTGCTATTGCAGACAGCCTGAATTGAGTTAGGGTGGCAAATTAACCAGTTTCAGAAGCATTAATGCTTTTTGCTTTTATAGCATCGTGTGCTGTTGAAAGTCTCAAAGAGGCAGGAGGTGTTTCCATTTGTGCAGCTACAACGAAAGGATTGCTGCAGGTACCATTGGTATTAGCCATCAATTTTGGAATTGGCAGTCTTTCTTAAAATATGCTTACCCTGCTATCTTTGTGTTCGGCAGACTGAATTCTTTCCATTTCAAAGTGTTTGAGTACCTTTTGACATGGAACATACAGGCTAAAGGGACCAGGAAATGGTGTGTGTGTATTTTGTTGTTTTTCACTTTTCACAACTACAGAATGCATTCCATCAGGGAACTCATAGGTACAAATCTTGCTCGAATGAATGGTAATTGAGCCAAAGCACTGATGCATACCCTTCATTTCACTTCCTTGAAGAATACCTATATAAGTCAGTTGCAACAAAACCAGAGTCTTGTAGAAGCTTAACATTGGGCAGATTTATTATGGCATAAGCTTTTATTGATGCATCCAGTGGCTTTTGCTGTAAACAATTACCTGGTTCCCCCATATTTTTTATTGGGATATTTCTAAACCACTTAATATTTTAAAATACCATATTGATGGACAATAAAGGTACAACAAATAGCTTGAGACAAAAAACGCCGAAAAAAACCTAGGTTCCCCCCTCCCAGTTTTTCTGATCTGGTCCCCCACCACCAGTATGCCTTTTACATATCTAGATTTTGCCTGTCTTTCTGGGGAAACCTATAAAAAATAGCATCCAACGAAATGTATACAACGTCTCAGCCTGTCTTACTTCAGACTTTAGACTGAACTATAAGGCAGTTCTTACCAGTTACTGGTAATTCTTCCCTGATCTTTTTCTTCTTTAATTGCTTTTTATTGAGTTTTAAAATTATTATTCATATACATATTCCATAACATATATTGTGCACATATATCAACCAAACAACAACAATATTTCTTTACAAGTGACTTCCCACCACTTCAGTGCGGCTTCTTGTTTCTTCCTTCTCTTTTCAACTGTGTTGTTTTTCCTTATTACCCTTCTCTTACACAATATTTCTTATCTGTTCTTTACTTTGTAAAATTTAGTAGAAATGTATCAAGGATTTTATCTGAGAACAGTGTTTTCCATATAATCTTTTACATCTGAAGGCAGCTCAGTTTAGGGAAGTTTTTGATGTTTAATGCTGTATTGTGTTTTTAACATTTGGTTGGGAGCCACCCAGAGTGGCTGGGGAAACCCAGCCAGATGGGCAGGGTATAAATAACAAATTATTATTATTATTATTATTATTATTATACATTCCCACTCCTTTTTAAATTTTTTGTTTGGTTGGTTCCTAATTGCCTCTGTCATTTTTGCTAATTCCAAATACTAACACAATTTGATTTGCCATTCTTCCTTTGTTGGTGTCCTATCCCCCTTCCAATTTCTAGCGATTAACATTCTTGCTGCTGTTGTAGCATATAGGAACACCCTTTTTAATCGTTTGAAATATCAATTGTCATAATGCCCGGAAGAAAGGCTTCAGGTTTCTTCTCAATTTTTTTTTGAACACTTTAAAAAAATTCGTCATAGACAAAATTCCCCCCAAAATTAATTTTGTCACAACCCCACCACATGTGGTACATCATTCCTTCCCCTTGATTACACCTCCAGCATACACTTGACTTTGATTTATATATTTTGGCCAGTTTGCTGGGGGTTATGTACCACCTGTATAGCATTTTCATGAAGTTTTCTTTTATTGTGTAGCAGGCTGTAAATTTTAAATCCTTTTGCCACAATCTTTCCCAATCCTCCATCTGCATGGAGTACCCAATTCTTCCCTGTTCTGTCCCTTTTAGCATGTCATAATATGAGTCCCTAGTCATGTACTGTCCAGCACAATGAAAATGTAGTTGGTATATCTGAAGTTCCTGGGGTTTTGAGGAACAGTGTTCTTTAGAACCACAAGAAGATTGAAGTCTAGGTTATCTGTGTTGGTAATAAGTGAACCCCTGAAAATGTTGATGATAAAAACATTCAGGACCCCATAATGTACATGTTAAGACCTGAAAATCCAATCTTGGGGAGTATGCTTGAATCCAAATGTATTCTCTCTCTCTTCCTCCACACACACACACACACACACACACACACACAGTGCATTGGCAAACATATAGCACATACCACAAATATATTACTGAGCGTAGCACAAATCATAGTGGTAGTAATGTAATCTTATAGTGCCATTAAGATAGCTCTTGCAAGCAAACTAGCAAAACATGAGGGGAGAGGTGGGTTCTTCCTCTGTCTTGCAGTCATATGTAACACTGACAGTCTGCACTGTTAGGAACATCAAAGCATGTCCATGTTTTTCGGAAGAGGTCTGGCCAATTTTGCCTGGAGCAAGAGAGAACTCGATCTGTAAGCAATTGGCGAATAGTTGGGCAGATTGCAAACTTTTTTTTGGCTTGCAGTGTAGTTACAGAACTTCTGTAGTAGATTTTCTAACATGTAAAGCTGCTGTTGCTGTTTCCATTTCAAAGTTATTTGCTACCTGTTATTGCATGTGACTTGTGTAAATGGCAGACATAAGACACCTCTGTCCCTAGGAACGTAAAGGTTAAACGTTCAGGCAGTCGGGAAACAAGTACCGGTACTTAAATTCCCACCAATTATTCCTAGAACTTTGAAAGAAATGTAGACAAATCACTTGGTGGTTGGCAAGTGTTACACCCCAGCATGGGGTTTTAATAACTATCATAAGACCCCAATATTCAGAGGCTGCAACCTATTTGGACGTGTGTATCACTAGCACACTATCGTATAACCTCCTGTGTGAGAGCTCTTTATGGGCTGTTATGCTAACTTGATAGATCATGTTCATACATAGCCTATTGAAGTCTTGACATTTTGCCTTGCTTACCTTGGTTTTTAAGAGACTTTGAATGTAACTTTTTGGTAATAATGATCCCATGGTACAAGCATATGTCAAAGTTGTAGATTAGGAGCGGGGAGCCTTTGGCCCTCCAGATGTTGCTGAGCTACAACTCCCATCAGCCCTAGCAAGCAATGCCAGCATCTGGAGTCCCACAAAAGTAGTGTATGTATGGCATCTTCTACAACACACAAGAATAATGAATCATATGTATAGGGCAGCAAATCTTTCCCAGCAAGATGGGTGTGTAACAAGCTGGATGGAGATCAGGAAGAGTCTCTAGAATCTTTTTATGTTGAGCTTTATTGTAGTCACTAGCATCCCTAATCTCCAGTGACAAATGTGTTGTCTTTTAAAGCATTGCTCCATAAAACTCCTAGCTAGCTACATATCTCCACATATTGCATCATTTGATCCGTTTGTCTTGCAGAGGAGGAAGCTGTATGCCTATTTTGTCTAACATCTCCACTGTTACATATCAGGAGTGGTGAAGCCATCTTTTATGCTCACAACAACATTGACTAGGAGTGAGGAAAAGGGAGATCTGATAGGGTGACATTCTAACCAAAATGCATTCCATTTCGCTAGCCGCTCTAACTTTATTCTTCATGGTCATCAGATTTCTGCAGTCCACCACTTCCTTTGTACGAAACAGTAAGCATGTCACAATTATGTTGGGGCACAGGGCAGTTGTTTAACATGAGGATGTGTTGCAGTAACTAACTTGGATTAATCTAAGGCATTTGCCATGAAGAAATTACTATTTAAATAGGAATGTTCATGAATGTTCTGTAACTTTTTTTAAAAGTGCAGCACTGATCAAAGTATCTGTAGAAGCTACTTTTTGAAATGTACTCAGGCCTGATTTAAGTTCGCACAGCTGGTTTCACTTAACTATGCATGATTGGGCATGGCTGTCATCACACTTCAATTGGGTTTCATTCCCTATAAAATGTAGAGAGTTGACACACCTGGAATTCACAGCCCAAGTGTGTTGGTGTGGTTGAAGACTTAAATCAGGGGGTCATTGCTACACGTAACTGCTTATAAACCTGCACAGGTAGGTTTCTTGCACATTCCTAGCATCATATTTTAATGGAATCTATAAACAATGAAGTATTATTTCTTGGTTCCACTTAATCCTAACAGGAGGGGACAGCAAGCTATGAAATCTCAGAGCAGACTGCCTTTCTGTTGCCAGAGCAGAAAGACATGTATTATCATTGTGAACTTTATATGTGTGTGCTTATGTGTGTGTATAATTCTGATTTGTGCAGGCTGAGAAGAGGCTGTTAATAGGTAGCACCAAGATACAGTTAAGAAGGCACAGTTGCCAAAATTAAACACAGTTCAAGCATACTTACAGGGCTTGTTTTGGCAAAATGGAAACAAGACTCTCTGTTCTCTTTCTTCAGGATCAACAACTTGCTGGCTCTAAAGAGGAGGCATCAAATATTGTCATTTAACCACCTCAAAAAATGTTTGGAATAGTGAAATGCTTCAAATCAGCCTTTTGGGGAGTGAACTGGCTTTGTTTAGATTTAGGTTTATTCAATTTATGAATCGCTTCCAACAACATAAAGCCCTGAAGCGATTTGCAGCAAGAAGGTAATACAATATTTAAAATGCACAAATATAAACATTCAGAATAAAAACATCCAATTGATGATGCCCAGGAAGACAAAAACACTTTTGCCTGAGGCGAAAATGATGACAGAGTTGGTGCCAGGCGTGCCTCCCTTTTGAGAGTGTCAAATAATTACTGGCTAATTTTTAACTGTAATGGGTGCTGTCTCTTGAAGATCCTCTCTGGAATGACTTCATAGCTAACACTTCTGAAAAAGTAAACATTTCTAAACCTTTCAAAGCATATGTGCTGAACAATTTTATCTAATGAGAATTTTTCTCCAAATGTTGCTCCTGATAATGTGGATAAGTAGTTCATTGTGGAATAGTATAATACTGTACTACTCAAAAGCATCTTTCTGACTTTCTCCCCTTTTTCTTTTGTTTATAGGCAATCTCCAACATATAAATCCCCTTGGAACTAAAGCTAAAGCTACACTGTCCCTGGATCACTTAAAGGTACAGGAAGTTGGGTATTCTGAAAGTCCAGCAGCTCTTTATCACTGGCTGATATTTTGGGGTGGACATAAAGATATGGGAGTTCTGTTGCGGTTTCCTATCTTAAGATGCTGCTTTAATGTCAGTTGTATCTAAAGCCATCAGTACTTGAGCTGAGCAGACATATGCACTTCTCCCTACTGCAGCACCCTCCTGCACCCTCAAAAAAAAAACTGCTGTGGGTGGTTAGAGAAACTGCTTCTCAGTTTTCCCATATTCTAGCTACTGCTTCCCCCAACACCTGTGTATTCTCTCCCTGTTCCATTACCATCAACAGCATCTTTGAATCTCTTGCTTCAACAATATGCCATATATAAGGATGACACGCTTTAAACCTGAAAGGAAACATCCAGGGCATGGACTAGTCTTCCCTAGATATTGGGGATTGCTTGTGAAGGGTGGCTTAGAATATACACAGGCCTGTTCATTTCTCTGGAGTATTAACTGCATTCTGCAGGACATTTCCGATACTTGATTCTGGTATAAAGCAAAAGGATAATATTTACAAGCAGGAGAATTTTAAGTTCTATTCAGAGTACTGAAATCTGTAATCATATCTTTGTTAATGTTTTATTCCTTCATTGAAACAGTCCAAATAGTGAGGCAGTATTCCTGCAAATGGGGGCATGTGTTTTCAAGAGTATATGCTCTAGGTGTGTTGCTCTCAACAGATTGTTAGGGGGCTGTGCATGTTAAAGCTGATGCCTGCATTCAGCAGAGAGCCAGCTTTTTGTCTTTTGTGTATATCCAGGTGACTCAGTGCTCTTAATGTAGTGGTGAGTCATTCTAAACAGATATCTAGAGGGCAGGCCTCAATTGCATGTCAAGATAATGGGATGTGTCCAAGGTTTTCTGAAAGGGGCAATCTGTGAGAGTGGTATGTGCATGCTCGGCCATTTTATAGAAAAGGCCTTCAATTAAGCAGTTCAGCTAGCGGAGTTGGTTTAGGAAAAACAGGTTTACTCAGTGACACATGTGCCTGCCTTCAGCTTTTTAATCTCTAATGCAAGATGTCCTTGCTACACGTTTATGAAGATGCTCTGTCTTAAAATCGCAACTTGAAATTTTTATTATTGAACCTAATATGGAGAGAACTTCAGGCAAGAGCAAAACAACAGACACACACACACACACCCCTCCTTGGCCAAAGGCCTGGCTGGTGTGTGTGTGTGTGCTCTTTGTACATGAGCGAAACCTGTAGCCTCTTGGGTCCCTTTCTTGGAAATGTAGGAACATACCAGGTCAGGCCATAAGCAAAACTAGCCACAACATCATTCACACAGTTACCAGTTATGCAGATGGCTTTTTAAAAGGAAGTTTCAGGTGCAAGGTCTGATTCAGACCCTGAAGTTGAAGGCTGGTGGCTTTCACCCTTTGTTCCCTGCTGCTGTCCCAATAAGTGTCAGCACAGAGTTGGGGGTAGAAGTCTATTATATTCATAGCTGGGGGGGGGTGTGGAAGCTTTCCTCCAATGCAAATAGCAGGGCCTAATCCATATTCGGACCCACAGCATAGGGCAAAAGGCCAAAGCCCCCGTTCCAGGTTTGAATCAGGCTCCTGTACCTGCAATTTGTAGAGCTGATGATTGTGCTAGTTTGGCCCTTTTTGAACTGGCAGGGCTTCTCCCTGTCTCTGTCAGAGATGTCCCTTCATTTGCTACCTGAACTTTTTAGCAGAAGATGCCTGGAACTTTCTGCATGCAAACCCTATGCTATACCACTGAGCACTTAGCGCATGAAGGGTAGTGTGAGGTACAACATGGCCCAGCTGCTGCTGGGCTGTAAACTCCTGGCTACTAATGAGCTATGGCCCCTTTCCTTAAGCATGCCCAACCCTGTTTCTGATGGTCATTCATAGCTTTAAAAATGGCTGTTTTGGGAGCTGTTCCTTTTGAAGCTGAGCCAAGCTGTTGTAATTTACAGGAAGCATTAATGCTGAGTTGGAAATCAATAAAATCCTTAAAATAGTGAGTGCCATGTTAAACATAAACTTAGTAAAACAAAGCTGTAAACCTTTTTGCTCTCTGGATAAAAAAAACCCACCTAGCAGCATGGTGGAAGTCTGCTTTTGATAACTTCATTTACAAGCATAGTATTGGCTTATTTGGCAATGAAATTTGTGAACTTGTCAGAATATTAGAAGACTTTGGTCTGTGGTGCTTCACGTGAATACTTTCTGCACATCTCAGGCTAGCATATTGAGCCCAGCCTGCTATTTGTATGCACAGGTATTAGAAAATGTTTGCACGCTGGAGAGCATTCAGTTTCCTACCTGCAGTCCAGCATCAGTTTCTTCAAGTGAGACTTTGGATTGTGTATTTCAGCTCTTAGATGCCAACTTATTGTGCTGAAAATCCATTTGCTTCCACTGGCCCATAAACCCTTGTCTGCCTTTTCAGAAGTACGCGTCTTTCCTAAAATCCTTAAGAGGCAGTTTGCAGATCACTTTTGTCTTTGACTCATCCTTTCTAAATTTGGAAGCCTATTCATGACATCAATTCTGAAGGCCCACAGAATGCTTAGACAAATTGCTACTATTAGCATCCAGTGACTGCTCATTTTTAAAGCCAGGACCTTTGCTGGTTCAAGATAATTTTTTAAACGTCTACAGGTTTTACTGGGAGACAGAAATTGGACTATGGTAACTTGACATTAGTGCCTTGTGTTTGCTTTCATCACTGTGATGATATAAGTACTCAGTTCACCAAGCACTACTGCTCTGCATGTGGTCCTTAATTCATTCTTCTTGGTTAACACAAATGAAGTGTGTTGGATTGTGCCCAGCATTGTTTCTGGTCTAGAAAGGTTGCCTGCTAAACCTACCATTTGCAGAAAGCCTGAACTATCATTTTTCCAGTACTAACTCCTGAGCAGTTGACCACATGCATGCTCAGTTTGGCATTCATTTGGCAGCACAGGTTCATTGTATCGAGGGTTCGAAATTAGCAGGGCGCCAGGCGCATTTTGCACCTAAAGTTTCTCCATTTACGAGCACCTCAGAAAGTCTGGGTGCCATTTTTTGCGTCTGGCTAACACTCAAGGATTACTGAAATTTATGTGCTTTGAAGCTTCGAAGTATATGTCAAGGATAGACAATATGTTAAGGAGCTTAACAGTAATGAGTGGAGTGTTTTGAGAGCTGAAGTATGGTACAAACATTTTTACTGTAAACACCAAATTAAATATGTATTAACAATTTCTGTTAAAATGTAATATTAACCATGTTTCTCTTATGTGAATTGCATATTAGTTCATGCTTATCAAAATAACACTGGTTGTATCCAAATGGAAGGCTTGTGTAGACTGTACGTACTCTACCTGAAGTTGTGCAGGAGTACTTTTACTATTTCCCCAGAAAGCCAAAGATACTTGTGGAATAGTCTTATAAGTATTTGGCCTTAAATACATGACACAGTGTAATATGTTGATCATCAGAGGCTGTATTTGCCTAATTTTAAGACCTGCTAAGGAACAGATAATTATTATTACACGGTATGTCCTGATATGTAAAACCACAGAATTCAAAGAGGGTGTACTTACTTTTTCCCATGACTGTTAGGTGTTGATGGCATCTCAATTGAATATTTTATGTGGAAAGGTCGGGAAGCAATTGATTCTCTCCTTTTTCTTTTCTTTTTAAGGTAAAAATTCAAGCACTTGCACAGAAATAGCCTGCATTCAAAGCCAAGTTTACCTGCAGCAATTAGCTTTGGATGGAAGTCAATATGTCTCAAGTTCAAATCCAGAATCCGTCTGCTGCTCTTTCTAGCAGCCAAATACTAAACAAGAACCAATCACTTGCACAGCCTTTGAGTATTCCTTCTCCCACTAGTTCTTTGCCCTCTGAAAATGCAGGTAGACCTATTCAAAATTCTGCTTTACCCTCTGCATCTGTTACATCTACCAGTGTAGCTGCAGGTAAGCCTGAAAATTTATTTGGTATATTTCATTGATAGTGTCAAGTGCCTTAAAAGAAAATGCCAGGTCCTAATACCCATGCTGTTCATATGCTGCTTGTTTATTGAAGTTGTTTTGGAAATAATGAAAATTATAAGGAGAAATGTTTGATGGAACAAAGAGAGATAAGATTAAAACAAGTGGCTAAAATGGCTTTATAAATATTTTATATCATCAAACTCACTGCTCCATCGTTCTGGTTCTGTACAGTGTTTTCTGATCATGCGTTTAGCCATGAAGACATGTTTAACAAGGATTGTTCCAGAGAGCTTCCTTTCTAATATAGAGTGGTTTATGCTAGTAACTTAACTGTAGTTAAGTAATTTACTAGTAATTTGCTTCATTGACTACATGTGTGCATTTGCCATTTGCTCTCTTCAATCTGGCAAACTAAGGTTTCAGGTATCCCTCCAAACGAAAATTGCAAACTGATTTAGAAGATCTTTGGAATGTACACACCCATTGTGTGTTTATCATCATGGGTGGTGGCATAATTCTTAAATAGTGTGGCATTCCATAAGCACTGACCATTAAAAATGTATGGCATTTTGATTGCACAGTTCTGGTCATCTACAGTCTCTGGACACTAGATAAACCTAGCTTTGTACTTCCAGAACCCCTTGAGAATTTGGGAAAGCAGGAGTTAATGGCAATTCTCCACTCAAGGCTTATCCAGAGGCTACAGATTACCAGTTCTCTGTGCAATTAAAGTGTGCCTCATGTGATTCCACTTTCAGAATATTGAATCCTGGAAGACACGGAGTTTTCATGGGTTGGGCTCCCTTGTTTGTACAAACTAAGCTTCTGTAAAGCTTATTGGGCTTTGTGTTCTTGTTTTCTTCCAAATTGGGATGACTGGCAAAATGGAAACTATACCTGGGACGAAGCACTCAAATGGGACACCCCTTTTAAAGGATATGACAGAGTAGAAGCAGAGACAATTAAGTATTAAAAATGAGAAATTAAGAATATAAATACCTGTGAAGCAGCTTCATTCTTAGGGAGAGAGAAGCTTCAGATTAGGACCAAATATGTCCTGGCAGTGGAGGAACTTTCTGAACAGCGTATGCTGTGTAGGTTAAACAAGAGGCCTATGGCTTTCAAACATCAACTTGAGGATGCAGGCACCTAGCTAGTTTTGTTGCAAAGCAAATTAGTTTGATCTTTCCTTATATTGCAACTGCAACGTTCACTCGCTGTCTGATCCTTAGAATTAGTCTTACAATCAACTTTTATCTGGCATTCTGGACAACTAAATTAACATTCTCTGAAACCAATTTACTTTGGGCATCTTCTGTAGAAAGCCGCTTAATTTTATAAGTCTAAGCTTCTGTGTGGTGTTTTCCCAGCTTTGAGTGCTAAAGTCCTTAAGTGCTTCTGTGAATGTAGAATAATACTGAGAGATCAGATTGATTTCTCCATGCTGAAGTAGCTGTTGGTCTTTTCTTTTCAGTTCCTTCTAACATGGCAAACCCCAAAGAGAAAACCCCAATGTGTCTTGTGAATGAGTTAGCCCGTTTTAACAAGATTCAGCCTGAGTATAAGCTTTTGAGTGAGCAGGGTCCAGCTCACTCGAAGGTAAACATTGCCTGTCTGACTTCCATATTTATAGTAAAATGATGACTTGAATGTGTTTGCGTGTGTGTGTGTTAGCCTGACACAGCTTCCAGTGCACAGCTTGATTTTATTTTTAAGCTGGTGCTACTAATATAACTCAGTGAGTGTTATTTATTTATTATCTTCCACACACATCTCAGGGCACTGTACAAAATGTAATAAAAACAGTTAAATGCACAGAAAATAACAGCAGATAAAAGCAAAACAATATCAAATATTCACCCAGCTTGGAAGGGTGGGAAGTAGTGTAGGTTTGGCCCTTTGCTGAAATCCAGCTGGCTTAAGCAGGTAGTTGCACTTCACCCCAGTATCCAAACCCAGCTGCAAAAGAAAACGGAGGGGGGAGGAAATAGTAAAGGAGAAGTCCAATAAAGCACACTGTTTGGAAACGGCAGCATGCAATTCAAAGGACTTATTTTATCATTTATAGCCTTGCATGGCCTCAGGCCCTGCATTCCCACAAGAGCTTTCAAGGTTTCCAGATTTCTTTGCTTTAGGAAGCAACTTACTGGGCAGCATTCGATAATGTGGTAGGGAGGAAGGGCCTTGGAGGTCTCAGTGTGCACATGGTAGCTCCCGGGATGCAGCCTTCTGGATCCCTTTGGTTCTGTGCATTACTTTCCACAAAGTCCTTGGCCAAAGTAGAAAAAAACATTTTAAATACATTGGATACTTTTACAACAATTTATGTGACTTTTCTTTCCTATGGTTTAATAGTGTTTCATGAAGTAGTTGCTTTAGAGTAGGCATGTCCAACCAGTAGATTGTCCTCGGTAGATCACTGGCTCCCCCAAAGAAGCTCAGCAACTTTGGCTCCCCTAGAAAAAGCTCAAGATCTTTGACCTGAACCCCCCAAAATGGGGTAGATCACTGCCTGTTTTTTAACTCTGTGAATAGATTTCAGTCTCTTGGGAGTTGGCCACCCCTGCTTTAGAGTGATCAGTGTTGTACCTGTGCCTTTTGACCTGTGTGTGTTCAGACTATTAAAATATCACACGCATGCAAGATCAGGCGGTGAGTTGTTGCAGTAAAGACTTCTTTCTCATTCTTAGGTGTTTACAGTGCAGCTGACTCTTGGGGACCAGCACTGGGAAGCTGAAGGAACTAGTATTAAGAAAGCTCAACATGCAGCTGCTGCCAAAGCTTTAGAAGGGACGAGATTTCCTAAACCTACAGCTCGCCCATCACGTAATGAAGGAAAGAACCCAGGTACATACAGCTAACATGGGTTGTACAGTGATGTGAGCCGTCACTTGATGTTGCAGTGGTAACTGCACACCTAAGCTGCCCCTGAATTTGCAAGTTATATAATTGCAACCTATGGCGTGATGATCATGTTTAAGTATTTGTAACAAATATTTATATGCCACATAATACAATAAAAAAATTCAAGGCAGTTTACATGGACGCAATAAAAATACAATATTCAATAAAATTTCCTTAAAAGCCAAAAAAAACCTATATATCACATGACAACAGCCAGCCATCAATTCCTGGTTATATGACAGCCAGAAACTTCCCACTACCTGAACCCAGGTGTGCTAAAGTAGTATACAATTGTGTTGGCTGATACCCATTGTGCAATCAGCTTTTAGCCCTCTGAATCCAAAGTTCTGTGGTTAAAAATTCCGGATTCCAGAACGCTTCCACTACTTAGACTTTGAAGGCTTTGCTTGGCATTATTTTATTAATTAATATATTTGTATCCCACTCTACATCAGTTGATCTCGGAGTGGGGTACCTATTTTATAAAACAGTGCAATAAAACAGGATAAAATGTCTATCAATCAAACCACCTCCTAGGCAGATCCCACTCCAGACTATAATTGGCATGACCCAAACACCAGGGTAAACAGGCTTAACCTGCTGCCAAAAAGAATCCACCACTGGTGTCTGCTGAGTATCCAAGTTAGACTAAGTCATGCTTTTATCAATAAGTCATGGTGCCTTTTGCCACCTTTGCATCTTGCCCCTGGAATTTTCTCTAGAGCTGAATGGTGTGTGCATTGTTAGCCTCGACAAGGGAGCAGAAATACGATAAAGTGATGGTGCAAAGTTACTACTTAACCTCACAGTTCTTTTCAGGGTTTCACTGGAGCACAAAACCTTGATAGTTCTGTTTATTTTCCATATTCTCATCCAGTTTTTCAGACATTTATTGTCTCCCAAAGAGGTTCTTTTAAAAAAGAAAGAAGAGACATGCCCTGCCATTAGACTTACAGACTAAAAAGGCAAGGTTTACAGGGGCAGGGAGGTAAAAGGCAGAAGAGGAAGATTGGTTCAAGCCCTGCACAAAGTGATGAGCTACAAGCATTTATATCCAGTTTGGGCCAGGTTAGTTTTCCTTTGCTGGTGTTCTTGCTTGGACATCAATTGGTTGGGGTAGTGTCTTCTTTCCTCTTGCTTTTGCAGTCTCGGGACAGCAGGCAGCTGGGAAGCCAAGTGTTCTTTCTGCAAGTAAGGTGGGGGAAAAGAGCTTCCAGCAACTCTGCTTGTTTTGGTTGCTCTCCACTTGCCATGATGTTGTTTGTGAGGCAGTGGTCCGGCCTTCTAGTAATCCTTGATTCCCAACAGCAGAGACTAGAGTGTGCCACCCTCCAGCTCTGCAGCCCCAGGAGAACTCTTTAAGTATCAGTCATTTTACTATTTATAAAAAAAGGAGCAAACCAAAAACCCAATCCTGTCTCAGGGATAAATTTAGTAATGTTACCCAAAGCCAGTATCATGAGTAGCTTGAGTCTGAATTGACCTAAAGACATATAATTGTAACTTAAACATAAAAATAAAGTATTGAAGGAAAACAGAATTTACTTTGCACTGAAAGTGATATGGACAAGGAATTGGCTAGCTTTTTAGCTTTATGGCTGCAAGGATTGTTATCACTTAGAATTGGAAATATTTGTAAGGAGCATTGATAGACGCTTAGTACAAAAATAAGTGACCTGAGAAGCTGACTGAAAACAATTCATTTGAGCAAGGGACAAATTAAAAAAACCTAATAAACTCATTTTCCATTGTGTGGTATGGCTTTCTTGTGCACATGAACTGAGAGAACAGCACCAAACTGGTCCTGGCATGTGCAAGTATATATAATTCA